AGTGTGTTGATATTGCAGACCATAAATAATCACACAAACAGTAGCGCTGCTCGGAAATGTGGATAAAAAATGCGCTGGTCGCCCTTGGCAAGTGAAGGAAAATGATTGATTGTCAAACTGCTAGTGGCGGTTTTTTTATTTTTATATCATGTACTGGTAACATGAGACGACGGGTAAGGTACGGAAAATTACAGACGGGAAAAACTAGGATCAAATTAATTTCAATATTTTTTAATGCAATCTTCAAAAATATTAATAAAATCAGTTAACTCTCTGTTCAATAATTTCAAGTTATTTGCAGGATAATTTAATTGAAAAATTAAAAGCACAGAGAATTTAATAATTATTACTACTTAAAGTAATTTATTTTTCACCATAAAAATATTTTAGTTGATTGTGCAGTTCAAAACAAAACATATAAATCATTTTCAATCACTGCTACCAAAATGTGTTATTTTTAAATATTAAGCAAAGAAAAAACAAATTAATTTTATAATATTTTTTATTTTTCAGATTATTTCTACTCTTATCAAAATTGATTCAAATGAATCTACTGAGACCAAACATGCACCGTTGTTATCCAACAATTGACCATGAAATACGTCAAAATCGATTGTTGCCACCAGAAATTTTCAAATAAAAATAACAACTATTGGATCCAGATTTCCAACAATCAAAATTTGAAATTCCCATCCCTCTTGCTAATTTTGAGTTGATCGGTTGAAGAATTTCAAGAATTCTCATCACAATTCGAAAATGTCGGATACTCCTTCAGCACATCAAGGCGAAGCGAGCAAAACTGCACATGCAAGCAAATCGCAGTTCAACTCGCGCAACTTCACCATGCACTGCCGAGTGCCAGACTTCATGACTAACGACCCTTCGGCGTGGTTCTTGCTGGTCGAAAACGAATTCGCCATCAACGAAATCACCGACGACGACACCAGGTTTTCGCATCTCATTTCCCTGCTCGGCTCGCGTATCTGCAGCTTCATGCACGTCATCCGCGCCCCTCCTGCCAACAACAAGTACGAGACGCTGAAGCAGCTCGTCCTGCAGACGTTCAGCGCCTCCAAGGAAAAGGAGTTCATTGAGTTTGTCTCCAAAATGGACGCTTCGAATCAGACGCCGTCCCAGCTGCTGCGCCGGCTGCGTCGAGATGCTTCCAATTTTGAAGTCTCGCAGTCTGACTCATTCCTGCGCGGCCTATGGATGGAGAAACTGCCAGAGGGTTTGTGGAGGATCGTCGATCCGCACAAGAGGAAGATGAAGCTGGACGACCTGGCTTACTTGGCTGACAACGTTGCTGAAACGCAGCAGCGGAAATTGGATATAAGAAATAAGGTTGATAAAAATATATTTATCTAAAAATTAGTAATTATGACAGAATCTGTATAATTTTTTTTTAAAGTTTTTAATTATTGGGAGAAGAAAAAACAGTTTTTACCAGTTTAAATTTTTATCAAATTTTTTGCATTAGGGAGATTGTGAAGAGTTGCTGAGAGACATTCTGTGGAGACTGGAAGTTCTTGAGCACCGTCAGAGACAGCGTGACAGATCCGAGTCTGAGGCACGCAAGAAAGCAAGATTGGAAAGCCCTCCTTCTCACCAGAGTGAAGAAAAAGACAGCAGCCGAAAAGGCCGTTCTCTTGTCAAGGAACCAAGTGTCAAGAGCAAAATTGTGGTCGTCTGCAAATCGAATGATGATTGAAATGGCATGTTAGTTATTTATGTTAATTATCGTTGTTAGTTCAATATAATAAGCCAAAGGGTTGTCATAAAGGAAATTTGAATTTTAATTAGATAATTATATAGTCATGCGCTTGGAAGCGGTAAATCGATGAGTAAAACAATCCACTATTGACCATCCATTTTGAGATAATTGCATTGCGAAGGACGGCTGGGAGATAAATTGCGCAATCTGGCTGCCGAGGGTATCGACAAGAATAATGGCCGCTAATGAGTAGCCTGGAGAACCCACCTCTTTCCAACCTACTCAATCACGAGGTGCGCACAGAGTGACCACCAGCGGTCTTACCTGCTGAGATGCTTTGATTTTTTGTGCTGCTAGAAACCAGAGCGTAAAAAGTCAAAGGACAAAATCACTTTTTACTGCAAGAGTTGCAATGATATAAAGTGCTTGGTTTCACTTTTTTTTTGCAACAACCTCGTTTTTATTCCCTTGCTGTTAGATTTTTACCTCCCTTTTCCTCTTTTTATTTTTATCCTTGTCGCTGTGATACATGAAATTAACTCTTCCAATTATACAAACAAATTGCAAAGTCCTAAATCCAAGCCTCTACTGAAAAAGCAAACAGATTATCCTTTGAGGGAGAGAGAGAGAGAGAGAGAAATCTCTGCGCACATCTTCTCATCCGCATGCAAATTCGTGGAACATAAAAGGCTTGCAAATCTGACGGGGAGTAAATGAAAAATTTGCATAATGACTGCTCGCCGCGTGCAAAGAGAATAGCAAATCGCTGGGTGGAAAGCGAAACTACGAGGACGCAATTAGCGCAGTTTCGCCGCTGCAAAAATCAGCGAGTGAAATTCGCTTCAATGAATTCCTTTTGAAAAGAAAAAAAACGTGGTGCATAGGCGGCCCTGGCTGAAGAGATGAATCCGGCGGAAAATTGGCGCTCTGCAGGGAGGCTCGCGTTTCAGCATTCCATTCACGAAACTTTGATGTGGGGTTTCGATTCTGCCTGGGCGGGAAGCAGGCAAGTGGAACGAGAGGCACGCGCCTTGAAACCACCTCTATATTATATATACGTGCATTTCCAGCCTCTCTTATTTATTTTTTCTGAATAATTTATGCAAATTACGAACATGTAAATCAGGAGGTTTTCCTTTCTGACGCACTTTTCTCCCGCAGATGGATATATCTGCACCTGGAGAACTGTAAAAATTCAAATCTCACACACAGAGGAAAAAATTCTCTCACGCGTGCGACTGAGCCGGAGAGGATTGGAAAGAATTCTCTCCAGCGGCCCGACGTCTTTATGATAATGACGCGTCATCGATTTTTGGCGCGCCGGCAAAGCTCGCGAGACTTCTCGTTCGAGCTCCATTTTCCATTCAATACAACGTTCAATTCCTCACTAACGACGTGCTGCTTTTAGCCAGAATATTTAAAACCACCTGCTTCCCATGCCGAGAGCTGTCTCGCGGCGACAACATCCGCAGCACCTCTTCTTGGAGTGCATTCGAGAGGCGCAAATATAAATGTCACGTAGAAGGTCATCGATTCTCACACACCAGCCTCTCGTTAAACTAGTAATTGAGTTGCTCTAGTAATTGTCAGGTGCCGGCACGGAAAACTCACTTCTTAAAAAAGTGACACGCTACTTTTCCATCGTTTTCACATCCTTATCATTGTGGAGTACTTGGAAAAGTAAGTGTCGGTTATTTTTTCGAGAAATTCGTAAAGGTCACACTTTTTCTCCTTGCCTGTTCAAGGTTTTATTATTTTCTTGTTGGGAAAATAAATTACATAAGTAAAATAAAAAGCATATTTATTACAATCACGCTTCAAAATACAACGAGATATTTCTGTCAGTCACTGTCAGTGTTGCGGAATCATTGAATAAATCATTTTCCGGCGTACTTTCAGAAAGTCCACGTAGCAAAACAAGTAGTGCGGAGAATGCTCTCGCCACATGCGCGTGCTGAATTTAAACTGCTGTGGGGGGCAAGAGCTGCAAATGGCAACCTGCTCTGGGAGGCCTTTGCCCTGCTCGCTTTCGAATGCGGCAATAAAAAACGCACTCTGCCCGCAGCGTGACCTTGCTCATTAAATATTCACAAACACACGTTCGAGAGCGTCTTTCGCTGCCCAGGCAGAGTGAAAAGGAGAAAGACCGACTCGCTAAATAAGCCGATTGATTTTATATCAAGTGAATTTTCGCGCGTAAGCCTGCATCGTTTTTGTTCGCAATCGTTGGATTATGGTTGGGTAAACAGAGTATAAAAGGGAATTACGTCAAAATGCATCAACTCGGCTGTCTGCGTCCGTTCTCTCTTTCTCTCTCGCTCGCGTGCGAAGCGGCCTCCTCTGCGCGCGAAATATCCACGTCCTGGTCCTTAACAATGGGAGAGATGAAGGTTGGCGCGAAAAAAACACACTCGCTTCTTTTTATTATACAGCCGTAGCATCGGGCGTCGTTTCATGAGCTGAAAATAAAAGGAGGACGTGCGCACAAAATTTGTTCTAATCCGGCGACGAGAATGGCGCGGGGAACCGTGTCCGAGACGTCAAAGTTGGATTTTATGTGGGTGATAAATTTCTTTTGTAAATGAAATATTGCGTAAATTTTATTTAATATATCATAATTAATAAATTTGTTTTCTAGAAATGTGCTGTATATCAACATAAATATTAAATTAAAAAGAAACTTGATTGATATAATGAGCTTTATTTAAAAAGCCATCCTTCTATACTCCATTGCCTCTATTGTTTAGATCTTGGTGTTTTAAATTTTTTTAAATTTAGTTTTTTTTTTACATTTTAGTGCTTACAGTTTTGCATAATAAAGATGCTTGTAAAGAAATTTAATGCCAGTCTTTCTTCGAATTTAACTGGGAACATTCTTCACCCTTCTGAATTTTGTATAGCCCCAATAAAAATAATACGCTTCACAAACTTGTCCTTGTTCAGCGGTCGTTGCTGTTATTTCAGAGTTAACATTCAGACCTAACACAACAAAAAGCAAAAACCAATTACCAAGCTGAACTCTATTTTATATCTTGTTAAGCTCGTTGCTGCTGCTCTGCATAATATGTGCGGATCTCATTAAACTGGCTGAAAAAGCAAGTCACTCTAGTGTGCAAAAAGTTGTGAGATCGCGAATTCAGATGCGCAATTTCCGCAAGAGCGCGCGTCTGCCGATATTCAGTGCCTTTTCTCCTCGTTCACTCTGAGATAAATAAATAAACAAGAAGCACCTGACTGGAATTGAGACGCAAAATTTTTGTCACGGCCGCTCCCTTTTTGTTTGCAGCCAAGCCCGAGGCGCCCCGGGACGAGCCGCACGTTGATCCAGCCATGATCGGAGTTCTGGTCGGCCTCGGTCTCATGTTTGTCATAATGTGCGTCGTCTTGCGGCTGTTCAGCAAGTAAGTATCAAATGTACTATTTTTACAACAACACACCCCTTGTTAGTCATTCTTTATTTTCAAATCAAATTTGATCTTGCTGTAAATCAAATAATTTGTTAATGAAGTTGCCAATTAAAAGTAGTGCTAATTGCGCAAATCAAAGTGAGAGATAAAAGTAACTTGTTGCCCGTCACGCTCTCTGTCTATTTGAAAGTATATGCAACCGTTGTGCTGCAAGTGCTCGACCGGTTGCATAACGCGCTCGACCGACCTAAAGGCTGACGAGAACGAGCGATGAAAGACTGGAAGAGTCGGCTGACGGTCCGTTAACAACTCCATTTTTCCCCCTTTTATAGAAGCTAATGAAACAACGTTTACGCCCCAACGGATGAAAAAATGCCCTCTCGTTTGTGAAAATTTTCCATGCGGAATTTATTTCCGCTTTTTTTTCTTGGCAATCGTAAATCTGCGCTACAATAAAAGAATACAATAATCAATTTTTCTGGAGATAAATGATCGCTGTATTTTCAAGTGCAATGCTCCGCAAAAAAATAAAAAATGCCACCAGGCGTAATTCAACGTTTCAATCGAGTCGCGTATTGTTTTGCAGAATTCCATCGTGCAAAAGGCGGTCGCCACTGATGAATTGCACTCGTAATAAAAATGGTCTATATATTTTGCTCACGGTCGCGGCTCTTTTTCATTTGGTTTTATCCACCTGAGGGCCATTTCCGCTCAAAGACCATAAAAAGCAATTTTTCAAAACGATATCGCAAATTCGTTTTTCGTTTAATGAAATTGCAGAACGTCAGCTAGTTATTCTCTCGTCGGTGCCTAAAGGTAGTTTAAGGTTGATTTTGCGGCTTTTTTAACAGCCAGCGACTGCAGTGTTAGCCATTTACACGGATGTTTTCAAAATTCCATTATTGAGGCTGGCGAATTTCAAGCGTTAGATTTATAGGTCGTGGGTTCCATCCACAGCGCATGCAAATTGAATGCAAGCCTTTGCAGGGTGTGCTAAACTGTCATAATTTGGGAGCTGTTATGAAGCAATTAAAAACAATTTATTAAAAAATTATCATTATTGAAATAATTCTAGTTATTGGTAAATATTCTGAATATTTAAAAATGTTCAAAAATTTCTGAGCACTTATCGAAAAACTAATAAAATCCACATTTTTTAAAACTTTTTAAATGAAGGAAATTGTCTTTTCAAATTTATTCAATATTTATTAAATCGTTCTTTACAATACTAACAGCTTCCAAGCAGTTTTTCTTAAATCAATCACTTACTAAATTTTTGGCAAAACCTTTGATTATAATAAAAAGACACCGGCACATGAATGGAAACAAGCACCAAAGTCTTTTAGGCGTGATGCTTGATGATATAAGCGACTAAATATAATTCACAAATTATACCATTACTTTATCCAGAATAATATAATTAAATGAACATTAAATTAATCCTTTTATATTTCAAAATATGTAAAATTAGATATATTTATACCCTGCCGATATCAAAGGTGATTTGAATTCACGCCCAAACACAATTTGTGCGTTTTCCTCACTCGGTGTTTGACATGCTCGTGGCTCCTTCCTTTCAGGGCTCGCTGGCGCGGCGAGAACCGGACTATCTTCAACACGCCGAACCCGCGGCTGATGAACGTGTCCCTGCTGGACAGCAAGCTGCTGCACGGCGGCAACCTGGAGCGACGGGCGAGCCGCGGCAGCGTGCGCGGCGCCCCCAGCAGGCACGCCAGCATGACCTCGCTGCGGCCGGCCAATTCACCGACGGGTAACTCAATTGTCATGACGTCATCGGCTTCCGCACGTGTGCACGCTTCAGGCAACGCCGCTAACCACCCTCCTAACACTACCACCACCACAACCATTACATCTACGCAATGACCTCCTAAGCTTAGGGGCGTTCCATTGGCGGGTGAGGAACTGATCCTAACAAAAAAAATCCAAAGCAAATCAGAAATAACAAGTATTGCCCATTTTGTGTTGGTCTATTTCCTTCACTTCGCTGCTTTTGCTCATTTTCGGGGATAATTTATTAAGCTATCAGCCTATATAAGTAGATTTTACATACATGATCTTAAATTATTTTGGGGAGTGCTGAACAATTTAATGTAGTGCGCCGTAATTATGTTCCCTTCTTATCTCTGTCCACGTACAACTTAGAAATTGTGGTTTCTTAATTAGTCGTTGAAAGCGTGCTCCTATAAAATATTGTTATTAAACCGGCTAAGAGAAAATATTTCACCAAAAACGTTTCTTCAGGGTTCCCAAAGTTATACCTCCCTCGGAATCTTTGCGCCGAAGTTTACATTTTAGCCCAGCAAAGTACCAAGCGTTTTTATGCAACCCCCTTAGCAGGATAACAACATTTTTTTTGTATCCTGGCTATTGACATTGATTAGAAACTTTTGGAACTTTTCAAATTAAGCAAAAACCTATGATTTCAATTGAGGAAGACTAGGCAGATAAATTCGCCGAGGCTACGCCCATATTTCTTGATAAAATCTAGCTCACATCAATCCTAATAACAGCAGTGGGCCTTGGGTAATTGCATTCCGCGCCGCTTTATGATATACCATAAAATTCACCCAGGTGAGAAAATTGCATTGCAGGTGAGCGGGAAATTCCCTTTCAGCCCATGTGCTCTAGGCCAATACGTTCTATCTCTTCCTTTAGTATAAAAGCCAAACTCTTTTTTTTACCCCCAATCCCGGGCACGCAAGTAAACTCTATATTGCTTCCTTTCGAGAGTATAGTGCACTCTATCAGAAAATCTTTCGAACCCGAACTGCACCCTGAAAACTCCTTTCTTTACTGCTGTATTCTAAAATGATTTTTAGTAATTTTCGCCCAAGAAGCAGATTCTCGGAAAACGAGTCATTGCGTTCTTGGATCTAAAATCGTTGTTGGTCAAACACAACACTAATTCCTCTTTCTCCACCAATCCCCCTCTGTCGCCGCTTTTCTCTATTTTTCTCTAAAATGCGTGTCGCTCTCTGCATCAGATACGCGCCTTTCTCATAATTAGAGCTCTGTGTTTTTCGACCTTCAACTGTGTGTAGTGGAATGTAGGCTAGTGAGTATTTTGTGCACCTTGCATGTCTTTAATTGTTAGCCAGGAGAGGCCAATTTTTCTATTCAGCATGATTATCAATTTATGTCTAGCATCGTTTTCAGATTTGGAGTTATCATGGAAGAGTTTAAATTTAGAGGCATATAATAGGCGTAGGCAAGGTTAAATTTTAAGATAAATTAAAATATATTTAACTAAAAAAAATACAAAAGTATATTAAAAGTTAGTTTAAAACAAAATTTGAATGGAAAATACATATTTTTTTTTTTATTATTTAAAGCAATTATTATTGATTTACATTCAATTGAAGTGTATTAATGATTTATTAAAAAACAAATTAGACTTGTTTTGAATATTTTACATTTTTTTTTTTTTTTTTTTTTTTTTTAATTAATTATATCCCCTTGATGGAATAATTAATAAAGTGCAAATATATCTCAATTCTAATGATTTAACTAATAAATAAATCAAAACTATGCATCTTCCATTAATTCCATTATCTACTTACTCTTTTGTGAGGTACAACCATGGAAGTTTTAACTTACTTCGGGGGGAAAAGATTTTTTTAGTCATGCATAATTTGTTTTTCTGAGCTATATAAGGCTACATCTATATTTGAAACAAACAAATAAATCATTTGATCGATCTTCCACTTCCTGCCAAATCTGTCTACTCGGGTAGAATGTATAAGAAAATTCTTCCTCTCCTTCAACAGTGCACACGCATGTCCTTAGCTTTTTTGGTACACTCTTGGCCTGGCCGCCTCGCAGTATTTTTTCACCACTTTTCTTACTTCTCAAAACACGCTCCGTCCTTCCGCCTACGCAAACGTTAAATCCGCCGGCAGGCTGATCGATTCACCTGTTAATATGCTGCACACGCCGAGTTTTAATGACGAGTGAGTAATTCAAAGTGTATCGACAGGAACTCAGTTGCCTGCCGCCGAGTGACTGAAAAGAGCCTCGGTCTCAAGCCACTGTGTAACGCTATGTATGTACTTGCGAGTAGCAAAATCGAATTGCGATTTCACTCCTGCACCGCTCTCGCGCGCAGATCTGCATAATTTCTGACGTGCTGAACAGCACCTTGTTTCGTCGAAGCGTGGCACCACCATCAATTATTGGCGCCCAACCGCTTTGGGGCTTAGAACTGAATTTAAAAATTTAAACAATAAATTAATCAGTCTCAAATTCTTTGGTATTAAAAAAAATCTTTCGAAATCACTCTGGAAATTCTCTCCCGTTTATAAGCATTTAATATTTTCAGAAATTCTTAGTTATAAATCCAAACATTTTGACCTTTTTCTTTTGATGCCGCATTTCTTGCAGACATATGTAGATAATTATACTTCTGAAATATTCATGCCTAACGCTGAGATTTAGAATGACGCACCTTAATTATAATAAAAAAACCAGCGTTTGAGTTTTATTTGCAGGCTCTCTACTTGATGGCAAAATTAATTTCCCGCGAATTCCGTTTTAGTCAATTAATTTGTGGCCGGGCTGCTCGTAAAACGTGCTTATACATTACTATATAAATTTTGGCGTTATCGCCACTAACTAGTAAGCCGCTGATTTGAGGTGGCTTGGATTGCAATGGGTCAATAGACTTTGCTTTACGACGCTCATAAACTCGGCAGTTGGACCGGTCGGTGGTGAAGATAAAAAAAAATGCAACATTTTCTCAGCAAAAATGGCCAGAGGGTTGAAAGAGCCAAGTTTTGGGACAACCTAGTAATGAAAATAGTTTCTACCCGGTTCTCAACTTACGAATTTCCCGCAGCCGCGTACTTCTTGTCCTTGGGCCAATTTTTTTCAGTTTAATTAATAAATACTGGCTTATTAACATTTTAGGCTACATATTTTCTGCGCTTATAGATGTTGAGAAAATTGCTTTATAGTGTTTTGATTTTTGCAAGATTATATTTTATAATGCCTACATTTAAACGTTTGGCATGCATTTTTTCTATAAAATTATTTCTCTTCTGTAAAACAAAAGATTATTTAAGAATTCGTGTTGTGAATACACAATTTTCATGTATATCAGTTTTTTTAGTAATGGAGATTTTAAGCAGAAGTTTTTATCAAATGAAATTAGTTGTTGGGCGTCATATTTGTGTATAAACTTGTTGCTCCTTTGTGCAAGATTTCCAAATCACAAAAAAATATGCCAAGTAAGATCAAAATGCCATAAAAATCTGCTGTTTCCATAATTTTAAAAATTCAAACTAGACATTTACTCAATCTATTTTTCTTAACTATCTAGTGCAATGCAAAAGTAGAAAATTTCACAATAATTAATATTGTTTTTCCTTGTTATTCTGACCTTGAATTTTTGCGATAAGGAGTATAGAGTTTCAATATAAAGGTAAGAATGATGTGGAAAGTTTTAATGTTAAATGGAAGAATAGCATTTTTTTTCCAAATGACAACATCGAGTCATTTAGACCGATGAAAAACGTGGCATTTTGAGCTGAAAGATATCTTGATTCAGTTGAACCATTTCTGATCATTTGGGTTGTTGGGGGTTTTCTTCCCTCAGGCTCTCGCCGGGGCAGTGGTGGAAGCAACGGGTCCACGCCGAAGTCGCCCAAGGAGAAGAAGATCGTCGAGGAGCACGGCGACAACAACCACCACCCAGTGGGCACCGTGACCGTTGAAATGACACCACCGGCCCAGCTGAACCAGCCTGAGAAGCATGAGGTCTAGGGCGTCACTCCGCAACCTTTTGGAAAGCCAAGTTCAAAAAGTACTTAAATAATACCTTTCTGAGTCAGCTACGGAGATTAACAACTAGAAAAAATACTACTTAATTAAAATTAAAAAAAAAAAATACTATGGGCGAGACTCACTCCACTCTGCAGTAGAAATGAGTATCAATTACGGTAAAATTAATTACATACATAATTACGATTATTCTCTACTTGTGCATTCCCAGAATTAAATTATTAATTAATCACAGTCAAGCGATCGAAGAAGAGCAGAACGATTTTTAGCAAAATGAGGAGCCTAGCGTAACATGACATAATTATTGGCCGGAGATTTTAATTAATTCCATATATTGACAGCCAGCAGTTAATTAACCAGTAATCAGTAATAACCGAGTATAATATTTATGAAAGATTTAAGGCAAATGATGTGTAACGATACAATAGAATAAATACAATCAACTCTTTACTTTCTACCCTTTGATCCCAATTAAATAAGATGTACCTCCTCCTGAAATAAAATTTGTGGCGTAAAATTATTTGTGTGGTCCGAATATTTTAGCTTCAAACGTAGAGATTACAGATTGCAATAGAACAAAAACTGCAAACATTCAACGATGAAAAGAAAACTTTTTCAACGCCTGCTAAACTCTCTATTGCTATGATAATGTTGATTACTGCTCTCCTAGCCTCTTTGCAATCTTCAGCTCCTCTCGATGATGGAATATAAAAAACTGCTATCAGCGCGAAAATAAACATACAAATCACGTGTTTTTTTCTCCGAGTGCCCGATTTTCAAGCATTTCAGTTTGCACATAATGTAAAAGAAAAAAATACTCTGCATACATTTTTTGCGTCCTTTCTTCTTCAGCACAACGTCCAGTTATATTATATTATTAATATACTTGATAAAAATGAAAAATGCAACCTAAAGTAAGATTAATTAAAACAAAAAAAGAAACGCGAGACTTAACAAAAGAATAAAGAGATGACCAAAACGAGAAGAATGTGTACTTTAACAAAAATCACTGTAAGAGCATGGTGTGTGTGCAAGAAAAAAACATGATTTTGATGATTCCGTGCCTCTTCGATGATGAAATGATAATCAAATTTTTAAAACGCAATACACACGTGACGATATATCACTACTTTTGATTTCCCATTCACCGCTGAATTGTTGATTTAAAATCATCAGTTTGTGTGTGCCATCATCCTTAAAAATCGAACTATTACACATGGACATCTCTCTTTCTCATTACTATGTTAGCTCCGCTTATGGGCCGAGACTCGTTTCGGCCGCTGAAGAAAAGATATCGCGCATAAAAGTAGCCTTCATAAACTGTATTACGCGACTTAAAATTTACATATATAAATAATATCCTGCTGCTATGATGTAAGTGATATTTTAGATAAAATCTATAAAAGTTTTAAGTATATTTCAATGAGAAAAAAAACACTTACTTCCACACTCGATGGAGCGTTTTGAAAATAATTTGCTAAGGAGGACAACCAAAACCATACACATAATTGAAAACACTATCCTAGATCGATGGAGCAAAAAAATTAGAAAAGCAAGTTTAACTCGATAATCTCTTTTTATAAAGTAATTCGTTAATGTGATAGTTGAGCACAACTCTCTGGATAATTATATATTAACTAAAATCGCTAAAACGCAGAAACTTTCAAGCATAATATATAAAGTACATGTAGCTTAAGAAAAAGATGAATGTTTAATTAAAGGCACATGCACTCAAATCTCAAAATTGGAACCCGGTGCCAACCAGCCAAAATTCGCAACAATGGACGTGGCCGACGCATTACTAAGAATTAAACGCGCTTTGCAGCAGATTGCCCACCAATTACCTTTTCTCTAATTAACGATGTAATAACGATTAAAGTATTGATCACTGACTTCACACACAACACACACACACGTGCACCTAGGTGTTGAAGGTAAATCTAATTATTAAGCGAATAACAAGTAATTAATAAACTAAATAAACGACTCACATGAACATACACTCATTGAAAGCACCCTTGTTGTCTCACACGCGAAACTCACACACACACACAATCCACTTTCGATGATATGACCTATTTCTTGTATAACCTTAGGCGGAATCTCGTAATTTTAAGGCGGCTGGTCGAATAATCTGGCGGCGGTCTTGGGGAAGATCGCGGCCGTGTTTATTCTCGCCACTTTCAAGCGCGTCCCTGGTTGCGTATTTTCTGGGCCGGTTGATCCACAAAATTATTTAAAAAAAAAATCAAGCACAAATTTTCCAGACGAAAAATTTGCTTAGTTCGTTCAGCCAGCAAAGTAGCAAACGCAGAGCAGAAGCACTGCTGTACCGTAGGTGAACACACACGACCAATTGTATTAAATTATGATTATCGTTAAGATTATGGACAAGCTCTTTTCTCCTGCTTCTCTCTTTCGATCCAGAATAAAAAAGTATAGCCTAATTCTCCTCTCACAAAGCAAAATACGACACACAAAAAGACAGGAAAGAACGATCTCTTCTTACTATACAAAAATATATCATATATTGTACGGAAAAAAATTATGATGGCTTTAAAACACGATTTGAATCAACGTACCACTCACAACACACGACATTTCCATTTTAATGTGTAAGCTCAAAGTACTATTATTACTATACAAAATATTATCCAAGGATATATTGTAACGATTGTAGGCCCTCTTCACCGAGTTTGTTTAGCGATTAGACGCGGAGGAGAATAAAAATGTATCAAGGAATAAGTGCCGAAAAGGTTTGAATTTTTGTATCAAGGGGAAGAGATGCAAAATTGCCTACTTTTTCGAAACGGGGGTCCCTAGGGATGCCCTCGGAGCGCGCTGCTGTAGTCCGGTCAAGAAGACGAGAGAGTTTGATTCGATTCATTCTTTGTAATTGTATGGTGGTAGCGAGTAGATTTTCTACTGCAAGTACTAACCACGTGCGTGTATTTCTAATGCTAATTACATTTATGGTGTACTGCTCTATCGACATATTTAACAGAGGAAAATAGTGGATACTGTATTACAGTTAATATATTACGACATATTTCTTGTACTGTCCAAATAATTCCACGCGTCATTTACCAAACACCCTTGAAATATGACGATGCTACTTAAATATTATCTTCACACTCTTTGGAAATAAAAATTTGTCCAGCGTGAAAATCTTAGACTTGTTTTTATTTCAAAGTCCTCTAGAAATTAAGACGCAATGAAAAATCAATCGATCAATAAAAAAATTAGTCTTTGTCAAAGGCACAGCTGGCTGAAAAGAGACGCTAAATATGAATAATCCTGTAGTCGGATTTGAATTGTAATTAAGAATTAATTAAGTCTCCCAATAGTCTCAGCTCTAAATATAAGTTGAAAAAATCTAGCACAGGCATAAATAGTGAGGGCTGCAGGAATAGATCAAGAGAGTATATTTATGATATTATATGAAAATGCAGTATTTATTAGAAAATATAACATTTAAATTTCAATGCTAGTAAACCTTCAAGAATGTTTTGCTCTCCAATCTAAAAATTCGTCAAAGTCCTCTTCCACCTCGCTGTCAGAGTCACTTTCCAGCTCTTTCTTAATATTCTCTGCGGCAGCCGTTTTTATTTCAACCTCTTCCTTTTTCTTTTCCAGGTCTAGTACCCTAAAAAATAGTTTCATCAGATTATTAACAGAGCAAATTATGGTTTATATAATATTACCTGGACCAATTTCTCATCTGCTCATCAATTTCCTCCAGTTGCCGCTCAGCCGTCGACTCCTCTTGATCTTCCTGGATGATTTGATGCGACTGCTCGGTCTCATCTTTCATTGCTTTCATGAACTTTCCCCACTCCTCCTCTACAGGATCTTTGTATTCGACATTTCGCACCTTGGCGTCAAGTTTCGGATCATCAAAGAATCCTTCCGGGAGTGAGGCGTCATTAGGTAGCTCTGCTGGATTTTGTTCTTTGGATGATGAAGATGTTTCTAATAAAATGAAAACTCCAAATCAATAATCTCATAAATTATTTTAAGGGGAGAAAGGAACCTTGCTTTTCTTTCTGTGCAGATCTCGGCTTCTCGTATTTAATTTGCTTCGGAGGTTCAAATTTCCTCTTTTCCTGACTTTCAACTTTGATTGGCCTCTTTGGTTCAGAGTCAAAGAAGTCAGCGGGTATGGCTGAATGAGAACTCGACGCAGATGTGCTTTTGGCAGCTTCGGAAACAAGGATGCCTGAAACAATTTTTTTAGCAATTGATAATGATGATATAAAATCATACCCTTGGGCTTCTTTTCTGGGGGAGCGGCGAAGGTTGAAGACGCTGGCCTCTTTTCCGCCTCGGACTTTTTTCTTTTGGCCGCTGTGATATTGGCAAGGTGCTCTTTGCTGGCCAAATGGGTCGTCCAGAGGCCTTCACTCTTCACAGGCGCGTCACACAAAACGCAGCACAGCTGACCTTTGGCTGTGTACGTGTTCAGGAGTTAAGGAAATTTTGAAAGCATTAAATTACGATAATTAATTTATCCACAAAGCAAAATATTATCATTTTACACAAGCGTAAAAAATGAAAAGGATATCGAGCTAGGGGCGACTCGATTTTCTTGACTGTCTGCGTCAGTTTCTTCTTCTGCTCGTTCATGATCCGCCGGAGCTCAATCTGAGAAATTGGTTTCTTGCCCATTTTAGCCGAACTTGCCATTTTTGACGGCTGTAATTTTTAACAAAACCAAAAAGAACGTCAATGCTGGCTCTCGCCGGTGCAGCTGTTTAAGCTGTAAACAAAATTATTGGGAGAAACGTACAGTGCCATCTTCTGGCTAAGGATATGAACTAAAATTAAACTACTTTCCAAAGTTTTACTTCAAATTTCTTTAGGCTGAAACTCCTTAATTGATAACTATTTTCAATCTTCAGTTGAGTCAATTGAGATGAGAATCTTCTATCCTGCACCTTTTAATGTTAGTGTTTTATTATGATTAATTTAAATTTGGATTAATGATTATGAAATTATTTAATGTGATTGGAAATTGTAAAGACGTTTGGAATAAAACATTTAGTTGACTATATAATTATAGCGATTTATTATTATCATTCATGAAAATATCCAGAAAATCATCATAAAGACTAATGTCGTATAATAATTATATACATCAAGACATAGTGCAGATAATATATTTTTTATATTATAATAATGTAATACAGTACTTAAAAGAGTCATGTTGTATGTCCTTGATACACTGAAATAATTTTATATTATTTATGTTAATTAGTTTACAGGAAGGTAAATTAAAACGCGCATATTTAACAATGTTTCCCAGAATACACATCATTGAATTAGTTAAACGTTGCGGATCATCTAATTTTAGTCAATATATAAGAGCTCTTTAAATAAAAATGTACATCAACAACAAAGCTGCAAATCACTAAAACAGATCCCGTTTCAATTAAATAGCTTGTTTTTGTTTAAGATTCAAAGTTTTAATATTATATAAATCACAACTACTATTATAATTTTGCGGGGATCATGACGGGTTGATAAACTTTTGATAACTTCAACTTAGCATCGCGCAGACAAAAATGCATTAAAATCTCTGAGGATAAATTGGAAAACAGTATTCAAGACCGTTCGCTCGGAATCTGGTCTTTTTTTTAAAAACACTGGTTTTTCAAATGGGACCAAACGGAATAGCAAAATGTGTGTCTGGCAAGCAGAATAGTCGATATTCTAGCAGAGCTTTTAGATAATAATCGATCCGAGGGGCCAGCCGACTTTTTTGACAAATTTCCTAACTTTTGGTACATTATTAAAATATCGAAGTAAAAATAATTCGCGTCGTAATATTTTGATATAAAATAAAAACGAGATAAAAATATATATTATTATTTAGCGCTTTTTCTACGACGCGTAGATTTTAAATTTTTACTTCTTTAATTCCGTAACAACGGTTAATATCAAACATAAAAGGCATTTTTTCTTCTTCTCAAAATTGCTTTTCAACTATAGGGCAAGTTTGTTTGTTAAAAAATTGTATTCACAACTGTGTGATCAACAAACAAGGAAATATAAAATAAGTCGGATTCTTTCAATTCCAAATCAACACTAGCAATATCCACATTCACACTAGAAATTGTGTAGGCAAAACTAGTATTTCCGACTTTTTACTGTTACATGAAGATAATTTTAAATTAGTTTAAAGTTTCTTTGTTACATTTTTTTCGTTTCTTAAAAAAGCATTTTTGAAAAAGTGCTGATCACTACAATTGTTATGCATCATACAAATCGGGCTATTTGCGATGGGTTTAGCTGCCTCGTCATGTTTAAAAAATTTGTTTCTTTTGTGTACAGAGGTGATGGAATCCCATTTCAGACAAGGTACAAATTCGTATTGGCTCATTGGTTTCCGGCCAACAGCTTTGTCATTACAAAAAACAATGAAACTCTATAAATTTTTAATGTTACATTATTATGTTAGAGCGCGGCGCCGCAGGAAAAGTGAGTTTCCTTCAACTTAAAACACTTCTTCCTTTTCGCAAGCAATCAATGGCGCACTTTTCTTGTACCTTGGGTAGTAATCAGCTTGTAATTTTTTTTTTACCGGTATTATTTACACTTAACAATGTTCACATTACGCATGCATTTTTAAACGTTACACTTTTCTTTTTCCTTTTGTAATGTAATTGTGTGTTTCTTCATATTTTCTGTATGAGATTGTGGCTAATTTAAAGCACTTTTCTGTGGAGCTTTTTCAAAATTTTGTGACGATGTGAATGATTGGAGCACGAGATGTTGTTATAATTACGTTTGTTTAACAATAATTTACAAAATTAATCTTGCAAAACTTTTCATATAATTTTGAGATCAGATAGAGCTAAGTTGGCCAATTGCAATTTGCATGTTTTTTTTACAAGTGACTTTTGAAAAAGCTCGGCCTCTAACAAGAGATGTATTTTTATATCATGTTAATTCTCCTACTCAAGTCTATGCGTCAAGAACTTCTGAATACATTGTAGCTTCGTTACGTTTTCTTTTATCATCAACAATTGTAATCCTCAAGTTTAGCAAAAAGAGGGCCACATCTTATAATGGGGTACAAAATGCAGTCTTCATTTGCATTTTTTTCCAAAATGATTTCAAAAAAAGTGCCATCAAATCAATATTACTGGATGTCTGGATATCATTGAAAACACTCACAATCAGATTGACAATGTTTCTCGTTTATGTTTTTTTTTCAAGATCTCAAGGAAACACAGTTGTTCTGTTAATGAGGTTTGGTATCACCGGATGCGCTATATAATTGCAGTCTACATAGTTATCAATGGAGAATGGCCAATTATGCATCGGCAAGGACAACACAACGAAACACATTAAAATTTTGCACTATACGCATTTAAAGCTTCCATTTTCACATATATTATACAATAGTTATTTATTTTACTTGATGACCAATTGACCGAGCAGTAGCGTTATTTGTTTAAAAACTATACATGCAAATCATAAAAGTATTTTTTTTTTGTCAGATGGCTTCTCCAGGTGATACCAAATCCTGCGTTTGATTGGGAAAAAAACTCAACCGGTGCATCGTGTGCGAAATGAAAAGGAAAAAATCATATGAGCTTTTACTGGCTATAGAATGTTTGTCAGGCTAATGAGCCTTTGTCACCTTAGATAGGGGTGGTGCAAAACAAACGCAGGTCAGTTAAATTAAATTACTTCAGGTGGATGGTTGTTCGTGAACAATTCAACAGCTGCCTTAAATTGAATTTGAGCTGCCTGCTACGAGTTGTGCCTCTAATTCCAATTTTGACTCAAATGTGCTAAAACCGGTGCTCACAACTGATAATAAAAGGTAGTGCGTTGAACTGTAAAAACTGTACACTAAAAATAAGTACTCTCGGTGTATAGACAGGTAGTTAAGTTGGAATTACATAAAAATTCAGGTCATTCTTAACAGCTGGCGCCCAAATAATATTATATTACAATATTCAGTAATTCAAGGTACACTGTTATAAAATTTCAGTTTTTGCTGAGTTGTTTGATACAAAAATTTCTTTGTAAAAATTACAGCCATTGAGCAATGTTATTAAGCCAAAATCGGGAGAGGGACTTTCTTTTTTTAGCATTCTGTCGTTTGTTGCTTCTGTGATTCTCGACGCGCGCTGGCAAGGACCGAAAATGTGCTCGACAGCTGCAAAAACAACTTTTTGGCACCCCATAAGCAACTTTCAGCCCTTGGTCAGCGTCGGCGCGCTTTGTTTTTAAAAGCTGTGTTTCCTTAGTGCTTCAGATGAGTACATACATATTGCATGACACTTAGCGAATCTCTACGAGGTAAAATATTTACATAAGCAGCAGCCAATTAATCAATAGGCATTACTCCGAGTCAACCAACACATGTATAGTATTATTATGTTGTAATATAGCAGCTCAATTCTTAAAGTTTGTGTGTGTATGCGTGAATGTGCTTTTGTCAAATTCAAAAGTCAAAAATTAAAAAGACGGTAGTATCATTAATAAATATACATGAGGCAGTCTGTATGGCGGAATGAAATATATTAATTATTTAATTTTTAATAATTGCGGTGGATTTGGGACTTTGCTTTGTCTGCTTTTTTCATTTTCATAATCTGTGTACATGTAATTTTTAGTAAACGAGTGTGTGTTGCTTGTGTACAATTTTGCTCTTGCATACACTAGATTTTAATGGTATGATTAAAACTGGAGGTACTTTCTGGCAAAGTCTCAATTCCAAAAACCATTTGATAAGGTGAGGTATTTAAAAAGGGGGGTCGGTAGGAACATCAAATCTGTTATTATTCATTTTGCAAAATTGGATTGGTAATCTCTTTTTTAGTTTCCGTTCGAAAATAGTTTTATGTATTTTTCCAAAAAAGCATTCCTTTTAAATGGGAAGGCTGCAGGAGCTGCAAATTTGTTTCCACTTAACAATGAAGTGAATCAATTACAAAAAGGTTCAAGACCCAGCACCATAGATTTTGATGAAAATTCTATCAGTGAAACATTAAATGTCCTTTCTCTTGAGAGGCAGATTTCTAAAGAGATCGGAAAAAAGAAACGTAAATTTAAGAGGAGAAAATCAGTTTTAAAATGATATATTCCAAAATGTGGTAGCGAATCTGGAGCAGGACATTCACACTATAGAGTGTGAATTAGCGGCAGTGAAAAAGTAATGATAAAATTTTAAAATAACATGACTCCAATCTCAAATCATACTTGTCAGATTACATTCATTTTTACATAGTAAAGCATGATGTCAGATTGGATCGGAGGTTAAATCAATCAATGTTGAGGACGTCTAATGAAAATGACACTACTTAACAGTTACTTAGGTACACTTGAAATCTGTATGCAATCATGCAGCCCAATTGATTATTTTCTCAGTGGTTCACTAGACACAAAAATATAAAGGACAGAGTCAACATCTTGTGCATAATTAAGTGTAAGTAACTAAGTCTGTCTTTTCATCATGAGAAATGAAAACAAACAAAAATTTCACATTAAAGGACAAACCTGAGGATACAAAAATAAAAACTTAAAAAAAGCTAAGCAACCGAGTCACTGTTGTTACCTGCAAATACAATCAACATAAAAGTAATAGAGTAAACCCTGTGTTGGGCCGGAACTTTACATGAAATCGTCTTTCAAATATGGCAGCTCCATGGACCTCCCATCACCTGAGAGGCAAATTTCCGTTTTAAAGTGGCACGACGGGCCAGCAAACGGCTGCTCACCTCACTACATGGAAGATTCCTTGCAGTCTATTAGAGTGGTGGTCTGTTGAGACTGGATGTGGTTTCCTCCTAGCGAGCAAGAGTTGTTGTTGCCCAGTGGCAGCAGCGGTGCCTGCTGAGCTACCCTTTCCATGACACATGAAGCAGAAAGCCTGGCTTCTGCATCATGATCCCAGCATTCCTCCATCGTTTCACTCAATGCAACCAGGCCCTAATAAGGCAAAATTAATGAGAATTATGAAGGGCTTTAGCTTTGTTTAAATTTACCGGGTGTTGCTTCCAAGTGTCCCTGATGGCTGGCCTCTTCTTCTTGTGCACAACAGCGTCTTGCATATCTTCAAGTGATGGGTGTTGACCGACTTCTTCCTCGAACGGCAGCATGTGCTCTGGTATCGGTCCCTGGATCATAACAAGTTATAATGAATAAGTTATTTGCCTCATGCTTTATTGTATATTTAACCTTAATTTCTATTAAATAAGAAAACTTAAAAATCAAACGCAACTTCCCAGATGGGGTTCTATTTTGATTACAATTTGTTAATAGATTCGGAAAATAAGATAAGTAAATGGCACATCATAAAAAATTGATTGTAAATAGGTAAATTGTTCAACCTTCTACAGCCGTTCAACCAACTATTTCCAACATAATCAAACATTTCTTGTGAAATATCATATAAAATGCTGAAAAATATTCATATATAGGATACAATCAATTTTTTTTTTTTTTAGCAATTTTCTTCTGTCTACAGGCGTGACTTCAAGCATGTCTCTAATAGCAGCCAGAGGCTGCGTATAGGCGGATACCTCTTATTTGGGATGGAGTCCCTCAAATGTGGTGAAATGTGGGTTGCCGTTCCTTGGATAGGGTGAGCTTAATGGAAGTTGGCAATTTTATAAAAAAAAAAAATATTAACTCTATTGATAGATTTTGAACTCTTCAACCATCCCAAATACACATCTCCTATCCTGTCACATTTCCCCCCTTGGAATATAACATTGCATATCACATGATATTTCACGTAAGGTCAATCGGCCATGGAATAGTTTGTGGTGCAACAATTTATCGTGCAACTCAGAATTTACTTACATCTTGGGCAGTGCACCTAGACACAAGTTCCCATAGGACGAGGCCACAAGCGTACATGTCAATGCGCAAAAACGCGTCCCGTGAAAAATTGATGGCGCCCTCCAGCACCTCGGGAGCCATGTATCGCCTGGTGCCAACCTGGCCGTGGGTATCGCCGCAGGGTTTTCCAGGGTGGAAGATCAGAGCAAGTCCAAAATCAGCAACGCATGCCGTCAAATCCCTCTTTAGCAACACATTCTTTGACTTGAAGTCACGGTGGGCAACTGCAGGTTTGCGACCCTGCTGACTGTTGGCAGCCATCTCCTCGTGCAGGTGCATCAGGCCCCTAGCCATGCTCTGGGCTATGCGGCACAACTCTGGCCATGTCACCACATTAGCTTTGAGAAATTCGCAAAGCGAGCCTCGCTCGTGGTAAGCAGTGATAAGCCAGAATTCGGCCTGCAGACCTTCGCCCCGCTTTTCAGCTGCAATGAAGCTCAGGATGTTGTCATGCTGTAAAAATTAAAATCAATCCTCTGCAAATTTTAGAAAGTTAGAAGCATCCCAACCTGCATATGTGGCAGCTGGAAAATTTCCTGCTCGGTGATCCAGCTTTGTTTGTCCTGGATGGGGAAAATCTTCACAGCAACAATTGCGTCACTCTTATATTGGGCCTTCCAGACAGCTCCAAAGCGTCCTCTTGCTTTGATTTCCAGCAACTGAATCGGTCGGAGACCAGCGGCTGGAGATGGAGGTATGGGGTTCGGGTCATGTGTTGGCAACTGAAATGTTTGGATTCCAAAAATTAATTTTCAGCTGACATCATTGCCCAGTTATGAGATTTTAACACACTGGCATGACATAATTTACAAGGATCACACTTTGAAAGTGAAAGGTAAAGGAAAAGAAGTGCTAGAATCCGATCAGGTTATTTTTACTTGGGCATCATGGTAAGTAAAAGAACTAGAATCTTTTTTGAATGCAGTCCAAGGTTAATAGAGACAATATCATTTTCCACACAATATCATCCACAAGGGAAAAAGTCTTAAAATGGGGGTTGAATATTACAGAAAAATAGTTAAAGCATTTGATACATAAGCTGCCAAACATTATCATAAGAGAAAAATGGGGACGCAAAGTCTATAGTATTACTTAAAAGTAATAACCTGAATATCATTCTCAATGAGCTGCTGAAAATAAAACCGTATAATTACTTTCAACTAATAGAAATCGTTTGACAGAAGAAAGAGAAAAGAGAAGCCTTTATGAGATGGTGAGTGTGAATTTTGGAAGATAAAACACTTTACCTGGTTGAAAGACCTCATCTTTCGACATCGGTAAGTTGCAAAAACTCCCAAGACAATTAGAGCAACAATCACTACACCCAGTCCCACCGAGAATATGATCTGCGAAGAAGGGTTCTCCAAGGCAGCATCGTGGGGTGCTGCAAAAAGCAAGCATTATTATAAACTTGAATATATTTTTTTCCTTTGGCACCAGTGACCTTATTAGGCTATTGAGTTGGTCTCTCAAATACTATACAATAATGAAAAAAATTTGGTTGATTTTTTTATTTAAATTGTGATATTTGATTTTGAATCAAAACTAAACAAAATTTACCTAAGACTGTTGGTTCATTGGTTGGTCTAGGAGTGTAGATGAACTCCTTATTACACAAGTCACCCTCGCAGCAGCAGAAATACAGATCCTTGTCTCCAGATTTTCCTCTAGCCACACATGTGGACTTGTCATAACAGTCGTGATTTTTAATGAAACATCCCTATTGAGTTGAAGGTCAAATCGAGTTGCAGTTTTCAATAAAGAATCAAACCTTCATCTCTAGTTTGTTGGATCCATCAACTTCAGAGATGCTCCACAGAACGAAGCAGTGGTTCCGTTCATCTCCCCACGAGTTTACACACTTGATGGTGCCTGTGCACTCACCAGTCTTCTCACACATAGTTTTGTTGTAGTAGTCACACTCTTCCGTTTTGATCCCATTGCAAGCAATTGCTGAGTAAAATGTAAATTAGCGATTTTGCAACGAAAAAGAAATTTTTAGAAATTACCATTGAATGCAACAAACAATATGATTGGCCTCCAAATCATGGTTGCTTAATATGGCACGCTGACAACAGCTAGATTCACAGGTTGACGGCTCATAAAAGTTGTTTTACTTCGATTTTAGTTCGAAGTGCCCTAGGTCTCGTGATGTCTTGAATAGCTCCCGCATAGATCTCTTGAGACCATGGTGGATCGGCTGAAACAAATAAGAAAAATTAGTTTGCAGGCAGTGTGGATTGCTCTCTCATGCTTGAGCATGTTGACGCCGATATTCCAGATCGACTGCAAAATAAACAAGAATGACAGAAGAGGAAGTGTTTAATCAATAATTATAAATTCATTAAGTGGCGCATCGTAAATCGCAATACGCACAGGAAATCGCTGTTTACTGGACAATCCGACACCATGACCTAGCCAAGGGAAAATAAACAAGGAATGCATTGGATGCACACTGCGTTTGTTTTGAAGCGATCGGCGAAATTTTAGCGAGTGACACCAAATGCATTGCATAATTGGCCACTGCGTTTCGACATCGAGGTCATGTTGGAAATGCTCGACGCGTTCCTTCTACTGGAAACTTACGTTTTAGGCTTGCAGGAAGCCGTGTTTTGGCTGTCGAACACGCTCGATAATGCTGCGTTGTTCGCTGATCAGAAATCCGCCGTAAAAAAGCGGCACTAGAGTCTGAGTCACCACAAAAACGATCTATAAAACTTCCGCTGCTCACCGGCTACTGTATTTACATTTTTAAACCGATAACACACTAGAAAATGTCAATATGAAAACGTGAATATTTTAATCTTTGTGTTGTGAAGTGTCCCCAATATGGCCTCCTCCAGTTTTATTTTTGCTGTAGAAAAGGAAATCAACATGGCGGGCCCATTCATGGAACTGCCAACATAATCGATAGAAACACGCAGTTAAAAGTACCCAAAACGAGATTTTTTTTATCTCCTGAGATAAAAGAAAAGAAACAAAAAATTTTTTTACAATAATTTTTAAAATCCAACAATTTTTGCATTTGCCTTCTTTTGGTTATCCTTATACTATAGTACTATTTTTTTATAAACAATTTTGTTATAAATCTTTTTTTTTTTAAATAATTCAGTATGAACAAATCTTAAATAAAACACAACAATTTTGTATCTTTTGAAACACCTTACAAGTATATTATGTGGGTTTTTTCCTCACTGATTGAAATCATAACAGAAGAACATCAGCAGTTAGTCATTTGAATAATTTAACAATATAGAATTAAAATAAATAGCCTGGAATCACAATCGTAAAATATTGATGCCTGCACTCTATCGAATTAATTCCTGATCCGGCATCATGTAGCCGACAAATGACACTGCCAGCAAACCAGTCAGACCAATCAAGGCCACAGAGGCAGTGTTCGTAAAGTATTGCGAGTAAACATATCGTAAGTACCAAGCCAAGCCTATCAAAACTGGCAAAATGACATAGAGGAGGGTGCCCAAATCAATTTCCCTTCTTTCCAGCATGTGACCACCATTGCTCTCATTTGCTTCTCTTTGCTCCTCTCTATTGGGGGCTGTGTTGCCTTCTGTGGAGCCAGCTGTGTTGCTGGTGACATTCCTCGGCTGATGCACTAAGCAATGGATAACACAGTTGTCAAACAGGCCGTGCTCCTCAAGGGATGCTGTATCCCGAGCTAAAACTTGACCGTTGAAGATGAGTCGCACCAACTTGTTGGCACTCAATTCCAAATCAAAGTGTCTCCTTAAATAAAAAGTATAAATTTAATAGTTTGTAATTGTAAATATCAAAACATAGCCAAAATTGTGTGTTTGACTGTTTGTCAACTTGTGTTCTGAAAAATATTACCTCTTGAAGTCCCCAAGGGGTTCTGTTAGCCGGCCTTGCACTAGTTTTTGTTCGTCATTCAGGTACTTGAGTCTTATCCTGATACTTCCATCGGAAGTTTCTTCTTCGACTTCCATAGCATCGATTGGGCTATAATATATATCCAAATTTTATTATTGTATTTTTATTTATTTTATGAAAAAAAAAATTATAACATACGTTTGTTCTACGACGATCGTTTTACTTTCAATAGCTTCAACTCTTCGGCGTCTAAGTTCTGCTGGAGGTGTATTCTCACTACTAGTTGTAGTTGCAGTTATCTCATTTTCTTCTTTTGGTTCATCGTTCGAAATTGTAGAGCTGGCTACTTCGTCGGCGACTTCAGGCTTGAGTTTTAATTTATTTTTAGTGCCCATAAAAGAATTTAAAATTAACAAAATACCTCTTGAGCAACTTCAGGATTGTTTGGCAATTCTACTGCATTATTGGAACTGTCTGGCGGTCGAGTGATTTGTTGTTCGTTTCTTGCTGGTGTGCTCTAATAATTATTTTATTTTAAGAGTTAAATGTAAATGTGCATAATACATGACTCTAATTCTAATCTTTGCATACCTCAACTCTCCTACGTTCAAGCACTAGAACAGTCCTGACCAAAGGTGTTTCCGAAATGTTTGTTGACCACCACGCAATAAGGGCAAGTCCAACGACAAGAAGGGCAATGAAGAATTGTGTCACTTCATCTCCAACACCTTCAACCAAAGTCATCTCTTTTGTCGAGCACGACCGCTGTAAGGAAAATGGAAATTATGTATTAGGTGGGCTAATTTTATGTCGACCTAAATAATGCAACAAAAAAATACCAGATTCTGTTATTTAAGCAACAATGGTAAGCTAAAAAAGGCGGATTTCCTCGAATAGTTTGAAATCAATGCCATTGGTCGTTAATAGAATGTTTGCTCTAGACTGTCAACTTGAATAAACACTGATTTAATGACGCAAGACGCAATGAGAGTGTTTGTGCACTTGTAATCGCGGTAACCTTCTGATCGCGACGTTCCAACATTCTTGCAAAAACTTACCTTTCAAATGGTTTTAACAAAATCTCGTCGATTATATGAGGTCGATGCTATTTTAAGATAATGATTTGAAATTGCAGGGTCGATCACAACATCGTAGAAGCACGAATTAAAATTAAATTAAGGTTGAAAAATACTTTTCTATTGAATTGGCCCTCCTCCCCAACAGTCAGAAATCAGATGTTTGGTTTCCTCGATCACTGCGACATCTCGCGCTCGGTCAAGTAAATTTTGGTCCCTGGGGCGCGAAACAATATTGTTGGACTGGTTAGAATCTACAAAAGTAATTTATTATTGTTTTGTTTATTTGTCCAAATTGGTACACATCGCATCGTTTACATTAAACTGTTGAAAAAAATTTGTTTCATAAAGAAAGGAATTGTTCAGTTGGACAAAACCGGCATTAATTTGAGATCTAAAAGGACCCCAATCCGCAGCAGTGAATTTAAGCTCGTACAAAATATATGTTACAGTTTTTTGACATTTTTAGATTCATTTTTATTATCATTGTAAAATTATAATTTTATTTCTTTTGAAGTCATAAAGCATAATTTTCCCTCAATTTTTTATTCTTTTCACACGTATAATAATAAATTTTAATATTTTTACGCTACATTACAATGGCAAAAGCAGTACTTGTTTATAAGAATTTTAAGCAGCAAGAATTCGTGATTTTAAATAAAATATTTTCATATCTTTTTATTTCCCTTGCTTAAAATTTCCAAAATCAATCACTGCATGAATGATTTTTTATAGACGAGTCAGAGTTTTCATCTTCAAAATCGTCTTCATTTTCCTTCAATTGATTACGCAACAGTTTAATCTGTGCATTTTTAGTGTCTAGCATTTTTTTCATATTAAGGAAAGCAGTCGTCTCTTTGAATTTTCTTTCGAGCTCCTGTGGGAAAAATCATAAACATTTTTATATTCAACCATAATCATACCTTATTATGAAAACTCACCTGCTCTGCAAGTTTTAATTGGCATTGTGTCTGAATTAGTTTTTCTCTGGTGGCTCTCAATTCATGATCATCATCAGAAGTTGGCTCAGAAGTTTTCTGAGTATCTTTGATGGATATATTATTTTCGGCATCTTTTAATTTCTGCTCCAACTCCTGAACTTTTTTTTGAAACTATATGTGATAGTAAAAAACAAAATGTTAATTAAATTCTAAAAAATTATATAAATATTATATGCCTACAATTGCTATCTTTTCATGCAGTTCCTCAATCAGCTCATGTTGCCCTTCATCGTTTTGCTTAGCACCCAATTCTTTTTCCATTTTTTGGATCTGACAAATTTAATTTTATCTAAAAGGCCCCACAATTGACTTTTCCAACATACTTGTTGATTTAGACTTTTAGTTTCCTTTTCATATCTTGCCAAGTCCTTCTCAAGTCTTTTGATTTCAAGTTGCAATAAACCTATAGGATCATTTGGATCATCTAGCTTTTTCAATCGATTCTCCTTTGGTATAAATCCATTTAGATCAATTTCTTTCACCACCTCCAAAAGTGATCTGTATATGACTTATCAGCCTCAAATTAACTTCAACAGCAAGTAATTAATTCCATTAGCAACCTGTTCTGTAGTTCTGATAAATTAATTTCAAGCCTCAGGTGCCAGTTTTCGGCCTGCGAGAAAAGCTGCTGAAGTAAAAGGACATTCATGTGGTTTACATCCATCAACCCAGATTCAAGCTCTCCCTTCAACAACTTCCTCAAACTGTACAAAATATCCTGTACTTCGTCAACAGTGTAGGAGCTGTCTAGCAGTCTGAAGTTTACAAGATGGTTTAAGATCAATTTATTAAAGACAATTAATTTGATAATCAGCACCTTGAATCAAACACGTCTTGAAAAAGACCATCTATAGTCCGCAAATTCTGAACCCTTTGCAATTTAGTAAATGCCATGTAATTGGCTACGACGTCAGTGTGATGACTGTTTAACCCTAGATCACTCTTAAAAAAGAATTTTAAGTGAGCTTAAAAAAACATAAGCAGGTGCTTACCATTTTCTTTAAAAGTTGAACACAAACTATTTGTTTCAAATTTAGTTCAAACGCTTCTAGTATATGAGTTACTATGGTAACCAATGATCACAATAAAAAGCACCTACAGTGTTTAGGTACCAACAAAACAAGCGTGATTTTAAATATGAATAGAAGTGAACAATTAATTGAATCATTACAGATATTTATTAATGAAAATTGGAAGTCGCAACATAAAAAGTTTATCGCTTGCGACGGAGCTGCAGCGAGTTGCGTCGCAGCCAGCAGGCGCGCCTTGAACCTCCAATGGTCTGAGTGTAACGATGTCCCTTGCCCAGTCCTCTGGACTTGCGTCCAGCACTTGTCTTGCCTCGCATTTCTCTGTGCTTGTGCACAGCTCCACAAATCCAGTTGACTTTAGGATCCCTACGGATGGCCTGTAGGCAAACAAAAGTAGACTTATAAAATTGGTTCACTATTTTCATGTCAAATTTTATAAAATTTAGTTTATCAGACATCCAAGGAAGATTCTGCATTCATTGATATATCATGACAGAGGTAGGGTATATCATCATAGTAAATTGATATGGAAGTTTTTCAAAATGAAAATTCGCACCTTGTGGCTGGGGTCAAGCAAGATGACCTCGAAATATTTGTAAGTGGAATCCTGAGCAACCCAGTACGAGTTCAGCACTCTAAGACCACCACACCTGCGTCCAACACGCTCCTGCAATAAGAATAAGCATAAATAGACATTCAACTTGTATTTCATGGAAGCTGTTGCCAAGCAGTCAGCACCCAAGCAGCACAAGGCCTTTCAGGCTTCCTAGCTGGCATGATTTAATATGCCCAATTATTGGACAGTCAAATTTCAATATTTTGACTGATCAATTATTATAAATTGGGTGAAAAGTGCCTCGTTAAGAAATAAATTACCTCAGCCATGGCCTGGAGGTTACGGGTAGGCTTCAACTGGTTGACGCCGTGGCTCTTGGGCTTGCCATAGGTGCAGCCCTTGGGAACGGGGCGCTTGCGTCCACCACGGCGGATGCGAATTCTGAAGATGACAAAACCTGGAAAGCAAGAAATAAATATTCAGAATATGCCAATTATAACTAAAAAGGCCGCAGATATGCACAATTTTTATTAAAATATTTTTGTTTCAAATAATTATGTACATTACCTTGCTTGGCCTTGTAACCCAATCTACGGGCCTTGTCAGGGCGGGTTGGTCGGGGTGCACGGTGCATTTTTGTGAGCTGACGATACTGCCAACACCTAATGCGGAGCAAGAAGCGCATAACATCGCTCTGCTTCTTGCGGGACAACTCTTGCATATATTTGTACGCCCCCATGGCTTAAGTTTTGAGAAACCTGAAATTGCAAGAAATTTTGATTTATTTAATTGCGAGGGTTTGAAAGACGGAAGGTTGCTTTTTTCTGGCGATTACGTAGTATGAGAAGTGTTTATGTACATAATTATTTTTTATGTGCGACCAATGAATTTATGTCAATATTTTCAGATACGTATTCCTCGTTTAATGAAATATGAAGATCATGAGTATTTAAAATAAGTCGCTAAGTTAAAGAAATGAAATTCCCTCGTGAGCAAGCGACTATGTGGCCATGCAGGACAACACATGCAGAGTGACAATCGGCATAAACATTGTACATTCGGAAGACGTTTTATAGCCGGTATAGCCCGCATCCATCGTGTTTATTGATCTTAAACGAAAATATGAAAGTACTTTTTAGAAACTCAACAGATCTTTGATGAAAATAAGCAATGATGGACCAGAATATTTGAGATAAAAATTAAATAATTTTGGATAAACACGTACCAAGCCGGGCGAATAGAATCCTACAGAAGAATAAAAGTAGGGGAGGGCTGTGGGCGTGCCTCATAATAAGAGGGGAGAGGTGATGGCGGCAAATTTGAAGAATATCTCAAAACTGAAAAAATTAATAATTTATGTTGAAAATTACTGCTTTTTGAATGAGAATATCAAGGAAGTATTCCTTTCTAGAGAACCAGCTCATGTTTTCTTAAAAAAGGAAAAGGAAGCACAACATATTAATCCCCGAAAATTGCAGGCCAGGTAATAAATATAAATTTAGTTTACGAGTTAAAGGCAATCAAGTGCCTCTTACCAACGTTTTATATTATGGAGTGTAAAAATAACATTTTTAAGCAAATTAAATTATATTTCATTGCAGATTTAAAGCCGCATATCCTAACCGGTTAAATAATAAATAATTTAGCCACCCGCAACAGTAGAAAAAAATGTTTAGCTTCATTTTCTCACACAAAAGAAAAAAAAATGGTTGCTGATGGATAGTCTTCTGCGCTCCTTGCTTCCGTGAATATTGTTTAAATAAACCAAAAGCCTCATTTGAATTCTACAAAATACATTTTTAATTTCTAGCTTGAACTAATACATTCAGGATGCTTTTTCAACTACCAGCATTCTTGTTTATATTTAATTTTAACAGGAATTAATTTTTTACAAAGGCGATGGTTAAAAACATAGCAAAAATAACAAGGTTGAAAATTAACAAGATGTGACCATCTTTATTGTGTACAGTGTCATAACCCGAGCGCTGCAATAAAACGAGACTGGTTTCGCTAACAATCAATCATATTTTAATGAACGAAAATATTAAATGACAGTCTATGCTGGTACTTTACACGATGTAGGATTTTTTTTTTTGAAATAAATTTAACATTTCTGTTTCTTTGTGTCTATATTGTGAAGATTATAATAATAGTCGGGCGAGATGTTCCGCTGACAAAATAAATCAATTCAAGTTTCACTTTTCAGAGCAGCTCACTGGATTGAGGTTTGTGCATGCTCAGAAAACTTACGACCTCGCTCAGCCCCCCCAAACGAGGAAGACCTGAATTGACCGTTCAAAATCGTTTTTCGTTTATCTCACTTCCTCCAGCCCCCACATATTTTTATAATCAAAAATGAGGTGTCGTTGACCGTTCTTTTTCCATCTCATTTTTTGACTAACATTAATTAATAGTAAGAGCAGATTAAAAACCAGACCAGGAGCGCAGTTGCCGAGCACCCGTCCTGGTAAATAAAAGGCTCTTTTCAAAATGCCCTGTTTAGAAGGCAAAGAGCAACAGGAAGGCCATCATCAAACAGAACAGGCCCATGGCTTCAGACAAGGCGAAGCCCAAAATGGCGTAAGAGAAAAGCTGCTGCTTGAGGGAGGGGTTCCTGGCATAGCCAATGATGAGGGAACCGAACACTGTTCCAATACCAGCTCCTGTTAACATAAATGAAAAGAATTAAATTATGTTCTTTTAGAAAGTTTTTTCATAATAAATTTTCTTAATTCTAGACAAATTAAAGACCCTCAGAATTGAGGGGCACACAAACGCAGAGTAGTCTGAATTGGGTTACGGCCTCTCGACCGCCTCGCACATTGAACTAAAACGGCTGGCCACGGGAGTTTTCATCTGGCTGCAAGGGCTGCGCCTCCACCAAGAGCTAAGCACCCCCGGGATCCCAGACATAGACCCCCAACCAGTAGTTTTCTAGTCCCCCGCTCCCTTTTAAAGGGATGTCCTTCTCGAACATTATGACTGGCCATCACTCAGACCTTCCCAGGGGTAACCGACCTTGAGAGGTCAGCATTTGCCCCTAATTGCAAGCTTGCATTTGTGTGCCCAACTCGCACAAGGTCATCATAGGGTAGGAGTCTAATGCACAATTAAGATATAATTGGTGGTAATCACCTGATCCAGCGACTCCAACGGTGGCGGCACCAGCACCAATGAACTTGGCGGCGGAATCAATGTCCCTTGAGACAGCAGAGGTCTGGAAACTGCGCGCTGGGAGCTGCAGTTTACTTGGTTAGATAAAAAATATTTGAACTAGAAAGACAAAACTTGCCAGAGCAAGAGATGTGGAGGTGCTTTGCTGGCTCTGGGCAGGCGTGCTGGTGATCACGGCACTGCTGAGTGGCCTCAGGTAGGTCTTAGAGGTGGATACCAGCTGAAAACAATTTGTATATTTTAACCGGACACACAAAGATTTGATATAATCTTACCGCAGAGCGGGCAGCTGGGGTGATGAATCTTGCAGCAGCGTACATTTTGTATATTCTTGGGGGGCTTCTGGAGGGCTGAGACTAGCTCTTGACCTGTCTTAACATACAAAAATGGAGTCAAATTTTTTTCCAATTTCAGTTGCCAAAACCGGCAAGATAACGTTATGTATTATAATTGATTGATTTATGTATGTTCATATGTATGTTTAAATTACATAGGGAACATTAGCAAGAAGGAGAAAAATAAATATTGCACCCATTTTCAGCGGATCTTCAATATTAATTTTTAAGAAGATGCAGAAAACTGACACAAAAAGACTAAATTAACAGACAAAACGTTCTCGTGACGTAATTTCCATAAGCCCAGCTGCTGAGTGCAATACAAAGATTTAAATGGAAAATCTTCGCCGGCCAATTAGATTATGAAAAACGAGTACTGATATCCAAACAAGTGAACGAACACGTTCTTCACGTAACTTATTTGAGAAAATTAGTTGAAACGGACCGAAATTTCATTGATTTAATGCGGAACAATGGTTTTATTTTCCGGCGACCTTAAAATGGCCGTATTTTGTGAAAAAAGTTGGATAGCCGACCTGCGATCTTCAATCGAGAAAAAACTACGGAAAACCGCGATAAATGTTTAGCATAAACTTTAACGCTAGTTAAAAACGATAAATTCTGATTGTGTTTTGAAAGCCGATGGTTCATAATTTCAGAGAAATTTTAAGATAAAGCCGGGTACTCACGCAAGATCCGTACTCACCAGAGAACAGAGCAGAAGAACAAGAACTGGCAAAGGGGACGAGGTGAATGGTTGATTCCGCTGGGTTTCAGCCAATCAGCAAACGCCTATGAAGGGGAATTTTTTGCCAGAAGTTCTCCACCTCTCACTGGATGACTCCGCAGAGAGTCCTCCAATGGCAAAATCGCTTTCTATCGAAATTCGAGCGGAGTACAAATGAGAAGCGGAAGGCACTATCCTCTTTGTTGGCGCGAAATTGAAAAGTTTGACCCTTTGCCTTTCGTAAACATTTTCTTCCTTTGAAAGGTCACAGGTGAATTAATTCAAAGTTTAGTGTTGGTGATCTTATAAGTTTTGAAATTTTAGGTAAATTCATGTTACATGTTACGTTCTTATCTTGAAAATTTTAGAATTTGGGTCAAAAATATATTTCCATCGATCAAATTTTGGTCTAAAATTCTACCGCTGGCGCTAGGTGCTTCCGACGGGGCGTTGGGCGTTGAACGAACGAACATCTGCGAGCACGAGCACCAGCCGACCAAAGGAGCCGACCAGCCCAGCCAAGGGCAGGGACGAAACATGAACGAAAGGGAGGCATGTCAATGAAAATTGCCCACAAGAAGGTACAGAAATTGGTTGCTCTCTGCGGAGTCAATCATTGAACGATATTAATTTTTTATTCTGTTTTTTAGATACAAATTATGGCTGTGTTTTTGTTAAATACTTGTAAATTCAATGGATGCGGGCGAAGTTTTAGTCACCTTGGGGAATTGATTCTTCATATAGAAGAGAAACACATTGGTATGTTAATGTTAGATAATTTTGTAAATACATTACTGAGCGAAATTTTTTTTCTTAATTTTTTTTTATTAAATTTATTTAATTTTTTTACATTGTTCTGTTATTATAGATTATGATCCCAGGGCTATTGAGCAAAAAGAACAGCAGCAGCCAACATGCCTCCCTTTGAGCTATATCCTTCGTTTCTACTCCGATGCGGCCCGAAAAGAATATCCCAGGACAGCAAGTCCGCCGCGAACACCATCAAAAACAATAACCACTTCTCTCAACACTCCAGTAAACCCAAAAAGTCCCTCAGGTAAAAAAAAAAATTGAATTTCGCTGTGTCCATATCAAGAAATCCATTTTAAACTGACAGAAAGTGACCTGGATGAAGACGAAGCTGCCTCTGAAAGTGGTGAAGATAGTGATGACTCGTGGACCACACCAGAGGAGTTTAGTTCAGAATTTATTTTGAAAGAAGGCAGCAAGTAATGAATACACAATGAAAGCATAATTTTTTATTTTAACTATTTACCTCTTATTATTTTAGGAGTGCGTCCAATAATGTTGGCGAGGATAGGCCTTTTGTCTGTCCTGTGCCTGGATGCAAAAAGAGGTATAAGAATGTTAACGGCATCAAGTACCACGCTAAAAATGGACACAAGAAGGATTCTGGAAAGTGAGAATCTTCTATTCTATTGAAATTTGTGAGATTCTTGCTCTTTTGTCTGACATTTTTAGGATCCGTAAAGCGCATCGTTGTCCTTGTGGGAAAAAGTATCGCACAGTTGTTGGCCTTAAAACGCACACACAGGTTGCTCACCAAGCATCACCTGATGGCGTGAAGACATTGCCAGTACGCACTTCAAGTCTGGCTGTGCTCGACCAAAGCTTTACTCTGGTAGCCAAAGGGAGACAGGGCAATGTGGTGCAACTAGGAATAATCACGCCCAACCATCAGTCCTCGCAGAGTTCAACGACTCTAACTTTGACGCCAATCACTCAAAAAAGCACACAATAGTCCGTCTTCCACCAGCTAAGTGAAGTTGCATAGCAGCAAAGTACCAAAAATGCAAAACAGCTGCTATCAACTCTCTCAAGGAGGAGAATTACAATCATGGTAGTTGAGGTGTAGTTTAGAAGAAAAGTGAATAGTAAAATGTAGTCGGATTTCTTAGAGCGACTCATGTCGAATGTTAAAAGGGTTTAAATCTCGAAAAGGAAAATGCAACAATATTATACAAGAAACAATGTGCCATTCACTGGAGATAATGCTAGTTAGGAGAAAACAAAAATGATTATTGTTAGCTCTACAAAGCAGAAGGTGCTATGCCTGAAAGCTAAAATCGTATTACAAACCATAAACAGGGTCTTGGCTTTTGTTCTCTATATGCACGCTCTCTGGTCACATAAAAAGCAGCCGGGAAATTGTTGAAATGTTATGGCCAAACTTGCCCTAAAAAAAAAATTAAAAAAATACAGTAAATAATTTACTGCTTATATTTCTTTGTTGAGGAATATAAATGAAGCATATGAGCATAATTTTGCTGAACTGATGTATTACTTTGCAATATTATTATGTGTGTGCTCAAATTCTTAAAACAGCGGCTAAAGGGATTTAAACTCGATAGTTTAAAAATCCCCAATTTTTGATGATTAGAAAGGCTACAAAAAGTTAAGAACTATGCAATTGGCACCTATAATCTACACTGCATTTCCCTTCCATATAAAAAGCGTAGTCAAGAAAAATGATTAGAGCAATTCATTTCGATTCATTTATCACAACTTGCTCTGTTTTACGTACCTGTAGTCACGTTATTAGCATTTATAAATTAAAACAAGCATAGCTGATTCTAAGCTGCACACAAGCGTGCTAATTAGCAAGTAGCAAACTTTGGCTGCAGAAAACATAGTCAGTCGACAACAAAGAAGAAGTGTGTTCTCCTGAAAAAGAAATCACTCTCATAGTGGTCTAGTCTGTTGAATGTGATTAAATAATGCAGAATCAACTATTCTTATGAAGTTACAGCATTATAAAATAGTTAAAATTGTCTTGGCTTAAAAAAAGCAGTGTGTTCATAATCCAAAGGTTCAAGATTTGAAAAATAAGTTATTCAATATTTGGAGCAATTTGGAGTTATAAAAACATAGCTACCCATATGCATGAATATGTAAAATGACACTTAAAGGTTATGTAAATTAGATGTGCATACTGAATACACATTTGAATGATTTGAATTAATTAATTATTTATATTTGTATGTAACAATTATGTTACAAAAAAAACGTAACGGCAATTTTACTTAATATTATTGTGCTGTTATCTGTATAAAACATAATAGAAGCAAGCTTAATTTACAAAGCTCACTGCTCTGGCTGAAAAATTTGCGCAAGACTGCCTATCTAGTTATTTCAAATGAACATGCATAGTACGGAGAAAATTATATTGAAATATAACTGCATAATATTATATAATTACTGTGTTCCTTCTTTTTATAGCATAAAGAAAGGATGTTTTTATTTTAGGAATTCAAGGCACCGACAAATATTTTGAAGATATAGAATGTTTGCTGTTGAAAAATTCAACAAAATTGAAACATAATGTTGAATATTTGACTTGCCATTGGTAAAAAAAATAAAATAAAATAAAAATATTGAACTAGAAAATAAAAATATATAATTTCAGTATTTTCAAAATAATATTATTTATGAATTTTATATCGTTTTATATAATACAATTACACAATGCCTACTATTTATTGAAAAATAATGTAATACATAAATTATTACATTCAACCAGCATTCAAATTTAAATAAATAGAAGAAGAATTTTTGCTTTTTTATAGAAGAAACAACGATCATCCGCCGTTTACTTACGAGCTTTGAATTGGTAAAGTAAAATCAGTACACTTTGCCAGCGCAATGTATGTTTGGTACGTTTTCTTATAGCATATGATGTATTGGCGGCAATTTTTCAAATTAAAAATATGCTGCCCCCTTCTCACCAATCTTCGAAGCTCAGAAAAATGGCTGCGAACAGGAGCCATGTGGATTCTGTTGTCGCGGAGCGAAGATTGCGGCCGATTTATGGTAAATAGAGGAATTATTTTTTAATCATTTCTGGCAATAAAAAAATTTATTTATTAACATATCGAATACAAAATTTTCCGCTTAGCTAAAACCTATTGCCGCCTGGAAAATTGCTCTGTGTTTACGCCGGTTCCAAAAGCAAACAAATTCATTAATTCATTATTATTTACAAATTTTTAATTATTGGTGCCGTGAACGTCATGTTTTCTGAATGTTTAATAAAATTAAAAATGATTCAGATTGGCTCGATAATGGGAACTACAAAAAAGCCATCCAGGAAGCTGACAAAGTGCTCAAGAAACAACCTGACTTTTTGTGCGCCAAAGTATTTGTTCTTTCGAATCTACTTTTAAATTTAACTAACCAAATGAATTATTTTATGCTAGGTTCTGCGGGCACTTGCTTTGTTGAGGGTTGGAAAAACTGATGTCTGTGACTCAATTCTGGAGTCTGTACGCTCCGAAGTTCCTGTTGACGAGCCAACTCTACAAGCAATGACAATTGCCTATCGAGAAATGCATGAATGTAAGAGGGAAAAAATTGGAAAAATAATTATAAATAATTCATTGTTTCTAGTTCACAAGATATGCAGTATTTACGCCAATGCTGTTCAAAAGGAGCCATTAAGTGAAGATTTGCTGTCCCACTTGTTCATGGCCTATGTTCGTGTGGGGGATTTTAAAAAGCAGCAGCAAACGGCTATGGCCCTTTACAAGATCCGAAGCAAAAACCCATATTATTTTTGGGGTGTCATGTCAGTTGTGATGCAAACCAGGGAAGTTCCAGAGAATATGGCTCGATCTGTGGTACTACCCTTGGCAGAGAGGATGGTCGTTAAAATGGTTGAGCAGGGCAAGGTCGAGGCTGAGCAAGAAGTGCAACTTTACCTTATGATATTGGAGATGCAGGTTGGAATTTTCCTTCCATATTACTTTGAATACGTATATAAATATTCATATTCCAGGATAAGATTAAGGAGGCCTTGGAAGTGTTAAACGGACCTTTAGGCGAAAAGCTGGTGTCAAATCTGGGCTTAATTCACACCAAGAAAGCAGCTCTATTGGCACGCATTAACTGCTGGAAGGAGGCTCATTTGCTTTACAAACAACTTCTCAGAGAAGAGTATAGCTTTTATAATGGTTTTCTAATTTACTATTGATTAATCTTAAACAGTCAAGATCGGTGGAATTATTACCAAGAGTATTTTAAGACGTCTGTCAAACTGTGGAACAATACACCAAGTGAGAGATCAAGTGAAGAGGAATTGGTGCGGGAAAAATCTGAAAAACTATGGCATATCCCTGATGTCAGTGCAAAGGTTTGAATATTTTTAAATTTGAAAATATCTGTTGCATTTCCAAGCCTTGCAGGAAATTGCGGAATTCTTAGACATGCTTAGCGAAGCTAACAAAACCAGGGGCAAAAAGCACTTCAGAGCGCCATTCTTGGCCAAATTAGAACTTTACAGGCTCATGTCAAATAAAGAGATGAAACCTGAAGAGCTATTAGGTATGATTTTAATAATAGAAGTCTCTAAAAGAATGTAACCCCTTTTCTTAGGAGACATTGTGGAACTGATCAATGACTATTTTGTGCCATTTGGATTGAAGCCTTGCTGTTTCAGTGACTTGCGGCTTTACTTGCCCTTAGTACCTAGTGAAAAAGCCAGTGGACTGTTGCAGAAATTGTTTCTTTCTCATGATCTCGGTGAAAATGAACTCCCTGTTGATGTATGCTTTTTTATATTTCAATCCTACTGTCTTAACATTTTGTTTACAAATTTCAATCAGATATTTGAAATGCAGAGGCACATAAATTTGATCAAAATAGAACGCTCTCTTGGTCTTCAAGAGAATCTCAGCAGCGACAGAAAAATCAGTCTAGTCAAAGACTTACTCCGACGATATGATCATGGAGCATCTCTAGAAAAAGATGTCAACCCCACTGATTTTCCGTAATTACTATTAACTTTATCATTAAGTCTATTCAATGAATTTTTCTTGGTAGTGTCCATGATGCCTACGCATTGATTGCGTGTCACATTTTGCAAGAAATAAGCTTTGACAAGAATCAAGAGGACAAACTCGTGGAAGCTGCAGCAATATTAGAACATGCACTGAGCCTTAGTCCATCTAATTTCCATTTCAAGTTATTATTACTTCGAATTTACACACTCGTTGGTGAGTAAACTTTCATATTTTATCTATTAATTCCTTAAAAATTTCTCATACTAAACAGGCGGAGGAAGTGCATCACAGTCAATTTTTGAAATAATTGACATCAAACACATGCAGCTGGATTCTCTAGGCTGGTTGCACTGTGCCACTCTCTCTTCCACGGGTCTTCTCTACTTAGCTTCAGCTCACTGTGAAGCTGCCCTGAAATTCTTCACTGCTAATCACAAAGATGTATGTGTCCTGTCTATGCCTTATACACTTAAAAAAAAAATATAAATATAATCAAAAGTGGTGAATTAAGAAATAAATGGGGAAGGATAGTTTTGGGGATGCAATGGGCGTTGAAGCAGGTGCCATTTTTTTTTTTTTTTGTAAGACTGGTATGAAGTACCTTTTTTGAAGTCCATCCTTAAGATGGGGCCCCATGGGGTCGGCGCACATTTTCTTGGCGGTGAGGAAGAAGCTCTTTTTGTAGCCTCCATTTCCCTGACGTGCAACCCCAGAACTATTCTGTACTTTTTACTTCCATTTTTTTTCTTAATTCATACATTTTACCTTGAATACAAATGAAATGAAAGCTCCGCAATGGATCCCAGTTTTGGGAAAGAATTTGTAAAAAAAAAAAAATTGTTTTTGTCACAGAGCTTGGACCATCTGACCTATTCATATAAATATGGGTCATTTCTGAAAATTTCTGAATTCGTTGAATTTCGAGACAGACTGCACCACTCCCACCACTACATAAGATGTAGTATTGAAAGAATGCTGAGTGAACTTCTGATGCCAGCAAATCATGAACAAGCTGTAGAGGTAAAATAAATTGACGCAAAGAAAATATCATTGAATTTTCGTATATAAATTAAATTTGTGTAACAGGCGGTGTTTCGAATGGACGTATCACCAAGTGACGATAACATAGACTGGGAAAAGTTACAAGACAACCGTGATTTGGATGTTCTCATCTCCTTTGATCCAAAGAGGAAGCAGTTGTCTCAGGAGCAGGTTGAACAGACATTTGTAAGGGAAGTTGCGGTGATCAAACTTCGTCGAAATCAGCTTCGTTGCCTTGCTGCTGCCTTTGACCTTTTGAAACCGCCATCTACTGAATCTGCCAACGGCAACAATGATGATATACTGCCTAAGCTCATTAGCGAACTCTCCGTCTTCACTTTGCCTCCAGCTCCTTATTCAGGAACAGAACTAAACTACCCCATCAGGTCTAGAGCAGACGCTATTCCAAGCACAAGAAACCTCTCTTCGTTTGTACTGGCACTTCAACTGGCCTATCAGTTGTCAGAATTAAGAAGAGATGCTCAAAGTGATGATAGCAAGGCTGCGAAATTAATGGTTAACAGTCGGATATTGGCTTATTTCAGTTATGAACGTTCAACTTCTCTTTACAGACTCAACTTGCAGAAGAAACCTCTCTGGTGTGTACAGAGGCAGAAGAGCTGCTTCAAAATGATGATAGTCTGCTCACCAGAAGAAATGCTTTGGAGGCTGCAACAAATTGCTATGAGGTATTAATTTTGTTATTGAGGAGTTTGTTTTAATTATTATCTTGTTTTTTTAAGACCTTGAGCTTTATGGCTCTTTTCTGTGGAGTGTACAAAAATCTCACCCAACCGTCAACTATGCCGGGAAAGAAGGGCAAAAAGAAGAAAGAAGTCTCTGACCAAGCACAGGTAAATCAAATTTGGCAACTGAGATGTTTATGAAATTTAATTAAAATGAAAATTAATCTAGCCAAAGATACTTCAGGGACTGTCAGAATTGGCTAAGCATCTTCGTGACTGCTGCAACAAAATGCTAGACAGCATTGGACGATGGGAGACGAGAGTTGCTCTTATAGAAGAGGTTTCGGATCATTTGTGCAAATGGTCCCTTGAGGATCCTGAGGGTAACCCAGAGCACAAGCAAGTTACCGACGACAAAAATAGGAGACGAGATGAGATGGTTGTGGCAGTAGTGGCCAAGCTGAGACACAGTTACATGTCATCAGCCAAAGAACTGCAAAACTTGCTTTCCCACAAGTGCAAACATTTTGCACTTTTCACTTCATAGTTTTGTATGATCGAATACTTTAATAAGCGCAATTTTTTTCTAACTATGCTTTTTGGGTGACTATTTAGTTTGCCTTTTTTGATTGTTAAAATCAGCTAATATTGTGCCTTGGTCATTATTTTTCCTCTCTTCAGATAGGACTGTTTTAAAAACCGTTATAAAACAACAAAGTTTAGTACCATTCACCATTCCTAATTTCCTTTACCACAAAAAAATTATTTACAGGTTATTTCTTTTTTTAAAATTGTTAACTTCTTAATAGCATGCTTTATTTCATGGATATTACGCTTCATAAAGTAAAATATTTTTGTGAGGTTAAAGAAATTCAATATCATACCTAATGAGTAAAGAACAAGTTTTCATTCATTTTCCACCTAGAAAAAAAAGCAATAAACGTTTGGAATAAAATGTACATTCTATTGATTGTTTTTACATTTTCCCCTTTGTCTGCATTTTCAAAGCATATAATAATCATAATAATATAAATTGCATGCATAAATTCGCATAAATTATTAAGGTAAAAAACAACACACCCGGAGCTATATAAAAGAGTATGGTAATATTTGTTTCAATAAAACTAATTTTGAGCATAGCATAATTTGCTTCAACCATGGATCTAATTTAATTAGAGATTGTTGCTCTCGGCCTATGTATTATCTTTAATCTTTTAAAGGATTTTGTATAAACGCTTTTGTGTACGTACAACTGAGGTGCAATGCAAACACCCTTCTCAACACGAAATCCTGCGGCCCCCGGCTGACTTTCAACCCTTCACTCGCAGTCCCAGGCGTCCCAGCATAACAAATCACCCAGGTCCCCCCGAGAAAAATCCGCGAACGGGAATCGAACATAATCAAGAAGTATTTATACTTCTTGAATATAATATATGTGGAGGATGCGGCTTATTTTTATGGCGCTCTTTTCCAGTCCTACCCCTCTTCTCTTTTTAATCCGCCATTCTACCCTCTCCTTTCACGAAGCTTGCCTCTCCCCTCCCCTATATTTATGTTTTGTTTGGGTGCCATTGCCGGTTATTCAAAAAAGCGTCCAATTTTTTTGAGGAATTTCCTATTTTATTGAGAAACCTTTGTAATCTGCGGGTTCCAACGATATCAGATATATTTGTTCTTATACTGGAAAAGGTAACAATATAAAGTAGACGTTTTTTAGTCTGATTATGGCAACAAATAGCTCTCATTTATATGACGCATTACATTTCATTATCCTTCCTAGAGTCAAAAGAGAAGCTTTGCAGCTCATATTTTTACTTTCTTCGTCCTGTGCTCACGCTCGTACTTATATTTTCGGACAAAAATCGCAACATCAGCTATCAAAGACTTTTTTAAATACATTGTTGCATTATTAATTTGTATTACTCTTGGTCTGATACCCTTAAATGCTTCTTATATTATGTTGAAATAGTATTTCAAGTTGAATTACACAAAGCGTCTGAAAACAGGATGGAAATACTTGTGTCGGTTATTTTTTTGCTGTATGTATTCTTTCTCTTTACGATTTATCTAGCTATTTATGTATAAATTGAAAGTATGTAACTTAATAACATCAAATTTTTTTCAGTATTCAACATTTTCCAAGCTGTGGAAATAGCTTTTAATCCAAAGTTAAAACTTACAAGCTATTTTTATTATGTATTATTTTTATGGTTATAATGATTAATTATTTTTTATTCCCAGTTACAGATGATCTTTATATTGACTTAAGATTTTTATTAAATTGTACCATCACTGAACTCAACTATAACTTCATATTGATTAGATGAGAAATCACCTGCAAACTAGAATTGAAAGTCTTCAAATTTAAGACCGAGTTGCAAATACTCTCTTCTTATTATATATTAGAGAGAGTAATTGTTGACGCCGAATGCATGAATTAATTGCATCTTGTTATTTTCCCAGGCCCAAAGTTTTAATTTTTCCTGCTGCTGCTGGGATAAATGGTTCATCACCATGAAACGCTCGGCGCCTCAAAACCCCCAAATATTTTTTCTCATTCGCGAGTTCGGCTGAAGGCGACTTTAATTGAAATCGTTCTGCTATTCGAACTATTTATTTTTTTGTTTGAGCCCCGCCTGCCATGACGAGTAATTTTATTTATATTTTTTTATTGGAACTGAAAGAGGAATAAGGAAGAACCATGAGCAACTTCAGACCAGGTCAAGACACCAGCAAAACCAACCTCATTGTCAACTACCTTCCACAAGGTATGACGGAGAAGGAGTTATTTGCAATGTTCTGCACAGTGGGCACCATTGACAGTTGCAAGGTCATGAAGGACTTCAGGGTAACCAATTCATGGCTCTCTTTGGAAATTTGCATTGATTATTTTTTTTTAGACGGGCTACAGTTACGGCTTTGGGTTTGTCAACTATGTCAGCGAAGAGGACGCCCTGAAGGCTATCAACACTCTTAACGGACTGCAAGTGCAGAATAAGCGTATTAAAGTGTCCTACGCTCGTCCCTCCAGCGAGGAAATTAAAGACACTAACTTGTACATCACAAATCTGCCAAGGTTTGGCGTAATTTATTTTTGACACGGCTAATGAAGTAAATATAAACTCTTACAGGGACATCACAGACGATATACTGGAAGCTATGTTTAACCCTTACGGCAAGATCGTGCAGAAGAACATTCTGAAAGACAAAATTTCAGGCATGCCCAGGGGTGTAGCATTTGTCAGGTAAGAATCAGCCCAACTTAAGTTCTTACATTACAAAAAGAGCTTAATTTATTCTCAGGTACAACACAAACCAGGAAGCCATGGAAGCTATAAACGGGCTGAATGGAACAGTTCCCGACGGCAGCATGGAACCTATTCAAGTGAAAATAGCAGAGGAACATGGAAAGCAAAAGGCAGCTTATTATGCAGGTTGGCAGGCGGGATTTACTCAAAGTCGAGGTACCTAAGTTACTTTCAAATTTTAAATATCAAAATCGGTTGCACATTACCTGCAAAATAAAATCGATTCGGGTTCGATTCGGCTACTTTTGTTGTTGTTTTGGCAGAACGCTGCTTATGTTAATGTCGTTTCTTCATTCACATCTTTTTTTGCCTACGCCAAGTGTCAAATATAAATTATATGAAGAAAAAACAACAGCAAAACTGTTTTAAAATTTGAAAATAATTTTATTGAGATCAAGGCTTGCACATCACAAAAATGGAACTTGATTTGATTGTTGTTCGAGCTCCGATTAGGCACAGGATAAATTTGTGCCCAATTAAAACACTCAACATTAGTCAAAAAGTTGTTCTCATTGTTGTCGTGCGTGCCGCGTGGTTCTTTTTTGAGATGATGTTAGGAATGCCAGTTTGGTGCGAGCTAATTAAGCCACTACTTTGATTTCTTCAGGAGGCTTTGCTGGTGGCCGCGGAGGATTTAGGGGTGGCCCTAATATGGGTGGTCGTGGAGGCCCCATGGGCAGAGGAGGCCCTTCTTTCAGAGGCAGGGGAGGTGGACCACCACCAACTGGCGGTTTTGGACCTGACATGGGTGGTGGCTATGTACCACAGCCCCAGGGAAACAGCATGGGAGGGGCAATGAGACCAGACAGAATGCACAACAGCAGGTTCAACCCCATGGGCATGGGTGGAGGACCAGGAGGCTACTACAACAGCTGGAACTGATAAGATTTATCTGGAAGGGTACACTGAGCTGGCCTAAATTTTTTTAACATACAGTTTTCATTAGTATAAGGCTAGTTCTGCTTTTTTTCAATCATAGCATTTAAATAATCACTTCAGCAAACTTATCAATGTTCAAGACAGAATCGAATGGTATTACAAAATTCTATAGGCGCCTGAAAAGGCTAAATATTTGCTTATGTGAAACAAAAGTGCAATCAGGAGTGTAGCAGAGTATAGTGTGGACTCTGCCTTAGAGAAACATGCCATAGTTTCATTTAAATGCTTATAAATTATTATTTTTGTGGCATTATTTGTGTGCAAAAGATACTTGCAAACTCTTTTAAGTCATCATCAACTTCCTGATATTTTCATTTTGTATAAAAAATCTTTGGAGAAAAAAGATTTTCAATTTATTGGAATTATGACCAAAAGTAACAGGCTACCACCTCAAGAATTTGATGTAATTAACTTTGCTTTTGAAATTTGATCAAAAGATCCATTTTTTTATTCTTCAAAATAAATCCAGCATTATTCATGGTAAATAAATATAATTAGAATTTTTTTATTTCCACAAAAATGACCACCATAATTATACTTTTTCTACGAATGTCTATGTTTTTTTGTGTTTGTATTATTTGTTTGTACATATAATTATATTAAAATTTATGCTTATAACATTCATTCAATTTAACCATAATGCTAGATCTTTATTTAGATACATACTGAATTTTTGATTTACATTTTTACTACATTAAGCAAAAGGAAAATTAAAAAAGGAAACAATTTTAAATAATATATTTAGTGGGGGAAACGAGCCGCACATGCTGAAGGAAGCGTAGGTCTTACACCCCACCCCAGTGTCACAAAAAAACATTTTGGCTTATCGTTGCTGGGTGGCAGACGCACACACTACACAACACAGAACCCATACCGGTAAAATACGGTACTTTGTTGGAGATATAATTTCAAGATGGCGGCTACCAGGAGGTTGCAGAAAGTAAGACACACAGAACATTTTCTCATTTTTTCCCGATATACTGCGGTTTTATCAAAATCTGACCTGTATTATTGTTCTTCAAAGTTTAGTTTTGGATTTTCATAATTATTTACGTAGCTGCAACCCATAATTCGTTTTAAAATACGTTCTGAAATTAGGCGGCACGTAAAACTTTGATAACACCACCTACCATTTATTTTTGTCGTATTGCATGATTTTATCGATATGAATTTATTATTTATGGATAAAACCAATTGTATTGATGTCGTTTATTGATTGTTCGCCAGAAACGATGAGCCAAATTTAATACGACCATTCCCTTCTTAGCTAAACCTTTATCCACACTAACTCGCATGATGTGACACACTAGAGACCGCCAGTCATTACAGTGTTGTCATGCCAAATTAAATTATGATTACAGACGAGTGGTTTCATGTATCAAGTTGGTTATAACACAAAGATATAACATTCAATCCTATTACAGGAACTTGAAGACATCCGCAAATCAGGGATGCGAAATTTTAGGGATATTCAAGTGGACGAGTCTAACATTCTCTCTTGGCAAGGTCTTATCGTGCCCGTAAGTTTTCTTTGCAAAAAAATCAAGTTACAAATCTCATAGAAACAAATTGATTTTTAGGACAATCCACCTTTTAACAAAGGAGCATTTCGCATAGAGATTACTTTCCCTGCTGAGTATCCTTTCAAGCCTCCCAAGATTTGCTTCAGGACAAAGATTTACCATCCAAACATCGATGAAAAAGGTCAAGTCTGCCTGCCCATCATCACAGCTGAAAACTGGAAGCCAGCCACCAAAACAGACCAGGGTACAAACATTTTTGGCACTCTAATAAATATTATTTAACATAAAAAAAATCATATTATTAAATAAAAATTCATTTTCAAATTTTCAGTGATCCAAGCACTTGTGGCCTTAGTGAATGATCCTGAACCTGAACATCCTCTCAGAGCGGACCTCGCTGAAGAGTACCTTAAGGATCGCAGGAAGTTTGTTAAGAATGCGGAAGAGTTTACCAAGAAACACAGTGAAAAAAGGCCCACAGACTAAACAACTTGCGAGGCATGTCTGTGATATGTGTTGTTGACTGCCCCCTATTTCTCTGCTCCCCCACTCTTCATACCAGTACTGATTCAAATATCTAGTGAAAATTGCCCATGTTTTATTGCTGTATTTTTACTTTTCAAAATTCTATTTGAGGGCTGCCTCTGTGGCAGGGAAAAGTAAGCGACTTTCATAAATTGCAATTTAAAATCTTCATTACCCCCAATCCCCTGCGCCTCTTCTGCAAATTGATTTTTTGTGCATTTTGTAAGGTAATTTATTATTTTTGCATTTTCTGCAAGGAAACTGATCTAAAAAAAAAAAAAAAATCATTCACAAACACTCACTCTCTCAAATATGTAAATTATTTTTGTTGATATGGTCAAAACAGATCTCGGACGGAAATGATTATTTGACAGCTTTTAGCCCCATCTGGGAAAACTTTTGAACGTTTTCAGTTGAGAAATTACTGTCCGAGTGTAAACTTCACGCTGATTTAGCCAGTTCAGGAAACATGGGATTTGAGTGGTTGCACTTGATTTGGTGAATCTATTGATGATTTAATGCTACAGGACGTCTGTTTGCAAAGACGTTCAATAAATATGCAGTAACAGCTGTAAAAATTACCTAATATAATTAAAGATTTTGAACAAACCGAATTTTTATCTTAACAACTACCTTTATTAAATCGGCACAAACCATTATATTCCAAGTACATATTCAACAGTCTACCTAGAATTTTTCGAATATTCATCTATGCAAATTTACTTCTTGCATCGCCGACCACTCTTAAAAATGGGAAGTTGAGCATCCTCTTGAAATGGGTAATTGATTAGCTTTGTTGTTCCCTCCGTGATTCGCAACTCTGTAATTCAAATATTGAAATCAATACACTCTTTGAAAATTATTATAATTACTCAATTTTTAGAAACTAATTGAAATAATAGTCCTTACCGTAATTTCCAGGAGACTTTTCTTTTGCTTGAATCACATTCTCCCTAAGCTCAGTTTCAATTTCCTCGGAAAACTTGAGGAGCTGGAAAAAATCGGTTCACGAGTGGCGTAAAAATGTTGAATTTGCGAGCATACTTCTCTGACAGAATCTTCATTTTTTACGTGTTTTTTAGATTTATATTCTTCATTGATTTTTGCTCGGCATGCTGGAAATGAGTTAAAACTGTCAAATAGATATTATTTTAATTCTTAATCATTCTGCCTACCAGCAATAGTTTTAGCATCACCCTCAAAAACTGACTGGCTTACTCGATGAAGAGACTTGAAGTGCTGCAGAACCTACAAGGAAAGAATATAAACTTTCAAGCATTACTTCGGTTAAATTAAAGAATCTAAATAACATGTACTGTGAAAATAAATAGTTCCTTGCTCAAAGGTTAACAGCAGATCGTCCTCTCTGATGAATGAAATGTTAAAATTTTTTAATTGTGTGAAAAACAGTGTTTCCAGTCAAAACATAAAGAAATGCAATTCAACAGACCGATGAAACTAAATTCAAGAGAAGCAGGAGAATAAAAAAAAATATGTATGGTATGTACCTCTTTTCTTAAAGCACTCATATTGAAGAGACTTCCGATAAAAAAATTTGCAGAATCAGCAGTGGCCTGGAAACAGCAATAAAAATATTTTAAATAATTTTAAGCAAGAGAAAAGAGATTGAAAGATTTATTTTCAAACTCCTATATGTAATATTATTTTTTCTAGAAGTTAAAATTATTTTGTCTTCTTTTGAAAAATTCTACAAAGAAAAGCATGCCTATTTTAAAATTCAAATCATCGTATTACCTTAAAAAACTTTGATCAATACGGATCACTATTGTTCTTAAATATGAACGTAATCAACACGAGCAACGAGCAGTCGAGCACTGTGCAATAATTTTCGTGTTCTTTTGGCTTTGACCATTCGATTTCGGTCTTCGGTCTTTTGTTTTGTATTATTTATTTATTTTGCTATGCGCTTTCACGCAGTCGCAGATTAGATTCCCCTCCCCACTGCAGTCATCATCATCATGCAGCGCCCGACGCGCGCTCTGCCGGAGTCCCCACGCAACGATCAAGTAACAAAAAACAAAACAGAGAAGAGAAGAAAACAAGTCAGAGACGACGATTGCAAACAAGCCGTGTGGTGAGCTTGTTGTTGAAAAATGTCGGCCAACAGAGAGCGGCGGCGGTTCACCATCGAGGACGCCTTTGAGGAGGAGACGGACGATGCCATCCGCGTGTACGGTTCGACGACGGAGCGGTCACCGCTCAAGCCCAAAGTGCGGACCAACGGCACCATTCCCGAGGACAACATCGTCGTGCGCATCGACAACGGAGAGCCGCGCTCGCCCGTGCCCCTAAAAAGTCCCGACGACGTAATTAATTTTTAAATTTCATACCTTACTTTCAATCAGACACAAATTTCGTCCGAATTCTTAGATTGCGCGCTCCACTTTTGACTATCGAGTGACGGTTACGCCTATATTTGGGTATCACGATAAAAACATCCACGGCTTCTCTTAACTTGGATTCGCCTTGAGTGGGAGCGCGATTATATTTTGTTGATTCGCGTGTCGCAACGATAAGGGCTCGGACGGACGGATGAGCTGGCTGCGTGATTTTCATTTTAATTAGTAGACCATACGTTTTCAGAGGGAAATATGGACGCCGAGACAGCGGATGAAGTACTTTGACAGATTAATATATAAGCATGAATTTTATGCTAATGAGTTGTGAATTGTTATTAACAATTCGATGCGTGGCCGCGACGAGACGAGAATTAATTTTCGGCTTCCTCCGTTTGTTGCAGACCGCCTCGCGGGACAGCGACTCGCTGATTCAAGAGAACTTCTCACCAGGGATGTTTGACCCTTCCAAGTCGTGTTGGCAGCACCCCAAAATCAGGGAGAATTGGAAAATGGTCCTTGCTGCCATCGTTCTTCTGCTCATCGGAATAGGTACGTCATCTCGTGACTGTCAGATAATCTCTTGTTTTTCTATTGGATTTGTTATCAGTTAAAGATAAAAACCTCTCCTGCTCCTAACACCAAATTAGAAATAAGCAGCTGCTTTGAAACAAAAACTCGCAACTTACAGGACAATTGTGATGTGAATTAAAAACGTGGGTCTTTTCGCTGATCAAAATAGACAAAATATGATTTTTATCAAATTTTAATTTAACGTTTCATTAATTTTTAAATTTATTTTTAGAACTTTTACAAGTACAAAAATTCAATCTAAAATAGAGGAGACCACCATGGCAGAAAAGAAAAACTGAAAAAAACGGATTTATATTTATTTTACTTAGTATTTAAATTTTAACCAGATCCAATTTACAGAAACCCACTGGCACTTTAAAAGCCAGATGACTAAGTAGTGCCTCACTCAATTGCGTTACTCGGATGACGCGCCTTGTTAATTTGCATTTTCCTCGTGAGCTCGCGGTGCGTCGCAGCTCAAGTGAATTTAAGGCTTTTTATTACAATGCACATTAGGAGGAAGTTTAAATTGGCCTTCAGGAGAGTGAGGCGCAATGAGATATTTCCATAGTATTGAGCAGTTTGAACTTTTGGCACAGCGTCAAAATCATTATTTTAAACTTAGACTGCGCCATTGGAAAGCTCTAATTTTGCAGAAATTATGTCGTCACCAAAACAAAAACAAAAATGACAGTGAGGGAATAATAGTCTGGGTGGCACGGAGGAACCATTTTTTTTTATCAATTTCCCTGTACTTGTGGTCTTTTCTTTTGAGATTTTTCTTTTTAATTTTCAAAAAAATGTTTTACTCTTGTTGACTCATAAAAGTTTGAGTTTTTATATTTACTATTTTTCATGGAGCTTTCTAAAATATAACGCAATCAGCTTCCTCTAATTGCCATTGCTAATTACTTTTGAATAATAAATAATTAGTTTTCTTTTTACAAAATGAAATGTAGTTGCATGTACCACTGTTTTGCGGTCACAAGTCAAGACACGAAACCCATGGAACATTGCACTTGATCTGCTCGTTATTGTTAATCTCGCCTAAGTTTACATGGCGCATACATACAGTATAAAGCCACCTTTGACGCCGGGGTACCAGAATGAACTATGCGGCTTACTTGACCTTTTAACTTCTCTGACTTTCATTCATATCTTGCCAGAAAGAGCAATTTCCAGTTTCAAACTTCAAACCATATTTTATGTGTCTTTTTATTTTTAATCTAAAATGTGGTACTTTTAGAAAAAGTGGTCAATATATAAAAAGGGTTCGGTTTTTTCCCTAAAATTTTGTGCATTTCTATTTATGGGAGGAAATTTTTTGGTAAAAATATCAAAAATTTCCTTCAAAATTAGCGTAAAAAAGTTTCAGCGTGAAATTTTAATTTAATAATTAGCATAAAAGTTTTATAAGTACAAGGTGTCTTTCCTTGTAATTTGATTGTCATCTTCTGTCACTTCATTTCCATGATCATCCCCTCAAGTGTCAATTTCTTTAACTTTATTTCTTGTATTATTTTATTTTTTAAATTTCATCCTCACTTATTTTCTGTATCAAAATCGCCCATAACTGTTAAGACTTTTTCTGATTTTTTTTTTTTTGTTTTTTTTTTGTTAGAGGCAGTTGGAGGATTTAGTGAAAAACAAGTTTATTTGATTTTGGCGTTTTGGTAAATAATAAGAAGCTGGAAAAATTAATTATTTTTATGAAATAGGATGATGATTCTATTTTGTTTTTATTTTATCATTTGTCATCACTTATGATTTAATAAATCCATTATGCTAATTGTGTGCTAATTCCAGGTCTCCTCACGACTGGCTTCCTGGCAGCGCTACTTCCAATCGAGGGCCTACAGTCGGCCGTGTTCTTCATTGCCGGCGCCATCTGCTTCATTCCCGGTGCGTACCACGTAGTCTACATTTACTTGGCCGTCAAAGGCTGGCAGGGCTTTGACTTCTACCACCTGCCACTTTTCAACTGAGTGTCCGGGCAGCAAATTTGTTGTCATGTACAAATCTGAGGTCCGCAGAGCTAGGAACTTAAACATGACTAATCATCGACAAACAAGAACTGACTGATTTCACCGAATCATGAAATTAATATTGTGCTTCGAAACTGGGAACGCGTCCAATTGCGAGCAAGTTTTTGAAACTCGAGCCGCTTGGAATGGTCAGTCTTGGCATGACACCACAACTGACGTTGAACAGAATGAACCTAGATTGTAGGACCGCTTTCCGTGTACTCTTATCTGCTGCATCTATCAGATTATTCTGTTCCGACTCGAGAGAGAATCTCTCTCGGCAAAAGTAGCGCAACTTTTTTGCATTGTAGTAATTTATTAAGCGCTGGATTCTTTGAGTCAATGACTGCAATTGTAACGAAGGGCAGGTTTTGCACTGATATTGTTTGTCTGCATTTTTCTCATGGTTCCGTGACATTTGAATTTCAAATCCAGCTTCTGGGGTTGCGTCGCCTCGAGCCAAAAATTTATTTCATGGTCTCATGATTCATAATTGAGTATCCACTAAGTCATTCAATTTCAAATCTTTGCCCCCAACGTCTGGAAGTGTTAATTTTTAAGGACAATTATTTGCTTTTTCTGTCTAAAAACCGGCCGCTTTGATGATAATCCAAATTGGATGAAAACGCAGCTAATTCAAGCTTTTCAAGAAAAGTGTGTATTTAAATAAAACTACAGAAATGTGATGGTTGGGTGGCAAGTACAGAGGGCTGAAGGAAACATGAATCACTAGTGCTGGCAACTGAAAATAACATTGAAAAGCTATTTTGCAAATAATATTATCGAAATTTTATTTTTTCTATCGTCACGCGTGCTTTATTGAGTTTATTCCAAATGTTTATTTCCATCTCAATATTTTTATGTTTTGCGTTTATTTTATTTTTAAGGCCAGCAAGTACAAGGCTGTGAAAATGTAAATAAATATGTGGGATTGCTGATGCTTTTGATGTAAATTAATATAACTATGGAATGCGTTTTTTTTTTTAATATTATGAATTAACGCTTCTGTGCGGTGTCGCCATCCAACTTTTTGAATGTATTTTAGGCAATTTTTATAAGACAACGCTGAGCCGTGATAATTTACTCCAATCACGGTTGTACTTTCATTGCAATTACTTAGTTCATTAGAATCACGGTGTTTCCTAAATAAGTCTTTAGAGAGAAAAATTTATAGATCCCTATTTTTCCCACCCAAACACTGAAAGCCGATAAAACTCTTGATGAATTGTCCATCTCAATATGCATTGTTGAAAAAGCAATGCGAATATATGCTCATTTGAAATGAATTCTGTACATAGGATAAATATTTACGAAAGCTGCTAAATATGTACTTTGAACCTGCAGGAACGTAATAAAATTTTATAAATTATTCAAAATGAAAACGCTGTTTTCCTAAGCAAGAACAAAAATGATATATTATAAGGTCCGTCAATTAAAATTGGTATATTTCATTACAAATATTATCATTTTTATTGAGTATCATTACATGAGGTGAAAACTACACAAATATAAAAAAGAATTTGAATATACCTCTGAGTTAAATATTTGTCATTAATATTAATTGTTTCACTGGATGTATCAATAGGAGCTATGAACACATCACAAAGTCTTTTCATGGCATAAAAATAAACTTCTTGGTCTCTCAAAATATGAGAACTATCAACCTCCCAACTAAATATTAAAATCTTCGACAAATTAAAGCTGTGAGAATATTCCATGTAGTTTCCGAACATTTGAAATTGTTTTTATGGCACAAAAGTTTAAACTATTGTCTAAGTGCTTGTCTCTCCTCGTCAACTGGTGCGGCATTTCCGTTCCGACCGTTTGACACATCTTTGAGGACAATCAGCTTTGACTCTTTGGGCAAGGCCGTTGAAGGGTCGCGTGGGGTTAGTCGCTTGTACACTAGCACTAACCACACACCGTAGGCCAGCATCATGACTGACGTGATGGTAAAGGTCTTTGTAGTGCCCAATTCAACGTACATGAAGCTCAAAATGACGGTGCCGATGGCGCGCGCAAAACTTCCCATGCCCATCATGATGCCCATCCAAACTCCCTGAAAGAAATAAAATATTTTTATGTAATACATGTCGCATGACATAAAAAATTCAATTCACCTGTGGCTGTGGACCCAGGATCTTAGAAAAAATGGAAAATATCACAGTGACTCCGATCGGGTAGCCGACCGACATGAACAAGTATCCTATTAAAAGCTGGGGAATCGTCATTGCCGGCGTGTCTGCGCACCATGGTTGTCTGTCCACGGGGCATCCCACATGGCTAGTCAGATTTTGCACGTCTAAATTTAAAGGGAAAAATATATTTTTTTTAGTCAATAGTCTAAACATTCAAAATACCGCAAAATACATACCAGAAATTTTTAGCACTGGTGGATTGTCTCCCCATGGAATGAAAAACAGTCTGCTTAGTAGCATGAAAAGGAAGCCACCAAAAATAACTACAGATGCCTCGCTGAAACTGCGAAAAAAAAAAGTTTTTTTTTAAATATACATTCACTGGGAAATGCTTACTATTTGCATATTATTTTGAGAAGCGCAATGACGACTACAGAAATCACAGCTCCCACAGCCATGAGAATGCCCATGTAGTAGAGAGCTTCTTCTTTGCTCCAGGCAAACTGGTCCATCACGATTGGAATTCCCATACTGAAAATTTAGGCACATTTAAAACCGTTATTTAATCTTGGGTATTTGTGTGCCTACTTTTCAAGTAATGCAATGTTAAACACAAGTACAAAGTATCCCAGGATCAAACTGAACGCAGCAAGATAGTCAGGTTTGCTTGGTTTCCAAACAGGCCGAGTTTCTGGAAGATGAAAAAAAATTTATAATAATATTTTAATACGAAATTATATTTATATACCTTGATAGTTTAGAGACATTCCTTGTTTTTTCATGGCCTCCTTGGCGGCGATATGTTTTTCAGTAAAGAACTTGGGCAACAACAGAATGAAGCAAAGTATACTGAGGACAACAATGACCCAACCGACCGCCGTGTACATGTTAAGGTAGATGTAACCCTCGAGAATGGGGATTCCGTTTTCACCAAGAGGTGTTACAAGAGCTTGAACAACTGCAAAGTTGCAAAATAATTTTTAGAAATAACATTTTATTTTTATTTTTTAAATATGCTGCTTACTTGGACCAAAAATGTAGCCAAGCACCTGCCAGAGAGCTAAAATGCTCATCGCGCCAGTCCGCTCGCTCAGGGTGGTTGCGGCAGAAAGGTACGATCGAATCACAGTCACGTTGGCTTTAGAAAATAATGTTGTCATGAAATGCATTTCAATTAATTTTTTAGGAATTACCAGCACTAACGCCAATCAAGAATCTGGTGAAAATCATCCAGTACTTGGCAGTGGCTGCTGGAAAAGCCTCGAGCACCGAGTAGCCGGTGCTAGCGATGGCAAGAAGAGCCAGGGTGGCGAGCAGAGGCACTCGCGCTGACCCGCTCCTGTTGCTCCAGTAGCCGAGAATTGGCGAAAATATAGTTTCTGCCAGGGGATTGGCGGCGGTGACGAAACCAAGAAACTCTTTCCCTGCTTGGGGGTCTAGCTAAAATAATATAGATTTTTTGCATGATTATAATAAATTAACAATTTGACTCAATTAAAAAGTCAATATTTGTGATATATCGTATATTATAAAATAAATTATGTATGTAATAATTGGTGTCAATGCAAGCAATTATTTTTCACAAAATAGCATACTTTTTTACACAGACTGTATAATTAACTGGAATTGCTGAGGCGTAAATTTCAAGTTACCGCGAGGCTTTTATTCTTTTTATATTCCTTTGTTATGCACATTGAATTTGGCGACAAGACTTGCCAAAAACAGAATGTGTGAGGGCGAGCGCGTGTTTATACAATGCGCGCGACAGCGGGTTTTAAGTACCTCAACCAGAGTTATGGTTGCGTTTCTCAACCTCAACAGCCTCGTAGTTGCAACGCATTAAATTTGCCTTCTACTAAGAATATGCGCGTCAATATTAATATGAACTCTGCGGTTTTGTGGGCAAACATCTGAGTTCGTGTCAAACTAGAAATTAACCAGAAAACGTCTTGAAGCCAAATAATAATTGCAAGAATCAAAAGGAAGACCTCAAAAAGTTTTATGACATTTGTTTTGAAATGACATTGTATATTTGTCTTGTTTTGACTAACACAAAAAAAACCTTATAAAACATTAAAACTACCTTTTCCAAGTAAGGCCAGACTCCTGTGAGGATGATTGTGAAGCCGGTGGACATGACAAACATGGTCAGATAAATTATCCTTATTGAGCGCCATCGCGTCCGCCGCTCTTCAAAGGATTCAAGCTCTATGGTCTTGTATGCCGTCTCTGTGTTTCGCCTAGGAAAAAATACAAAAATAATAAGTAAAATTCCCTGTATATTTAGAATGGTTTGAAACTTAAGACATGGGACAGAAAAATTTGGAATTATCCCATAGCACAAAGCAAAAATAATAAATTGATATTCGAATTAAATAAATAATTTGAGCATCGCACTTAAGAATAAACAAGAATCGACAGTGGACTTCAGACTAAGCTACTTTTCGAGAAATTCTTAATGTGTAATAATTTTTTCACGCTATCGCAATGGGTTCAAGCAGTGTCAAGACCCTGGTAGCTTTCGCAACAAAATTATCCAGAAAATATTTAGGAACGATTTTAAAACAAATATTCAACTACATAAATGTGTTCGTGTAACGATAATATGTATAATAATATGACAGTAGACACAAATAAAGAGATGGATGTGAATCATCCATAGCACGTCTTGCTGTATTTCCATGCATAAGCCATGGCGGCAGCCGCAGACTCATTATGATTATATAAACTAAATGTCCATGTGGTCTATCTATAATGACTCCTCCATTTGCGATACCAACGGGCGCGAGAGACTGCGTTAGGAACAGTTCGTCTTGGGGAAAATGTGCGGCGTATTTCAAAATAAATGTCATATAACTTGATCGCTTGAAAGTATGTATTCGCAGCTGACTATCTTGGAGAGCAGTGTAATGAAACAAGAGTACGCTCTGCTTTTTTATCGAACACTTTTATCTTTGGCTGCGCGTCCGGTGTGTCATTTAAAACTCCAAGTCGCGAGTGTCAAGAGTTTCTCGTTCACTCAGACATATAGTTTTTTTTTAATTCAATCAAATGAAGTAATTAATAAAAATAAAAATTATGATACTTCTGCTAATAATAGCAATTATATTATAATTTGGCAGAAGGCTGTTTAAATTATTTATCAAGCTGTGTGTAATTGCTAAAAGTACATAACAATTATAATATTTTTTAAATAAAAATTATAATTATCATTTTTGGAATAATAAGTAAACGCTTAATTTCAGCTGCAACTGGTGGTTGCAGACAGCATTTCACGCTTGATTTCACGCATTTCAGATAGGCGTCTGCATCTGCAATAAACATTTTTTTTTTCATTTTCGACGCTCCTTGATGGATGATCTTGCCACTACGGAAAGGAAGCAATTGTGAAATTATTTTCTTGCACAATCCACGAGGCAGAACTTGAGCAAAAGTAAAGTTCCTCGACCTTGGCAAAAGGGAATACATAAAATATATACTTGTTTTTTCCCTAACTCCATACAGACACAATCAATTAGTAACTTAGCATTTGTAAATAAAAAAGAGAATTGTGCACGTGTTGTGTGTAAAATCTTTCTTTTTTTTCTACGCCGCAACCACAAAACGAGTTAGTCACACACAACGCCAAGCGAGTTGCAGCAAGTGCGCTGCAAGGAGAGGAAAATAAAATTAGAATAAAGAGGCACACACGACGAGGGACTAATTATTTAAAGTTTGCTATCAGCACTAGCCACTCTAAACACTTGCAAGTCACTTTGCTGTGTGGTAACACTTGTTTTGTTCTTGCATATTTTATCACATTCCCGTGCGAGACAATCATCTCTAAAGGTCAAAGTTTATTAATAAATTTCAGCGAGACCCAAATTTGATAGTAATTTTTTTAGAAAAATTGAAACCGGGCGAGCCTCGTTGCAAAGAAAAATGAAAAAATAATATTTTAATTTTTCTTTGCAACGAGGTTCGCCCGGCTTCAATTTTTCATTAAATCCACCTTGAGTGTTACCCATTCAACTTTTTTAAGAACCTTGATATTTTTTTAGTTATATGCATTATAATCTGAGGATATATATCTGGAAAGGATAAGGTTGATCAATAGATCAATTATTCTTAATTATCCAATTCGATCTTCACAAAAAAATGTAAGTAGGGTGGGACAAGTGATTGAAAGCGAGGTCCCATTCAAACCTCATGAATATTCACCGCGTATAGCAGAGGACATTGTGCCGTATAAGAAATTAGCAATTGAGAACAACAAGAGGCACATTTTCCCATGACAAAATTAAATATAAATTCAATTGAGCGAATTAAATCTGATTGCGGCAATAAATGTCACTTCTGATATGCGGGGCGGACGCAAACGCGGCGCTCATTGACCATTCTGACCAGACACACGCACATATTGGGCCTAGATTAAAGTCGATTAATATCTATTTAAATTTAAATAAGATTCGCCAAAAGCTTTGGACTTTGGTGTCTGCGCAATTGAACTCTGACATCAATATTAAAGCCGAATTGGTGGTTTTCTTGGGTGTTGTCGTCCAGGCCAAAGGTTGCATTCTTATCTTTCTCTGCACTCCAAAATTTGATAAACGATTTCGATTGTGAGAACAAAACAATAGATTTCATGGAGGCTCAGCTGGGAGCATTGAAGAGCATTGGAGAGTGCAATCTTTTTTAGTATTAAAAAAAAAATCTAAAATATTATTTTATGTCCTTGCTTAATTCTATATCTTATTGTTAGAAAATTTGCAAATTTCAAATTACTGAACTTCAAATAATTTGTTTTATTCTTTTAAAAGATAAATACAATTTTTATTATAGGTTTAAGGTTTAATTACCACTTATGATTGCTAAACTTTAACAAAGAACATTATTCATCATTTATCTATTTATAAAACGATTTATCACAACCTCGATTTCAGACTTTTTTAAAATAATTATTATACAGCTTTTGGCAGGGTTCTGTGTTTTATGACAAATCTTTGTTTGTTTTATTTTTAATAAAATAGACTGCATTGGACCTGTCATTTTTTTCGGGACAAGGCCGACAAGGACACAATTTATAGAAGAAAACTCTTAGCACCTACGCTTTTGTGAAATCTCAAAAGAATTCCCATGCCCCTTAACAGAGGGTGTTTTTTCCCCTATAGTATTATTCCTACACATATTATTTTTTGTTGAGAGGCCAAATATACTCTGCTACATCAATTCCAGAAGAGCTTGCAAAAAGAGATTTCCGAGAAACGTCCAGCTCGTGGATTTTATAATTAAATATATAATTTGAAGCAGCTGCTCCAACTTAAATTGCCAGTCTAAATAGAAAGGATTATGATAATGACACACGCACCCATCTTGGCAGCGGCGAGCATAAAAAATGTAAATTGTGAAAGAGAGCAAAGCAGGTAGTGATCAGCTGCGACCTTCGTGGTCTCACTCACCGCTCCCAGAGAGTCTCACTACTTTGTTGTTTCTCTCTCACTTGCCGCCTCTGCATAGTAACTAGGGGCCTTTTGTGTATAGAAATCCTTCCTTGTCGCTTTACGACGGGAGACTCGCGCTTCAACATCAGCTCTCTGGAGCCGAGGGACTCTTTTTTGAAAGGAAAAGATCGACACGCGGAAAATTAAAAGAGAAAGATGAAAAAGAAAATTTCCAGCTTGAGGGCTACGAGCAAAATGAGTGCTTTTCATTATTCAGGCAAACGATGCAGCTGAAAGAAAGCAGGCGTCCGGGAATTAAAGCGGAGGCATAAAAAGGAAACCCAAAAATCCATCAAAATACTCTTTTTTACCTTACAAAGTTTTTGAAAATGGTTCATATTTTTAAGCACCACATGTGCATGTTTTCTAGGAAACTATTAAATTTTGAAATTATGTGAAGGGAAAAACTTATTTTTTTTCGTATATTTCAGATTTTGAATTTTATTTTTTCGCCAGTTTATGAGATAAGAAATCGGAAGGTAAAAAACGCTAGTGCAGTTTTTTTCAACGTTTTCTGAAAATTTATATATTATGTAATGTACATTATTAATATGCATCAAAAATGTTGTATTTTTTATTACACTAAATCATTTAAATTAATTTGGATAGCAAAAATATAGATAATACTAAATTAATTGCTGGTATAAAACAAACCCAGGAGTGCTTTATTTTTTTAATTTTTATGATTGATTTGAATGACGTGCGTGGGCAACAAGAAAAACGTGTCACCTTCTGGGCGAACGAGTTGGACACACAAACTTAAAACAGGGCCACTATATGTCAAGGACGTGTCGTCCACAGCGAGCACGATTGCGCTGTTTTTAACGCATTTTCACTTCTTGCCGAGCAGGCACGATTTGATAATTGGCCAACAAATCCAAACACCGTTCACCAATATAATATCAACGCAATGCTTTACTATCAATAAACAACTGTGCTAAAATTCAAGGCCTTTTCGTTTTAAATTTTGCCTAGCCAGGCGTGTGAGAAAAAAGTGGTCCCATAATTTGGACAAGCTTCACATGATACATTTTTCTTCTTTTTTTATAAAGAGGCCAAAGAGGCTATATACCAACTATTATTCATTTGCCAAAAATCGCCAGACCTTGTTTATTTAATGCAATTTTTAAAATGGTTTTTATTAAAAAAATTTACAGTTATATACTGAAAATTCCAAGACAAAACAGTTGACACAACCTGTAATCATGGCATACAGGTGGACAGCAAAAGAAGCAAAACCACATCAGGAAAGGGCAGCTGCTGAAAACAATTATGTGCTGCTTTTCTCATCTTCTTTAACGATAAATGTCATTTAATTTCCCAATGTATAATAAAAAATAATGGAGGTATCAAAGAGAGTGTAGAAGAAGAGCGCTCGTTTATCATTTTGCAGGAAGTTTGCATGTCATTAATACACACCCGTCGTTGTCCTTCACTTTGAGAGCGATCACAATTATTATTAGGAAGGTGTATTAATTTCGGTTCCTGGTAGGAAACCTCATCGCTCGATCTCTTTGTCAGCCTTGAAGAAATCGGAACCGAAACGCGTAAAATTTATTATAATATTGTTTCAATTCTTGTATAAAGATTTGGTGCATATATATTGTTACAATTTAAAGTTTGTTACATCCAATAGTAAAAATGACGAAAATAATTATAATCAAAAATTAAAAAAAAAAATCAAATCAGAAGAGTTCAGAAAATCAAACCTGGTAGCGCAACATAAAAGTCGGTCCATCTCGCACGGCGCGAAGTTCTGGAAGGCAGCGAAAAGCCCTTCACAAAAGTGGACCCTCTTGACAAGCGCGCAATATTCCGGCCGCACCAACGAGCATGGTGATTTTGCACTTCGTATTTTTGGACGGGCGCGCTGCACTCTCGCGAGTCCACTGTCTCTCGAGCGAAATTTTGCAACAGATCGGCGCGTTTTTATAGAAAAAAACTAAAGAGAAAAGCAGCGAGAGCGCTCGTGTGTGCCTCGGATGCCCTTCCGACAGCAACTAACTCGGCTCGGCTCTCGGCTCTCGGCTCAACGCAGCCTGCGCGAGTAAGACCTCCAGCCTATGCTTTCAGAGGATAAATGGTTGATGCGATTGTTGCGCGGAAGCGAGCGCAACACGAACGCCCTCCTCGTTTCATTTGGGCGCACAGCAGGGAGGCTGGAGGCTGCTGGGATTAATCTGGCCGGGATCATCAACATGATTATTTTCAAATGCAAATTCTCCGCCGGTAAATTTCGTAAATTTAAATTTCAAATTTTAAATATATAAGATTGGAGCTTGCCTTTCGCAAGCTCAAAAAAGGGCATAGGCCCTTTCATGTCTTGGACTAAAAATTTTATTTTGACCTCCCGGGCTCTCAGGAGAAGTACGCCAGAAAATTCACTCCTTCCAGTTTTTGCTTTCAAATATTAAAGATAAAATAATTTAACCTGATTGAGGTATTTAAACAGTGGGGAGTGAGTTTTCAATAATACACATATAATCCACCAAACAAAAAGTCGTGTTTGTGCATTTTTATTTCTCTCTACGCTTTTTATAATAATTTTGAGAGCTTTTTAGTTGTCAAGGGTAGGCAGCTGATGATAGTGTGCCTAATAGTTTTTGCCTAATTTACACAACAAGCGCTTCCTAGCAAATCTTGTTATGCTTTTATGATCAGCAGCAGCTGTGTGACTTGATAAGTTCGCAAAGGAACAGTCATCAATACTTTTATGTAAAGCAAGATTTATTTTTTGTTTTTAATTATTTCACATTAAATAGTTTTATGCTCTTAAATTATAATTATTAATTGATGTGAATTTTGATTGCCGAAATATTCAGAAAAACTCAACGTTTCATTTCAAATATCCTCGGAGGCTAAAAAATCTTATTTATTGCTATTTATTCATCACATAATAACAAAGAAATCTTTCTTAAAAATAACCGTCATACAAAATCTAGCTTTTTTTCCCCATGGAAAAAACAAGTCTTTTTATTTTAGTCACTGGAGCGCCTGCAACTCCTCGGCAGCTTTTCCGTCTTTTTCCTCCGCACGGTTGGCTGTCGACCCGTTTAAGACAATCACTCTTGGTGGCTGTGCGGAACTTATTAAAGGGATGGGGGTGTTGGTAGGCTGTGGAGGCACAAGTCGGCTGTAAATCAGTCGCATCCACAAACAACACAAAGCCATCATCACGGTCGTAAGTGAAAAAGTCCACACTGTGCCTAATTTCACATAAATATAACTCAGGAAGACCGGCCCCAGGACTCTGGAGGCACAACCTGATCCGGTCATCACTCCTTGCCAAACACCCTGAAAAATTGTCCCTCCGTTAAATACAATTTCTGGTTTACATTTCATTTTAATTAAATTTTAAGTGAAAAGAAGAGAATATTTTTTATTAATTGAATTTATAGTCCGCTTTTACTTGACGGTTTTATTTTTAGCTATATTCATAAAAAAATATGTATATAAACAATAATATTTAAGAAAAAAACCATTAGGTAAAGATGGCTTTACATTTAATCATTACATGAATCACCCGTTGTCGCATAAAATTTCTTAGAAAATGTTTTATACCTGTGGTCTAGGGCCGAGAATTTTTGAAAATAGAGTTTGTATCACAGTTATTCCAATTGGATATCCTACTGACGTGAAGAAATAACCCAGAAAAAGTTGAGTAATGGTCATTGCAGGCGTGAACGCGCACCAAGGCTGCTCATCGACTGGACAGCCTACTACTTCTTGATTGTTGGCATTTGCAATCATTGCTGAAAAATGATCGATTTGTTTTTACTAAATATACTTTGGCCCGCCGGAATTATTACCTTCAGTTTTTAAAGGCGGAGGCGCATCTCCCCAAGGAATGTGCAAAATTCGACCTACCACCATAAGAAAAAACCCACCATACAGCATTATAGATCGCTCATCAAACCTTAAAAAAAACATTACTTTACATTAGGAAGTTAATTTGCAAAAAGGTTAATTTTTACCTTTTGGTGAGAGGTTTCAGTGTAGTGAACGTGACTAGTGCCACCACAGCTCCGGCCGTCATCAGACTGCCCATGTACTTGATTGACTCTTCCTTAGTCCACGCAAATTGGTCCATGACTAAAGGCATTGCAAGCCTGTATTTTTAATTTTTTTCTTTTTAATAGATAATATTCCTAAAAAAGTTATTTTCTTACGTTTCAAGCAAAACAAAATTGAAAGACAAAATGAAAAAGCCAAGAACTAAGCTCCACACTGCGGTATAATCAAGATTTAAGCTTTTCCAAGTATCCTCCTCTGTAAAAAGAACAACTAAATTCGCAACCAACAATAAAAATTTTTACTGTAACACCTGAAGCAGTTCCTTGCTTTTTCTGCGCTTCTTTGGCGGCGATTGGCTGTTCTTGGAAACAGCACGGCAGGAAAAGAATGAAGTTAATTGCTGCCAGAAGAACATTGACCCAACCTGCCGCGGTGTACATGTTGAGATGTACTTGACCCCCAAAAAAGGGGATGCCTTTGTCTCCAAGAGGACTGACAGCAGTTTGGATCGCTGAAATTTTTTTAAACTTCAAAGAATAATTATAATTAATGATTCTGAGAATCACCTGGCCCTAAAATGAAACCAAGGACTTGCGCAAGAGAAAGCATACTAACGGCGCCCGTCCTTTCCCGAAAGGTAGTGGCTGAAGACAGGTAAGAACGAACAACAGCAATATTTGCTAAAAAAAAATTATTTTGATATTTTAGTGGGAAAAATTTTAATATTCGCACACCTGAGCTAGCGCCTACAAGAAATCTGGATGCCAGCATCCAATATTTGATGTGCTTACTGGGGAACAGTTCCAGTAGGGAATACGCCGAGGTTGAAAGTGTGAACATGGCCAGTGATGTAAGCATAGGGATTCGAACGGAGCCAATTTTATTGCACCAGTATCCAAACAAAGGCGAAAATATCATTTGACCCAAGGGGTTTGCTGCAACTACATAGCCGTAAAAACCTTTCCCCGCGTGAGGATCCAGCTGAAATATTATTATCATTTTTTTTTTAATTAAATCTTTATTTTAATTAATCTGACTAAAAGTTTGTTAGTGCATACTTTGTCCAAAAATGGCCAGACGCCTGTGATGACGATACTGAATCCAAGGGTCATGATGAACATAGTGAAATACACGATGCGCACCGACCACCATCGCCGCCGCCGCTCCATCGGCGTTTCCAAATCGGCCGTTTTGTAGACGCCCGCATTTCTTTGTCTGCAAGTCACGAGGCGACGAGACACAATGGATTAACATCTGGCTGTGACAATAAGTACAAACTCATTTTTACTTCAGTAAAATTAGTGAAGCGTCTGGTGAAACCAATTATAGAGAAAACTTACGAGCAGACGAAATATTATGAGGGTAGTCGCTTTAATGCGCTTACTACATTTTTTTTCTTTTTTAGTAAAAAAGTAGCAAAGGAGCACCTTTATTTGGCTATATTATGGTTTAATAGACTGATTATTATTTCTTTTGGCTTTGGATACCGGCCATCCTGACAGTCGTCAAGTCTCGGTCCAAACCAAGAGGTCTCGGCCCAATTTAACATTATTATTATGGAGTGTGTTGTCTGCACCTCCAAACTGGGCCGCGCTTTCTATGATATCGCCCTATGGACCGCAGAACCCCAGCTTGGTCTTGTTCAGATTAATAATTATATATTTATTTATTCTTCTTCATTCAGAACAAAAGCACAATTTTAGCTGAAAAATGTCTCCTATTTTAAAAAACTTTGTATTAATGTTAATTCATTGATAAAATCGACAAAAATCTTAATTTAAATAAAGAGGTTTCATCCATTAATTTTTTAGCAACAAGGAAAAGATCGGAAAAGATCACATTTTCCACTTCAATTTTATTGTTATTCAGCAAACCATGATAACATCAAAAACAAAGCTCATCATAAAAAATAAATAAAACTCTCTTGGTGGCTGTCGCTTTTTTTTATTTATTTCAATCCTTTCAAATTTAATTTAATTTTCTTTCTTATTCATTTTTTAATTTTTTATAGAAAAATTTAAATTTACTAGTGAATTATTATCGAGCTAGGATTTTCTCATATAGCTATAACATAAAATATTATAGAGCAAACACAAACTACAAACAAATTAGAGAGGTCTACCTTTTAAATCATCAGGAAATTAAGCCATAAAACTTGCAAATTAATTGACCTTTCCAGCGCAGGCGATGAGTGAGTAATAAGCTCAAAGCGCATTTGTACAACTTCTCTTTATACACAGAAAAAACAGAAGTCGTCACGCAAGAAGTGCATGATCAAAAAGCTGCCGACCACAGCAGAAGTGCGAAAAACGTTACGTTTTCGCAACAAACAGTTGTCATTGCCAAGCAGGTTTATTTGGCGCCCCGGTCAATCTTAGTTGGCGTTTTTTCTATAAAAATCTGATAAAAATATGATAAAAATACTATAAAGTATTTTTTTAACATAATAATAAAAAGAGTAACATAAAATGTCATTTATGTTAAAGACTTCACATTAAAGTGAAAATGATTATTGTCTTCATCAATTCTAGTCTAATAAAATAAAAATTAAGATAGGCATGATTATGTGCGATGTGCGTCAGAAAAAAATCATGCAGGCGATTTTTATTTTAGAATTTTAGAGATTAGAAAAATGCAAAATACTCAAATAAAATTTAAATCCTAACTTAAACAAAAACCAATTTTTCATCAAAATCATCATTTATAGAAAAAAAAATTTAAGAAAAAAAAGAAAAAAAACTGCATACAACGATTTTGGTAAAGGTCATCTCATCACTTTCCTATATTCGCGAATATGAATTTGAAAGTTCTTGTGAACGACAAATGCTAATGAAGCCGCCTACGAGGAAGCAAAAAGTGTTGGTTGAATGACAACGCGAGCCGTGGCATGACCTATTCTATTAGCAAAGCGAGCGTCAACATAGCGGCGGCGGGCAGTCCAATATATGTGAAGAGCACCCGCGAGCCTTGAGGTTTCACAGCTGAGCAACCGGTTATCTTTTGCAACTCTTGTGACTCAAAAGTCTAATTAAAAGCGAGCGACGAGCTAACTGTACTGGTGCGAGGTCGATTTTGCTTCTCTTTCGCCCTGTCGCCATCGCATACTGATTGCGAGTTAGCCACAGGCGCCAATGGTCTTGGACTATGCGGTTGGCAAAAATCATGTGTGGGGGGGTGTAGGATTCTTTTGTCGCCAAAAAGCGAGAACAAATGAATTCGTTGCCACTGACTTTCTTTTAGAATAATAAAATGAGCTGACGCTTTTTGGGCTAATAATTGCTTCCTGTCAATCTGAAGCCAAGCATATAATTTATAAAACCACGCAAATCCGGTGTTTAAAAATTTACCTTCTCTTATTTCGGAGCCACTCCATTGTTGGACGCGAAGTTGTATTTTTTTCGTTGTTGCGCCCAAACGCTCCAATCCGGCTATTTTTAAAGCAGGCACGTTACTTCGAGGAGGCGCTCAAGCTCTGCTTCTCGTTTTGTCTGCACCTTTAGAAATGAGAAAGACCGAAAATCCTTGAGTGCATCTGCCAATGAAGAATGCATGTCACTCGATTAGGGGCAAAACAGAGCGAGACATTGTCGCTAATTCGGAGAACGGCCGGTCAAATTCTGGGTGTTGATCGAACTATTTAAAAGGCACTCACTGTCCGCGAGGAGCAGACAAGGCCACGAGAAACTCGCTGCCTTGCTAGCTACAACCAATTCCCCCTCTGCGCGCGAATGGTAGGAGAGAGATAAAAAGGCCTTGTTGCTATGAGAGGGAAAGTGAAGTGAGAAGTTTCAGTGTAAAGCTGCACTGGCCTAGGATAATGGTGGGTGCAACATTCTCAAACATAGATGCAACCAAATTATCTTATTGTAGAGACGGGTCATTGGCCTTTGGGTTTTTGTCAATATTTAACAAAAAAATTTTTTTGAGCTTATGTAAATATTTCAATGTGATGATAATTTATTTTGATTCACCATCTTTATTGTTTATTGTTGTTCCTCGCTTGAGCATTTTATTTATTTGTCAGCAGAGCCGCGATTTTGTTTGCCGAGGATTTAGCTTTGTTTTCGTGCCCAGCTGATGTGTTGGCTGCAGCGGAAGAGGGGCGCTCTGTGCGCCGGCGCCAGCAGCAAGAGAGAAGGAGTGGGAAGAGAAAGTTAGTTCCGCTGATTTTTACCCTGGCCTTTCTTATGCAGGCGAGTGGCGACGTGTCGCGGGCGCTGCGGCTTCGGCCAGCCCCCTGGAGTTTGGGCGGCCAATCAGAGTGCGGCAAGAGGGGAGTGTGATCATATCCTATACCTTAAGCATTGGAAAGTTCGAGAACCTTCTAGAAGAAAGGTGGAGTTTGGGGTCTCCGATTTCCCAAGATCGTCGATATATGCAAATGAGAGGAAATGATATAAAAACCCGAGCCGCTCGGTAAGCGGCGCACTCTTTGCTCCGGCTCCTCCGGGAGTGGGGAGCGGAGACCCCCGGCGGCCCGCAAGGGCTGCCACCAGGCTGACCTGCGGGTCAGGCTGAGGAGGGCGGCCGGAGGCTATGCCGGTTTCCCTGCTCAGTCTGGCTGCAGCAAACGCTGGCTCTGTAAACCTGTGCACGGTTTATGGAGCCACGCGTTACGTTAGTTAAATCCCGATGCAATAATGTTTCTATCCAAGCAGCGGATCCTGCAGCCAGAGGGAGGAGCCAAATCGCCGCAGAGCAGAATCAGCCTTGCAGAGAGATAGAGTCACCGGGGAACTTCGAGCTTCGAGAGCATCCAGCGTGGGAGCACCGCAGATCTTCCCTGCTCGTCGAGAAGAAAAGCCGCCTCATTGGGAGGTGCAAAAGAGCCTCCAGATCTTCTCCGGCGGCAGATAGAGCAGCGGAGAGATCGGCGCCCCAAAAGGAGTGAGCTGTTGGCAGTTGAAGCAGCAAATAAAGCGCAGCGGGACTTAGAAAATTCTGCGTGCAGCTTTTGCGAATCCAGCGGCCGGAGAACTCCGTCCCGCCGGGGGATAGAGCCGGCCCAACGCGCCTAGAGTTCAGCCAGAGTCTCCGGACCATCCTGACAAGTGTGTCCTGGAGAGAGGAGTTGGAGAGTGAGCGTGATGGATCGTGGGAATAATGTCCGCCGAGCCCCCCGAATGCGTGGCGGCGTGCGCGACGCGGAAGAGAGCGAGCGCGGAGCGGATCAAGTGGTGTCAGAAGTGGGATTTGAAGCAGAGCTGCCCACGAGCATCCCCTCAGCCTGAGCTGACTTTTGAAGCACTTCTGACACGGATCAAGTGGTGTCAGAAGTGGGATTTGAAAAAACTTCTCGCGATCATCAGTCAGCAAATCAAGCTGACTTTTGAAGCACTTCTGACACGGATCAAGTGGTGTCAGAAGTGGGATTACTCCAGCTTTAAATGAACCTCACTCAGACAAGAAAAATACACCACCCACTTAACTTCAAGAGAAATTCTAAGTCCCAGAGAGAGAAATCACACCGTGAAGCTTTCAAGATCTTCAGCTTCAAGACCTTCAAGATCTACTGAGTTGTGCTCTGCTGATAGAATCATCGAATAAAATTCAAAGCAGAAGTCTTTGAGATTGAGCGTTAAAGGGACTGCAGGCCCTCAAATGCAGATATCTTCAAAGTTCCAAGATGAAATTTCAAGTCACAGAGCAAGTCAGAGAATTATCAACAAACTAAGATCGTCAAAAGAACTTCAGCAGCAAGATTTTAGAAATCTTGTAAAATTTTCTAACACCAGAGAGCTTCTTCAACAGAAGCGGCCCGAAGTTAAATCAACAAGAAAATGCAAGTCAACGCAGATTTTGAGCCTCATTACCAAATATTAGCAGATTCAGCTTAAAGGTGACTGAATTAAGTTCAGATTGCGGAAATCAGCTCTACAAGGAAAACAGGCGAAACATCAGTGAAATCTTCAGAGATCACGGAGATATCAAAGAGCACAGAAGTTAAGTTAGCAAGTGAACCGAACGCAGAAATGCGAAACACCATCAAGGAGAACTCAGAAGCAGAGAAGCAATAATCAAGTGTGTCCTGGAGAGAGGAGTTGGAGAGTGAGCGTGATGGATCGTGGGAATAATGTCCGCCGAGCCCCCCGAATGCGTGGCGGCGTGCGCGACGCGGAAGAGAGCGAGCGCGGAGCGGATCAATTTCTTATCTTTTATTCAATGTTAACAGTTGTATTAAGTATAAAGCCTGTGTGTATTTTGCAACAGTGCAAGGATAAATAATTAATATTCATAGAACTTGAAAAAAGGCTATGATTTTAAAAAATCTGAAACTTTTTACAAAACAAAATATATCATTTTTACTTCTGTGCAAATTGCAAAATAAAATTTAAAAATAAATGTAAGACCATTTGTTGTGCAAATTTTGCCTTTACCATTGTCTACACATTCATTTAAATGATCCTACGATAATTTTTATTTTTTAAACTAATAGTGTCCATTTCAACAGATAATGAATGAAAATAATTTAAAATAAATTCCAATAATACTTATCAAAAAATTTGCTCTGTAGGTTTGGCAGTGTTGTTTTTAAACCTTCGAAGATTTGCGGTCCGGCTTCAATAAAGAGGCTACAACATCTTCACACCTTTCGCACAATTCAGCACCTGGCATTGCCGTGAATCTCCTGCAGCGCAAACACTGGCTGCGAGGAGACTTCCATAAGTCAATACTCATTGGCTCCTCTTCTGCCACAGGCTGCAAAGCAACGGCGGCTACAAGGAAAATGTCACACAATTCCGAATTCCAAGATTCGTCTTCTGGCTGAATTCTCTGCAATTAAACAAATAGTTAAGACTGTTTCAATGCCAATTGATCTAACTTGTAACTGTACCTTGAGAATAGTATAAAAGTCTCGTGGGACTTCCAGGGTAACACCAAACTCCTGCTCAAAGTTGTTTCCGACGGCTTTCTTGATGGAGTATTTGAGTGCCTCTAGTTTCTCCCATATATCTTCAAGCTCTGGCTGGTTCCACTTCTCAGGCACGTCAAAGGCAGGAGTGTAAAAGAATCGACCTCGTCCTTCAGTAAAATTTGACGTTTAATAATGTTGCAATGATTAAATTGCTTCTCAAATACCTTCCCAGTGCATGCAGATTTCTTCTGCCAAATGTGGCACAATGGGGCCCATTGCACGTAACAAGGTGTCTAGAGTGGCAGTCAAAACTGTGACACATTGCTGCCTCTGATGCGACTCTAGGGCATCACAATAGAGCCTATCTTTAATCAAGTGGCAGTAGACAGCAGTTGCATCATTCACAATGAAGTTCAACATATTTTTCGTAGCAAAATGAAGGTTGTGCCTTCGGTAATTATTGTTTATCTGTAAAAAAGGAAATAGACTAAACAGGATACTCCACGTATTAGAGACTGACCTGCTGCTGGAAGCAAAAAAGTCGGTGCAACATCAGCCTGTCAAGAAATTTCCAATTTGAGGTGTCTTCTGTTGTATCCACTCGTGGGCCAACATATGAAAGCAAATATTTGGCCAAATTTCTAATTTTGAAAACAATTTCAGTTGCAGTCTTGAAAGTTGCCTCACTAGCATTTATTTTTTCAATGCCATCAGCCTGAGTGGCAATCCAGCACCTGCAAAAATGTTTTTTAACAAATGATCATGATATCAAAAATTGTAATTCACCTTAAAATGTCTATGCCGATTGGAGGTTTACTCTTTGTGCCTCTGGTTAAGTCCTTAGGCGAAATGACATTCCCAACTGACTTTGACATTTTATGACCCTTGCCGTCAACAACAAAACCATGAATCTGGAGGTTATGGAAAGGTGCCCTTGCTTGCAGGGCGGTCGAGAGCAAGAGTGATGTCTGGAACCATGCAGAGTACTGGTCTGCGCCTTCGATGCACAAATTGGATTGACCCGTTTTGCCCAAAACGTACGACCAAGTGAGCCCAGAGTCAAACCAAATGTCCAAAATGTCCTGGAATATGATACCTCAGTAAAAATATTTAAAGATATTATGACGTCTTACTTTTCCCAGCTCAAGCTGGTCAAAGCTTAACTCGAGTTTATCCACTAAACTCTGAGGGACAATATCCTGAACGTTGCATTTCCACCAGCAGTCAGTGCCATTCTTGTCAATCAAATTGCACAAGTTTTCAATTATATCCCTAGAGGAAATCAGTTTTGAAAAATATTTCATTAGAGTAGCCACTTGCTTACTTGTGCAGAATTGCCTGGCCAGTCTTTTTGTGGTAAACAACAGGAATCGGTGTCCCCCAAACTCTCTGTCTCGAGATGCACCAATAAGGTCGATTCCTTAAGAAGGATACCATAGGTGATGGATTTTGAGTTGGTACAGGAAACTGATTAACTCTTGCCAATGCATCCTATTTTTAAAATAATAAACAAAAATTCAAATTGCTAAAGAAAAGAAAAACATACTTCAGCCTTTTGTCGAAGTGCTTCTGTGCTGAGGAACCACTGATTGCTTGCCAGCACAATGACAGGGCAGTTTGCTCGCCAATCGTATGGATAAGAGTGAACTAATGGCTCAGAGAACATCAAGTTGGCATCTAAAAGTGACATGATTTGGTCAGCAGTGCTTTTTTCCAAAATATTCAAGCCCTGAACATCCTTCGGAGCCTCTTTGGTGTACGTCATTGACTTATCAATTGACTGACGCTGAGAAAAAACCTTGAGTTAAAAATAAACAACTAGGATTTTTTTTTACCAGAGGAATTTTATGTTCTAATGCAAGCAAAAAGTCATCCTGTCCATGGCAAGGCGCAATATGGACCAATCCAGTGCCGGCTGTGTTTGTAACATGCCTTGATGGGATCATGGGAAGTTTTTCATTGTGATGTGCATGCGTTTTGTCGAAAACTTCTCCAAACATCGACCGGTAAAAGGCTCCTTGCAAAATGTTGCCTGAAATATTTTATCATAAAGTAATTAAATATAATTTGTTATTATAATTCTCAGAAACCTTTAAAAGTTGCCAATGGAGAATTTTGAAGCTTGAGTTTTTCTGCTACACTTGGCAGAAGTTCTTGTGCCACTAACACAAGTTCTTCTCCGGATTCACTTTTTACAATACAGTAATCCATTTCGGCACCATATGCAACTGCTTGGTTTGCAGGCAGAGACCACAGAGTGCTTGTCCACACCACCAAATCAAGAGCTACATTAAAATATCAGAGTCTAAACTACGCAGAAATTTAAAATCTTACAAGCGCCAGGCTTAATGTCATTGACGATTTTCTGCAGTACTGAAGGCATATCTACAATTCTTGCACTCACATAAACTGATAGGCTTTTGTGGTTAGCATTATAAACAAGCTCTGATTCCGCCAGTGCTGTCCTAGCAAATTTGAATGTTCAAATAGTTTTATGGCAAAAAAATATCATACTGGGACACAGGAGACCAGTAAACAGGTTTCAGATCTCTAAACACCAAGCTCTGAAAATTTCATAATTATTTAATCACAGTTATAAGTATTGAAAGCACATTAAATTGTTTACCCTTTCATACAAGTTTTGGAAACAACGAAGCTCATTTTTGACCATTTCTGGGCTTGATGTCTTATATTTATTTTCCCAGTCCGCCATCACACCCCATGATTTAAATTCTGCTTCTTGGTCTTTTATGGCTTTTTCTGAATAAGCACGGGCTGTAAACAAACTAGGTGGAGTATTGCAAGAAATAGTTAATTTAACACAAAAATAACCTTTTTGTCTAAGAGAAATTGAATCCAAATGATTCTTTTCATTTTCTCCAATGGCCTTTAGTTCTATGGGCAAACCGTGGCAGTCCCAGCCTGGTATATAGTGCACTTTACAGCCTGCTAAAAGACGTTCTCTGTTTGCAATGTCTTTTAAAACCTATCAAAATTAAACTGTAGACACAACACAAACACAATCCACAAGTTAAACCTTATTAACAGCATGTCCCAAATGAACGGAGCCATTAGCGTAAGGTGGACCGTCATGCAGAATAAACTCCGAGCCTTTTTGGTTCTCTCTTTGCCAGTTGTATAGTTCATCAAATCCACATTTCTGATGAAAAGAAATAAAACAGTACATAATTATAACAGCAGAAAATAGAGCCAAAAAATATTGGAATTAATGCTGCAGACCTTGGCGATTTTCTCATCTCGCTGGGACACTTGGCTTGATTTTATAAATACAGGGAACTTGGACTTGGGCAGAGCCACGGAGGCAGAATATTTTTTCTTGGCATCAACCTTGTCGCAGAAAAGCCGGCTGGCATGACGAGATCCTGCTAACCTCTTGATTTTGTTTGCCAAAAGGATGGACTTAGCAAAATCTCGTGTTGCCACTTGCAGGAAATGCATTTTACTTCTTTTTAATGCATTGACGTTAATGTGCAAAAACAAAACAACAATGAAATTTCTTTCACAATTTCAACACATTTGCACTCGCATGAATGGATTTTCGCTCATCCTTCCGACGAACACCAAGACGAAAGACGAATACCAAAAGGAACACCAAGAAGAACACAGAAGAACACGCTCACAAGTTTGCCAACTTAAATTTGTTTGGTTGCTGTAATGTTGGTAATGAAACAAAATTTTTGCTACGCCCGTTTACATATGCCGACAACAAAAGACCGAAAGACGCTGCACGTTTTTAAGGAATTTCATAATTACATTGGTATTAATTCGCTACATAGCTCTTGTAAAATTAGCTTAAATATTTTAAAGTTTAAATTTTCTGTTCTGAATCTCCAGTGTATGTATGAATGCATTTTTTTATGTTTTACAGAGGTCTTCACCAGCAATGGCCAGCTTCTTGTTTAGACGCCAGATTCACCAGGTAAAGAATTAAATCCCGGAAAGAAAAATAGATAAAAAATTTCAAATCGGCAAATGCACATGAAATTGCATAAAAACATTTAAATATTTAAATTGAAACAAAAATGACCACCAAAGAAATTGACCGAGTGGACGTGGTGGATCTGTTTCGAAGCAAGAATTACTTGAAGATTTCGGCTCCCATGGTACGCTACAGCAAACTGCCGTTCCGCAAGTTGGTCCGGAAGTACGATTGTGACCTATGTTTCACGCCCATGATCATGGCAGACTCTTTTGTGGCATCTGAAGTTGCTCGATGGAACGAATTTGTGACGGACAACAGTGACCGGCCTTTGATTGCCCAGTTTGCAGCCAAAACGGTGGACGATTTTGTCACTGCGGCAGAATTGGTGCACCCATTCTGCGACGGCATTGACCTAAACTGCGGCTGTCCGCAGAGGTGGGCCATGCAGGACGGCTACGGTGCCAGAATGCTACGGTCTCCTGAACTAATCTGCGACCTAGTTAAGCAGGTTCGAATGCGCCTCCCGCAGCCATTCTCAGTCTCCGTCAAAATTCGACTAGAGAAAAACCGCCAGCTGAGTGTCGAGCTATGTAGACAACTGCAGAAGTGCGGCGTCACATTTGTCTCTGTCCATGGACGCACAGCTGCAGAACGGAAGCAGGCTGCTGACCACGAGTCCATTGGACTGATAGCCTCTGCCTGTCCGGGACTTCCAATTGTGGCCAACGGTGACGTCACCAGTCTGGAAATTGCGGACAGTGTTATTGAGAAGACCAAGTGTGCAGGAGTGATGAGTGCCAGGGGTCTTCTGCAGAATCCGGCCCTTTATGCTGGATTTGACAGGACACCTCTGGAGTGTGTAAGAGACTGGTTTGACCTTGCAGTGCCCACCGGACTTTCGTATGGGTGCTTGCACAGGCACTTGGAGATGATGTTGGAGGAGCAGTTGTCTGCTGCGGATAAAAGGCTCTTGCACTGCATGAACTGTCTTCCGGCGCTGCTGGAATTCATGCAGGAAAAGTTTCCTGATCATTTTTTGGCTTAGTTCGTGTGCATTTTCCTTTTTGGTAGTTGCTCCTTTTGAAGCAAACCTATGTAGTTTGTGATTTTTTAATTTAATTTTGCAGGGAACTGGAGAGGAGGAGGAAGAAGAGGAGGAGGAGGATGACACTTGGGATGACACTGTTTTGATCAAAGCGTACGACAAAGCTGTGGGTATGGCCATGGAAGAGGTGCAACGGAGGATGGAGCAGGGACAGATGGAAAACAATGAGGACGAAAAGAAAAAGACAAAAAAAAAGACTCCTCAGGGGAAAAGTAAAAAAGCAGTAACATCTAATGGCGCATTGGTAAAGCGAAAAGGTTTCAAAATTTTTGCAATATGAAAATTTTGATTTTTCTTTAGTGGGAGGTTGGAATGCCTTGCCAAGCAGTGTACACAGAGGATGGAGAATTTTACGAGGCCATAATTGAAAGTCTTAGCTTGGAGGACGAAACTTGTGTTGTTAAATTTCTGGGATTCAACAACACTCAGAACATGGCCTTGGAGAACCTTTTTAAATCTCAGGGAAAGGCGGCTGTGCGACGACAAATTGAACAAGCGCAGGTGAATTTTGTATTATTTTTTATTTTTACAAGTATAAATTTTCAATATTCTAGCTGGCTTTGGAATCCGAAGCCCAGGCTGCTGCTATGGAATGGTCAAGCCATGCTCCTGAGGTTACAAAAGCTGTGCCCGAGACCAAGATGAAGGTCAAGAATGAGCAGCCAAAGAGGCACCAAGCAAGTGCCTCTTATCCCCAACCAAGTTACCCGATGGATCCATCATTCCAGATGGTATATTATAAAATTGCTAATTCTCTTAAAGTCTTACGATGAAAATTAATTTTCAGAATATTCCTCCTCCTCCTCCAATTTCTCAATTTACTGCCCACTTGCCAGCTGACGAAGCAGAGGCTCTTTCTTCAATGTGCATGTCGTGGTACCTCAACGGATTTCACACAGGTTACTATCTTGGACTAAAGCAAGGTCAAAAGCCACAGTGATTAGTGTCGGAACAACTCTGGACCCAATAAGTGGAAGTGCAAATTTTGTTTTAATCTTCTCTAAGCTGATGATCAGTGACTATTAATTTAAAAAATACAGAAGCATGGTTGCTACTGCAAGATTACAAAATTTTAGCCTGAGCCGTGACTTTTCTCCCACTCCTTGTAGACGTTCTGTTTGGCACTAGTTGTGGGCTTTGTCATGGAAATCGCTTTCTCGACATCCTTGGTAGTCACATTCAACACTTTTAATTTCCCAGCCTTTGCAATGTTGCCTATAATTGAAAGAAATTCAATAACCAGTTGGTAAAAAACCTTTAAAAATACTGTCTGTCTTGGTTAGAGATTGCCTCAAGACACTCATGGCTGCTTCACGACACATCGTCTTTAAGTCGGATCCAGAGTATCCGTCTGTTAACTATTCCATACTTTATTTAAGTCACATCAGAAAAGACGAACAAAAACTAACCTGGGCAATGCTCTTGTAGTCGATATAGCAATTTAGGTTGGTGCTCCCATCTTCAGGCAGTAACTGTCGAATTATGACTTCCCTGTCTTCCTCATTAGGCAAATCCACGAAGATTCTTTTTTCAAATCGCCTCAGAATTGAGGTTTGAAGAGACCTTGTTAATTTTCAAATCAACATTTTAATAAGATGACCAAAAAATGTATTACCATGGCGAGTTTGTGATTGCTAGCACAAAAACCTGCTCTGCCGTAGAGCTACTCAGCCCGTCAAATTGCATTAGAAACTCTGCCCTAAGTCGTTTACTGCCTTCGTGATCATCTGTCGAGCGACAAGCAAGGGCCTCAAATTCGTCAAGGAAAATAACTGATGGTGCTTTGTGCTTTGCTGTCTCAAACAGAACCTACATATTTAATGAAAAATTTTAATGTTATTAGTTATTAATTTAATTTGGCACAAACCCTCATCAATTTCTCCGACTCTCCTCTCCATTTACTAACCACGCTTGTTGCCGTTATATTGAAAAATGTAAATTTTCCCTCGCTTGCAAGTGCCTTTGCAAGCATAGTTTTACCTTCAACCCAAATTTTAATTTTAATTTGTACAAAAAATCTAAATACCTGTGCCAGGTGGACCATAAAGCAAAACTGATTTCCAGGGCGATAAAATGCCTTGGAATAGATGTGGGTGTTGTAGCGGAAATATCAAGGTTTCCTGCAAAGCCTGTTTTGCTTTGTCTAGACCTATCACATGTTCCCATTTTACATCTAAGTCGGTGGTGACAATTTCTCTAGTTATGTTCTCTGACAACTCGAGGAGCTCGGGAGCCTTGAAAATGCTGGCTGGGGCTGCCGATTCCTTAAAGGCAGGAGGCTCTGATGGTGCGTCAGTTTCTTTGTTGTAGGACTGGATGTTCATCAAATCAGCAATATCGTCCGGCTTGGGATCTTTGGACTCGGACTTTTTGAGCCGGTTCTTCTGTCTGGCACTACGGCAGTCTTTGAGTGCGGCAAGCTCGTTCCGAGTGGGCTTTTCCAGCAGCTTGCAAACCTTTGGATGCTTTTGATACCTGAGGTAGAAGTAAGACTCATATTCCTGGAGGACAGTTGGAAGATCAATGTTGTCGCAGACTGAATACTGTGTTGTAAGGTGTGCTTCCAATTGCAAAGATTCTGATGTCTCAAAATATCTAAAAATAGAGAAATTCGGTTTCTTAATCTGGGGACAATGATTGTCGGTTTTAATCCTTTTACCCTTCATCTTTCAAGTACTGGTCAATGAGGTAAAGCAAATTTCTTTTTCGTTCCTTCGCCTTTTTGTCAATCTATAATTATTTAGAATTTTTTATTTTAAGTACAAATAAAACTTAGGAAATTATTGATTTTTACCACTTCATAATGAGCTTTGTTGTTGGTTTTACCAAACGAATCCTCACTTTTCCGTCTCATCATTTTCTTTATTTTAACTGATCTAAGAATGTTAAGAGATGTTTATTGTTTAAAGAAGTCAATACTATACTTAGGGTCGCATGGCACTAATTGTCACAGCTTTTATTGTTGCTAAGCAACGAAATCCGACAATATCATCTGATTGCACTGAGAAAAATTTCTTTTGAAAAATATGTTTGACTTGACGCTTTTTTATGCTTTTTCCTTGGAGTACAAATAAATTTGAGGCAAATAAGTATATGCAACAGATTTTTAAGCAAAATTTGCTTGAATTAATTATTTTTTACCATAACCGTAAACTTGGAGAAAAAAAATAAAAATCTCCTTTATAGGCTCGCGTGTCTTTGCCGCGCACATTTGAAATCAATCGTACCACTGATTTAAAATTTTCATGATCTGTATAAAAAATAAACTCTTATTAATGGTTATTTTTAAGAAGTATTTTTCTTATAAAAATAACTTGAAATTATAATTTAATAATCCCTCACCTCAAAAAGTAATTTTATAATACCACACAGTGCAAACATTTATCGAGTTTTTATTTGCTTTAGTTGGTAGCCCATGTAAACATTCCGACATGAATTTCGCCGATTTCGCCGGTGAAGAAGACTTGTAAGAAAAGTAGATTGATTCACAAAATAATTTTTAGTTCACCGACCTTTCCTCGTATTATTTGAATGGAATGCAGTTTCAAATTTTCATAACCGAAGTTCGCAATTCCTGAGGTAAAATTTAGAAGACCACTTCAATTATTTTCGTATTTAAATTTAAATTTCAAGTTGTTACAAAAAAGTATGGTAAAATCATTGTTTTGGATTTTGGATATAAATTTTTTCGTTTTGTATTAATTCGATCCAAAAATATTTGCTTTTTAATGTTTCTTATGTATGTCATTATTTTTTTTAAGATGCATGGAAAAAACAGAATGATGCAAAACACAGAAATCTAACATAATCATTTACCTGTTGCAGTTCTACAGCAGAGAGCAAAATGCAAGGGAAGGAAGGAAAACCCGCATCGTCGACTTCATGTCGAACTTGCACGGATACGTCGGACATAGTCCCATTACATACTTCACAGCACTTGTACCTGAAACCAATTGCCAGAATGAACATCTCCGTCCAACTTCCACAATTAAAGGCGCCAGGCAAATCCATCTCAAGCTGGGAAGTGATGGAGCGACTTCGCAAAATGGCCAAACCTGAGAAATTTAGTGTCCTGAAAGTGACCAAGAGTACGCTTGAATTTATAAGATTCGAGGGTGAGATTGACTGCAAGGCCAAGTTGAAGAGTGTCATAGACAGGCTTGACATGATGACAATCAAATTATCCGGCTTCCCGGACGCCCTCAAAGTACGGGCTGCTGAAGCCAAATTAGCATTTCCAACTCGACACATATGGGATAGCTTCTTCCGAGAGGCAAAGAATATGAATGAGATGAAGCCTGGTGAGCGACCGGACACAATGCACATTGGAAATTTACCATGCAAGTGGTTCACCTTGCCAGAACTTCAGGAGAAAGACCCGAAGCCGAGCGAGTACATTTTTAGGAAAGTGTTTGAGTCATTTGGAGAAATAAGATATGTCGATGTGCCCTGCAATGATCCGTATCGATCCAGAATGAAGAGCAAGTCGGCCATCAAGACATTTTCTTTTGATGGCGGTGTAATGTTTGAAGGCTACATTCAATTCAAGGAGTACGTAGGATTCTTGAAGGCAATGAGTGCTCTCAAAGGAATGCATTTGATGTACAAGGAGAAAGACAAAGTGCTTGTTGTGCCAATCAGAGTAAGAGGTTTATTTTTTTAATTTTTTTTTTTACCTTATTGAAATCATACAGGTTGACTTTGACAGAACAAAGCACATGACAGACCATTCCATCAAAAAGCGGCACGTTGAAAGAGAGAGATTGATTCAAGAGGATGCAGAGTTGTTGAATAAAGAAAGAAAATTTCTAGAGGAAGTCGAATCAAAGAAAGATCAAGCGTAAAGTACAATCGTTAATTTAATCTCTTTGTACTTAAAAGTTCTCTTAATCTTACAGTTCCAAAAAGAAGGAAGCTGAGGAGATGAATGCATTGCTAGAAGAAAAGCAGAAGATTGAACAGAAGCAGAAAGAGAAGCTAGAGAAAATTAAAAAAGCTGAGAAGCAGAGAAAGAAGATAAAAAAGAAGTTGGCTGAAGAAGAGATGAAACTTAAAATGGCACAAGCAAAACTAGAAAACGTTGAGCTTTTAGGCATGCTTCTCGAGAAAGCTAAGGTAAATCAGTAAGACTTTATAATGATAATCTTAAATTTTACCTTTTCCTTCTAGAAAAAGAAAAAGAAGGAGAAAAAGAAGAAAAAAGAAAATCCAAAAGAACCGATCGCAAATATAGTTCAGCAAGTTGTTGAAAGTGTTGTAAGTTTGCCTTAGGGAATCATATTTTTGTGAAACTTAAATAATCATATTACAGAAGGAGGAAGAAAAAGATTTGCTGGCTAATCGAGAATTAGAGCTCCGATCAAGACTGCTCCTAAAATACAAGAGGATCCATGGTAAACCACTTGAGGTCAAAACTGACAAAGATGCAGCAGCAGAGCCTGATCCTCAAGCGAATGAGGCTAAAGTGGAACCCTCCATACCGGTTGAAATAGTTGATAAAATTTTAGAGGAAAATTTTAGTGAATCAGAAGGAGAATTTGAGCTTGTGCATGAGGAAGACGACGGTTATAATCTTCAATCAGGCAGTGATGTTGTGATCGAGAGTGCATTGTCTTCAACTGAGAATGAAGAGGGTGAAGTCGAAGAACAGAGCGAGGAAGAAACCAAAGCCACTAGCTCAGAAGGGGAATCCCTATTGGTAGAGAGTGAATCTGAAGGTGAAATCAAGTCGGAGGGAGAAGCAAGTGAAACGGCCTCAAGCATTAAATCAGAGAAGTCAAAACTTGGATCTATCAAAGCTGAGAAGAAACAGAAAAGTAGTCTAATTTATAAATTTTTTACATTTTCTAAGAGATTTTTTTTCTTACAGAGAAGCACAAGAAAGATAAGAAAAAGAAACATCAGAAAGATAAGCTGGATAAAGTAAAACCAGTTAGCAAAGTAAAAGACACCCCAACAAAAGTCAGTAGTCACATAGAAGTGGTTTCTAACCACTGGAAGAGCACCACACGTCACTACACAGATCAAGATGGGAAACGCAGAGGTGACACTTGGATAGAAGGGAAGCAAGTGTATGAAATTGGAGACAGCCGTTTGCCTCCATGGCCATACCCTACAGACTTCTACAGCAGAGTACGAAACCCAAATGAAGCAGATGTTTACGACAAGTACTTCAACAAATTCCGAGACTATCCTCGAAGGAGGAGCGTGAGTAGAGAGCGACGCAGCAGGTCCCATAGTTTAGTTGGAAAGCGGGGAAGGAGTAGGTCTCGGAGCAGGGAAAGGTTTCGAAGGAGACGCAGGTCGAGTTCCCGGCGTCGATCTCTTTCCAGACGCAGATCTCACTCAAGGCACAGATCTTTATCCGGCCCAAAACACAGATCTAGATCGATTTCCAGACGCAGAAGATCAAAGTCGAATTCTAGACGACAAAGGTCAAGGTCTCTTTCAGGACGTAGGAGATCTAGGTCTCTCTCTAGACGCAGACCTTACTCGAGAGGTAGATTTGAGCGTTGGGGCAGATCATCTTCTAGAGAGCGGAAAAGAAGGAGCAGCTCGTCTCTCAGTTTTTCCAAAAGTAGATCTCGAAGTGTGGCTAGGGGTGTGAGCAGAAGCAGTGTTGACTTTAGGAGCAAGGTGAAGTCAAAGAGCAAGTCACCTCCACTCACTTTGAAAATTCAAAAGCCTCTCAAAAAGCCCAAAAAGGTAGTCATTTCTCCTCAAAAGACTGACAGCGGCAGGGAGAGACCTAAGCCCTTGATCATGAAAATGCCCTCCAAGAGACCTAAGAAGTTGCCCAAGGCTGAGTCAGTTGTTGAGGAAAAGCCAGTGGACACAGTGCATGTTGTCAAGGAGGAGATAGCAGAACCAGCAGTTGTTGAGGCTGCCGAAGTCTCTACTGTCACCCCTCCTCTCCCTGAGTCAATGCCCGATCGTGAGGATGAAAAGTCTCCTTCCCCAACTCTTGAGCTCAACAATTCCCCAATTAGGGAACCTTCTCCCATTCCTGCTGATTCCATTCCACTGCCCCAATCCCCTGCTAAAGAGGAACCACAAAGTGTGCAAGAGGTCCCAGTTTTTAACTCTGAATTGGCCGTGGACGATCCTCAAAATGAGGAAGTAAATTTGGAGTTGAACTAACAGTTTTCTCTGTTATAGTTTCTTTATTTGGAAGTACGGAAAAGAAATCATTTTTTTTTTTAATTGTTTTTTTTTATTGTCATGCACTCAAAACTGGAGATCAATAGAATACTAGTTGGTTTTAACGTCATTACTTCATAAAATTTGTGATAAAACAAACTTGAAATAAAGCGCGGAAAGATCATTTACACACATGACTAGTTTTTTTAGACAAGCTAGTAAGTCGTTAAAATTGGAATGGAGGAGATTTAATCATCATTGATAAAAATGGCATGTTTGTATTAATTTTACATATAAAATGGCACTTTGCCGCAGGGTTGGTTACAGTATATCACTTAACAAAAAAGGGGGGAAATCAGGGTTGATGGATGATCACAGCTTAATAAAAATAGTCGTACTTGACTGTCGGGTAATCGATTGTAAGGCGATTTGCAGTTCTTTCGGCTACGGCGATCAAAACTGTGTTTGGCGTGCCGGAGACTGGAGTTGGGAAGACTGAGGCGTCCACCACTCTTAATCCACCTACCCCTCTGATCCTAAAAATATACCAAAAAAAAATTAATTTGAAATCTATATTTGCGATAAACTTACAATAATTCCGGAGTGACCACAGAATGTCGACCCGAGCCCATACGACACGTTCCTCCAGGGTGATATCCTGTTATCGCCCCTGTCCTAATTATGCATGTCAAATAGGCATCGTCTTTCAAATTTGGCTTTCCGCAATGCTTGAATTCTGGCAGGTGCATTTTAGCGCCTAGTCTTTTAAAAGCCCTCGTTTTAGTGACTCTGGCAGCCAGCTTGAATGCTGGAACAGTTTATAATTTAAAGTTATATTTAATCATTAATCGTAGTCTTAACTTTCAATTTCTTACCTTGAGCCATGCATTTGATATCTTTGGGGTCGGTGAGGTATCGAGGATCGATTGCTGGCATGGACAAGGGGTTGCTGTCCTGCAGCTTGACAGTTCCTCTGCTGCGAGGTTGAAGGCACGAAGATAACAACACAGCTCCTTCCTGGCTTGAGTTTTTGGCCAATGGAAAGAGTCCGTGGAAAGTCTGCAGAGAATAAATATTTTTGTCACTGATGAGCCGGAAGATTAATTGACCACACACACCTCTGGCATGTAATTGGCTATGTTGCCGAGGACCGTCTCTTCTGGAGTGCCCATGGCAAACAACAGGATTCCCAGATTGGACGGCCAAACTGCCGCGGCACTCACAGCTGTGGACGCCAGCAGACCTTTTCGCAAAAAGGTTGTGTTTTTTATTTAATTTTCCATCGATAATACAATAATTCTACCTTCCTTGTAAAGCAGGTATCTGCCAAGCTGTCTTATTGAGCGCAGTTTGCTGAGGGTCAAACTCAGATTTGGCTTGGAAAAGCTGACATACAGGGGCATATTGAGATGGTCATGGAGGTTGTGACCCACTGGAAGGTCGGCCACAAATGGAATCCACTGCAAAAGGTCAATATAGCATTTGTTTAGCATTAAATTAAATATTTTAAATGTTAATTTTTAGTTCTCAACCTGAAATTGCTTTAGGTATTGCTTTGGCCCCAGCCCGGACAAAAGAAGCAATTGGGGTGTTCCAATGGCCCCAGCGCAAATGATGACTTCATGTCTGGCTAAAACTATTGCACCGCTGGTGAGGAAAACACCTTCGGCCCGCCTTGTACCAGGCCCCAAATCAGCCGAAAAGACTATCTGCAAATATTACGCTCTTGGTGAGTCACATAATTTTTACTTATCGTTTTTTACCCTTCCGACATGCGTATTGAGCATTACATGCAAGTTCTCTCTACCAAGCGCAGGTCGCAAGTAGCTCTCCAAAGTGCTCCATCTGCGACCGTTCCAGATCGAGTTTCGTGAGTGCCGAAATCCCTTTTCCGCCCACTCCGCATCCTTGGATGTTTCTCCTCCCAGTTCTTTTCCAGCATCCACGAATGCTGAAGTCAAAGTCTCACTAGTTGGCTCTCCACGGGTCAGTCGAATCTTAGGCACACACTTTTTAACTTGTTGTGGCAAACACAATTTTTCCCCTAATATAAGAATAGAAAATGTTAAAATGCAACAACAGGAGAAATACTTCTTTCAATTACCAGTCATCATATTGCGATAGGAAGTTTGCGGACAAGAATTGCGTGGTATAAGATCTTGGGGTCGTTCGCAAGTCAGTCGCTCTATTATTGGCCTCATAGTTTTGTAACCCCAACCTGTGCCCCCTTCGTTTTCCCATCGGTCAAAATCGGAAGGGACTCCGGGAAAATGCACCATGTAATTGAGCAGACCACTTCCACCTAAACCTCTTCCCCTTGGCCATGCAGAACTCTGGAAACAAATAGCAATAATTTTTATTTTAATAATTCATAATTATGGACAAATGTTAGAAAATTTTAGATAAAATAAAATACATATTATTATATTTTTGCTTTTACATGATTTTTAAGGCCAAGCTGGGAAGTATGTTGAGGTTCAGTCCGGTAAGCCCAATCGCTGACGGTATTTTGGAGCAAAGGTGCCGCCAGAGGCACCGAGGCGAGCCACCCAAATTCTGGGCCCGATTCCAGCAATAAAACCGACCGGTCGGAGTCCTCGGACAAGCGGGCGGCCAAAACGCAGCCAGCCGTTCCTGCCCCGACTGTAACAGAGCGTGAAATTAATCTCTATGATCATATCTCATGTTACTATGAGCAGAGAATGCTGGGACGAAAATAAAAATTATAATGCGCAGGAAGAAATACCAATAATGAAGTCGTAGTGCGTTTCTGGTTTGAGGACGATGCCAGGTCTTGAAGCGAACCAAGTGTTCCAAGTCAGCAAACTCAGACCCAGCACGCATCCAGCGCCAAGGACAGTCATGGCGCTGGAAAACGCTGGAAAATGATTATTATATTTTTATTTAACTGCAAGCGACAAATAACAAGTAGATTTGAGAAATACACGTGCATTTTATCATGAAAAAAGGTTGAGAGGGACTACTGGGGAAAAGCTCTGCTCATCGTCAGGGGTTAAACAAAATTCAGTCAATGAGTAAGTGACGAATTGATGAATTTTCAGATTGAAAATTACAATCCTGAATCTTGGTCATGTTTTTTAATAATTTTTTGAATTTCCATTCTTAAAAAGGTAATTTTATAAGATATTAAATCACGCTTGAAAATTTTGCAGTAAATTCATTTTCAAAACTTCGTTTTTTTTCTCCTCGGACATTTTTATGGCTTGAAATAATTTATTATGCGCTTCAATTTCTTTTTTTAAATCTTTAATTATTATTTTTTTTTTAATGAAGATTAACAGAAGTTATTTTTTAGGTGAAAGTTATTGGAACCTTCCACTTGGCTTTATACGTTGTGTGCATTGCGACTGTAGCTGTAGTTAGTAGATTTTAAATACAGGATTATCTTGCAAGCACCGCGCCTTTTGTTACTCGAGTCGCCTTGCACTCTTTCAATTTTTTACCCGCCACTTGTCACGCTACCTTGGAAATGAAATATTATTCCGCATTAAAACTTTACACGTTCAAAGAACAGTACTGAAATTTTGCATATACGTTCCCAAGATTGAGAACTGATAATGTGTTTGACACCAGCAACTTGGAGTTGTTGAGGAGAAATTCAATTTTACAAATGAAAGGAATTTCATTCAGAAGTGGGAAAATTACAATTCGTCAATTATCAAATCTCAAGGCCTACTTCCTCAACTATTTTAACTTACATGTTCGCTTTTTGGATTTCACCCTCATTTGTGACGATAAAAGTTGGGTGCGCATTCAATCGCCAACATCGCGAATGTGATACGTGACACCAAACACAACGTAGAAGTCAAAACGAAACCCCATCGGTGCATGATAAAAGAGTGCCATCGCGCGCGGGGTGTTTGGTGCTAATTTGGGAGTGCGGCCGGGGGTGGGTGAATGAAGGGTGGTTGTTTTTCGCACTCACCTCGGCCCAAGGCGGCGCACCCAAGCCGGCCCATGTCAATTGCTCGCGGCCGCCGCTCTCAGGCCCTCAGCATTTCCTTGCAAGGGTTGGCCGAGCAGACGAGTAGTGCCGCATTGGGGAGGGTGGTTTTCTTTCAGATGGCGCTCGGCGAGGGCAACAAACGAAACGCCGGCTGCTGCCGCTGCGCCAGCCAAATCGATCCTCGCTCTCGCTGCCGCTTCGGCATGGCAAAGGCTTCGATATTGTGCTGCCAGAAAATCAAAATAAACTCACGACTCGACTCGGTCGGCGGCTCGCGTGATGAAAATGCACCAGCCGCGTTTTGTATTCACGTTTCAATGCAATATTGGCATTAATTTATACAAAAATGTGAAGAGCGTTTATTTGGATTTGGCCCTCATTGAGGATTTTGCACCACAAGTCTAGCAAAATACGCCAAATTTGATGTGAATAAAAACGTCAAACAACCAAATTTCAAATCAATTTTTATGCTCAAACTGCAAACTGCATAGTAAAGTTTAGAGGTTCTAAAGTTTTTTTTTTTTTTTAAAGAATTCAAAATTCAAAAATTTAAATTCACATTTTATGTTTGCCCAAAAGCCTTTGATAAAATTATATTTTTTTTTCTTTTTTACCCTCAAATTTGAGCGAACAAATTATTTATTCATTTAGGATTTTATTTTAAATTAAAATTTTAAACTCTTATGATAGCTGTGATATGAAAAAATAATATAAAAAAATGGTCATTAATAATTTCTTTTTAGATTTCTTACACTAAAAAAATTGTTTGTAGGCTTTTTATTATTAACGATTGATTTATTTTATTAGTATAAATTAACCCTGAATTAAATTTCATTGATTACAAAATATAGAGCGAATTGAACCTATGACATTTGACAAACGTTTCAGGCATTTTGAGCTCTTGTCCTTTTGACCTTAGCAGAGGGATGAGTGAATAGCAAAGAGTTTGCGTTCAATGCTTATCTAATCCTCAAATCAGCACGTGAGCAAAAGATTAAATAAAATTTTACTTTGTTGCTCAACAACTGTAAATTGCTAGATTAAAATTTAAAATGCAAAAAATCACCAGATTCACCAGTGAAAGTCAATATAATTAAAACTCGGTCACAACTTTTAAGATTAATTTCATTATCTCTGATAACTGATAATAATTTCGAATTAATTACATTTTTAACAGAGTTTCATTGTTCAGTACGCTTACTCAGTTTATATTTATCTCTAGTCTGGAACTTTTGTAACCTAATGCGTAATTTAAGAAGCACCCGGCGCCCCGTAATCGATCAAATTGACTTAAAATGAATGCAGCGCCCTATCTTGTTTTTTTTTGTCGCAGTACGTGCAGAATATGCAGCCAGAGATTAATTGCGTGCAATATTTATAGACCTCTCTAAAAAAAAAACAAGCGTTGTGTTATCGATTCCTGATTTTCGCAATAGCCTCCCTCGTCCGTGGCCCAGTTGCAGATTTAACTTCTTCGTGGGTCGCGCCGTGTTTTTCATTTTTGCGTCTACTGCGTAGTTGGCCCAGCGTGAGAGAATTTCTTTCGGCAACCCTCGCCCCCCGTGCTCACATAACACACACGCGGCGTGACTTCTCTCTTTTATTTATTTACAACGGTGTGCTGCAGCGCAGGTCGCCAAACTTCTTGTTGTTTTGCCAAGCCGAAAAGCGGAGATAAACACAGAATGAAAAAAACAGCCGATATTATTGCTGCTATTATTAAGTCAGAGGCCCAGAGATTCGCGTATGCAGATCATCAAAGTGCCGCGTGTGTGTGAAAAAGAGAGGCATTGCAGACACATGACTTTATTTTCCCTTTAAACCTTGAATTAAAACATTTTGGATGCCGTCCAAAATCCGCAAAATGCTTCTTTTGCAGGCAGAAATGGATTTGCCTAAATCGTTTCAATTTTTATTGATGCCTTAAAATTAAAATTGGCACAAAATCACTCTCAATACAATAAGTACTAGCATATAATTATGGAAAAGAGCAAGAAATTTTCATTTATAAAATTTTGTATTGCAAAGTAGGATTTAATATTTTTTTTATTTCAGTCAAAACAAACTTACATAAAAATTACGGAAATAAAAAGGGATTATTCTATTTGGATTTTAATTAATATTGAATAGCATCTCTTCATAAAAAGCTAGTCAGTGACAGATTTTCACCTCTATGAGCATCTATAAGTGCCAATTTACATTTTTTTTTTTTTTATAAATCCATTCTTCTTTTTAAATTCATGATTCTTTCACCACGTTTAAAAAAATATTTGAAGATAAAAAAAACATTATCCTGTGCTACAGTATATATTTCATTGATTATTAATTTAATTTTCTTTACAATTGGTCAAAGAGCATTCAACTTTTTCAACAAGTGTGGGGAAGTCGGTGCCACACCTCACTTAAATTCCTGCTGGGTAAATTTTTATCACACTTTTTACTTCCCAGACGGCGACTAAAGCATAAAATATACAATCTCTCTCACATTCTGTTTATCAGGAAGCTAGCCAGTGTGAGCTTTATGTTTGGAAAAAATAAGTTTAACTGCGCCGAAATAATCCAAGATAAAATTGCATTATCAGCCGGTGTCAGCAAATTCGTGCTGATCAAAGCGTTTGCTCACCAATGCAAAAATATTTGCCGACATTACGAAAAGTTTTTGAACGCATTTTACTCCTCTTTTTTTTCAAATTTTTAGCCGCTGAAGCGATCAAATGCAGTTTATTTGTTAAGGCGCATTACCCACACCTCGTTGCAGAATTAACATGATTTAATAACTCATGTAACGCTGCGAGATCACTTTCATGGCAAATCACTTTTACTTGCTGTGTCTCAGTCGGTGAATGGTGTACTCGAGATTTAATGCCAAGGGCAAGACACATTGTATGTGAAAATGATTCGGGTCAGGACTCCAGAAAAATTTCACTGACCAAAATAAAGTCGTATCAAATTTTTGCTGACAGATTTTGAGCATCGAAAGCTTCTAGTGAATGAAATAAAAATCAATAGCAAAAAATTTAAAAAATATTTTTTTCAAGCCCTATACTCCTATAGTAAGCACAAGATTTTTAAATTAAATTAACACAAAAAATGTATTCGTAATTTTTATTTTTCTGTTGTAATAAGAAAATTATATTTATTTTACGCGTCATGCTGTTGGTGGCTCTGAAAAGTGTGGTACGTTTTTATTTTTTTATTGATTAAATTTTTTGAGCTGAATATTTATATAATTTTAACAAATTTTAATTGACAACAAATATCATTGTCATTATTTAATCTACTTTTTAATTTTTATTATTTAAATATGTGAAAGAGTAAAATAATTTTCTTCCACTTTCCATATTAAAACAAGTGCTTTTAATTTCAAAATAAAATAGGGCCTACGTGCGCCCAGACACATTTCCCAGCGCGATGCACCCAAAATATTTACTTTTTGCAACACACGGGCCGCGTGTTGTATGCACTAAAAATATACTGGCTCTCGTCATTCATAGATGCACCACTATGGGTGCATTTATCGCAGATAGCAGTGCAACCGCTAAAGATAGTCGGCTGACCTCCTGCGAGTTGAGTCTACGTGCCGCTCTCGCATCGTGTTAGGGCCGCCTCTGCGCAGAGGGCCCAACTTTGAGCGCCCCTAACCCCGGCCCCCGACGGCCCATCACAAAATTTTCCTCACTTCTCCACCCAAATTTTCCTCGTCTCTAACTTTGCTTCGACTGCGCATTCATTCACACAAAATTGCCGAAACCAAAGGCGAATTCGGCGTGGCAGGCGCTCCCCTGTCATCCGCCAAACAGTCGAGGCTTCTCGAACCAAAACAGAGGCATTAGTTTTGGTTGTGCTGTACTGCGCTTCGTATCGAGCAGCCATAAGCTGAGCAGACCGTCCACAACACAGTCGCCGAAGGACCATATTTAAGTGGGTTCCTTTTTGCATTTTCACACAACTAACGATATCTTAAGATCAATTCGGCCCGGAGACCTCGGCAGATTGAAATTCGGTCGCAATCGGCCGTGCCATTTGCTAAAAGCGACGAATTAATGCGGCACCACCCATTGCCCATCTTGTAAAGCAAAAGGCATGTCGGGTTTGCCGACGCGATTTTCGCAAGGTCAAGGAATAAGCCGAGTGCGAAACCTTGGTCGAGGTCAATACTAGCCGCGTTTAAATTATGTATCTTCCATAATTGCTCCTCGCCCGTGCACGCCGCTCCTCAAACATTTTTTTTTTTTACCATCATTTCTCTTTTGTTAAAAAAAAAAAAATAAATAATGAAATAATGAAAGTTTTAAAAATGTATTTTTGCACACAGGTGAAGCAGCGACGCAAAGGTTGCTGCTTGGCTGGGGCGCGTTCACTGACACGTCGGTGACTTCTCATGAATAACAAGATTTACCCGAGGCAGTCAAAACTCATCGTCAACCGCAAGGAGGTGCCTCTCGAGTCCAAGCGGTCATGCCTGCGGACCAGCAGAGAGTCGAAGATGACTCGGAATCTACGGACTCCATCATCCTCGAGCCCATGAACCTGTGCGATGTTTCCAGGCACAGGAATATCAGCCAGGAGAGGTGAGCACATCTTGCCTAAATAATTCTCATTTCATTGATCCAATTTCCCAATTACGACCATATGTTGACATGGCCCAAAAATGTATGCATAAAAGTGAGATAATCGGCCAAAGTGTAGTTTACAACACACGTTTTGAATACTCGGTCACTCACTTTCACCTCCATAGAAATATTTTAATTTTTTGAATAAACTTGCTGGCATGGATATTGTTGGCTGCGTAGTTAATGTTATTACTACAAATTAAATTTTAATTTTTGAAAAAAAATGTGGAAACGATGCGCTATTTTGATAGCTTTATTTTTATCTTGATATCGCAAGTTAAAAAATTTAACAAAAATAGATTAAAAAATATTACAAAATTTTTAAATTTGGATGTTTTTTAGGCAGTTGAGATTTTGATTCGCTCTATTTGCTCATATCTAAATTCTGCATGCTTGATAGTTTTCATCAAAGTATTCGATCAAATTCCTTTCCAGAATGAGCTCAATGAGCTTGGTATAAACCTCTAGCTGCATGCAGGGTCGCGCAATTTGAATTTTAAATCGTTTCATTAACAGCGTTGGAAAACAATGGGTGTGAATTAATCATCCAAGGGATATTATATCAAATAGGCCACATCAGCTTAGCCAGGGGAGTTGAATGCGCCTTTATTTCATTAAGAATCAGATACAAGAAGAAGAACACGGCATAATGGTGCAGGTGGTAGTGCTTTTGAATGCCAATCGAATTATGCGGCTTCATTCCTCAAAAGTTCTATTAATAGAATTACTAATTTATTAGTTTTGATTGTAATTTCTAAGGAGATCCACAAGATTTTAAATAGATATATTGGAATATAATATATTAATATTATATTAACCAAAATAACCAAGAATTTATAATTTTATTTAATTAATTATTGTTAAATTAATTTTTTTTGCATTCATTTTAAGACAAATCTTTATTTACTTTCCTTTATTAAGTTGCTGAAAATTCTAAAAATATATTGAAATATTTTTCAGCTCCGACGGCTCGGAGTCGCCAACAGGGTTACCACCAGCAAACCCCAACCTCTTCTTCAGCGCTGCAATGGGTCCTAAGAAAGAGAAGGACAATGCTGAACAACGCAGACTGAAGAGAGTGAGAACTTGGCGCAGGGCCATTATGAAGGCAAGAAAGCATTACTTTTTCTTGTTTTGTTAGTGTCGGCCAATTTCGAGATCAAAATAAAAACGAAACAAATCAAATTGTATAACAGCTTAGGACTTCTTTGTTGCGGTGCGAGCAGCCTGGCTGACATTGATTTTGACTTTTAGGCACGTTGCAAGGGAGATCCCTGGGAAAAGTTCCACCTTGATGAATACCCAACGGAAAAGGCTCGTCGTTACCGGTACAACGCACTTCGTAAAACTTGGGTTATTGATGATTGCTTGGTTAAAATGGAGCTGGAGCCTTTCAACCATGGCGCCATGCGGGAGTGTTTTCGGATGTAAGTTCTTATTATTTCAAGAAAGTTTTATTGTAAGTTGGAAGATTTATAAATAATTTCACGTACACATTATTAATTTTTTAATTTATTTTTATGCATAATAATAGCTAATGGAATTGATAATGTTAAATTCTGTTTAGGAAAAAGCTGAGTAATTTCACTCAGTGTGATGATTGGAAGAAGGACAGCAACAACTATGTTGCCAAACGTTACATGGATGAGGTTGAACGGGACGTCTACTTCACCGACGTCCAGCTACAGATGGACGCAAAACTCTGGGGGGAGGAGTTCAACAGGCACAACCCACCCAAAAAGGTTGACATTTTCCAAATGGCGATCCTCGAGTTTCCACACAGGCAAGGCTGCCCTCTGTTCCACTGCGAGCACTTCATCGAGGGTGAATACGTCAAATACAACTCAAACTCTGGCTATGTGAAGGAAGACAAAGACCACCTTAGGCTTACCCCTCACGCTTTCAGTCACTTCACTTTTGAAAGGCAAGTCTTATTAAAATTTCCGAAGCTGAATTCTAATTTTAAAATTTTCAGATCTGGTCACGAACTGATCATTGTGGATATTCAAGGCGTTGGAGACTTGTACACTGATCCACAAATTCACACTGCATCTGGTAAGCAGTTTGTTTGTTTTTTTAAATTTAGGAAACTTATTTCTTCGTAGGAGAGGAATATGGCGAAGGAAATTTGGGAGCAAAAGGCATGGCTTTGTTTTTCCATACTCACGTCTGCAGCCGCATCTGCAAGAGTCTTGGATTGTCTCGTTTTGATTTGGCCCCATCTGAATACAACGACAGCACCATGAAGGATTTGAAGGACTCGCAGGTACGCTAAAGCATAAATTTTATTCTTTTTTATATAATTGTTGATCTATATAGGAACGCTGCAAAACTATGATTCGTGGTCAAGAGGAAGTGTGCGTGATGCCGTCTCGCTTTGATAAGCAACGGCTCTTGATGCACCGTCTGCCACGCACTATGTCTGAACCACTCGCGCGCCCCAGGACTATCTCTGAATCCAGCAGCAACTTGACCTCACTCACTCCACCAGAATCACCAACTCGCTGCATCGTAAGAATTTTGAGAATTCCGTTAAAACCGATTAGTAATTTCATTTTATTTTAAATTTCCAGTCATCTGAGGATGTTGAGGAATTCTTGCACTCAAGCCACAACCAGGTTACTTTCACAGTGTCCTGCTCGGACAGCGACTACGACTCAGTCAGTGCTTCAGACACAGAACGATCATTGATTCGCAACAGGCGTCGCCGTATGGAATCTGAGAGTGGATCAGTTATTGATGATGATGAAAAAATGGACTTCCATCTGCAACTTGCTCGTCGCTCCAAGCCATCTTGCATTCAACCACCAAACCCGGATGACCTGGAGGTTTCTACTAAGGACTCTGTTCTTGGACTGGTGAGTTTTTTTTAGACAATTAATTTGATTTGGAACTTCATTAAATTTGTTAGGTTCATCTGGAGTTGTGCCGCTATCATGAGCTCTGCCGCTTTACCAACCTCAACAGCTCAAGCTATGATCAAGAAGCCGCATTGTTCCATCTGGAATACGCTGCTCGTTGCGGAATACCGGAAGCTCGCACGGCCTACGCTAGGATTTTGCTTGGACTGCAGCACGACATTTTGCCTGATTTAGAGGTGAGACAAGTGGCAAAATGAAGAAATTTTAAATGAACAATTTTTAACAGTTGGAGCATTCGGTTGAAAATGAAGACAAAGGCTTCTCAATGCTGCTTGAGGCTGCTTCTGCAAGTGACATGGAGTCGATGGTCTTGGTGGCCAAAGCTTACGATACTGGCATTCTTCTTGGATCACGACCTATCGATTGGTGCCAGGCCGAGTATTGGTACGAGCGTTCTGCAGACGAAGGTGGCAGTGACAATGATCCACCATACCAGCTGTCTGCAAGATTGGCTGAAATGCTTTGCATCGGAGGACCTGGGCTTCCGAAAGATCCATCTCGAGCTGGTAAATTATTATTTTTTTATAGTTTTTTGTTTTAGTCCTATTATTCTAAAGTTTTTTAGAAGGATAAAATAAATGTGTGATTTTGTAGGTGAGCTTTACACGGAGGCTGCCGATGCTGCCATGGCTGCAATGAAGGGCCGCTTGGCCAACAAGTGGTACCAGCTGGCCGAAGAAGCCTGGGCTATGTGCGAGGAAGAGTAGATCTAATGGGCAAGCCGAAGACCGGTCCAGCTTGGTTGAGGTTGGTTGTAGTTCCTTGCAGGAATCAGGATTTCAGCTGATTTCCCATGCTGTCTGACTGGTCTGTTGGTCTTGAGTAGATTTGAGAATATATTACACACTTAACTTCTTTGATCTATCAATATCAAATAATGGCTGTCTATTAGAAACGGAATTTTTTTCTTCATATATATGCGTGAAAAGATTGTTACATCTAAATACAAAAGCAAATTGAATATTGCTTGGATTGAAAAAAAGAAAGTCTAAGAGAGTATAAGAGATCGATGAGTTATGCCACGTTTTGAAATAGGGGAACAAGAGAGAAAACCAACTAACCTTTCCTTTGGCACATTAAACCCTTTGATCTCCAGATAATGGATTGTTACCCATTCAATAAAATACTATTGTGATTTCTAAACATTGGAAGGGCTGCCTGAAAAAAGTTTGACGAGTGGTATATAAATCCAAAAATGACTGATTTCTAAAAGAGAATACTGTTCATTCTGTAATTTTTTTCATCTGATATGTTACTTTTGCTAAGTTAATTATTGTCACTCATAGTTTTTCATTAACTAGTTTCCCATTTTAACATTCTTCTTTGTTTTAATTACCATTGCTCCTCCATGAATTTTGCCATAATGATGTGCTTGCTCTGCTTGCAAATGAAAATACATATTGCCCTTTGATGCATTTAGTTACAAAAGAATACTTTTTAACTGTAAAATACTAATTTTAAAGAAGGTGCTTGAAACTTAATTGTGAATTATCACACTAATATACTGAGAAAGATGGGAAGGGAGGGCTTAGTAAGATTTAGCATAAGAGCAAGAAGTGTCACTTAACATGAACTTATCTGAATTATTTCTTTATTCATGGTCATGACATAGCCGATCTAGTGTATATCACTAAATGTTTGTATATTTGCTATAATTAATTTTTCTGTATATTTGTGATGATATCAATAAAATGAAAATTGAGAAAAATAAGTATTTGGAGTATGATAAAAATCAAAAGATTCCCCTCCTATATCTGCAGATTTGAACTATAGCAGCAATAGTTTCAGGAAATTTATTAATCATATCAAATTTCAACTTCAGCCGCTCTGAAACACTAGCCGCAGTTAAGTTATTGTGTGCATGTCCAAACAGGGAGAAGGATCACGTCACCAAACAATTTGTTATCACGCTCGCAGAGATAAGTCGCCGTCTTCCCACTTGCAGTCATCCTCGGGCCGCAAGTTGTGCAACTATATATAAAACAAATTCCTTTGTTTCTTCCTCCTTTGACGCAGGAGTGTGTCTTTCTATGCTGGAAATGCGTGGGTGAGTGAGCGATTTGGCGGCGCCATGGGCCAGAAGCAGTCGAATAAGCGGATCAGCGTCCTGGACGTCAGCGACCCTCAGCAAGTCCAGCACACCGCCCAACTCAAGTTGGACCCTAATCAAGGAATCGTCCTCCAAGTGCCTGAACTGGATGCCTATTTAAGGAAGGTACGCATGTTGATCAAATAAATTCATTTTTTTTTAATTCCTATTAAATTGTTGGGTACATTTACATTTTGAACTTATTCTCATAATTATTTCATATTTTGCGTCCCACGTATTAAAGACGGGTATTTAACCTTTAGTCTAAAAATATTTGTTATATACAGAGACAAAATTTCCAAACGTGAAACAAATATTATTTTATCGTCAATCGAGAAAAGGAACCTCGCGCGGCGCTGAGCAAATAACGTTGCCTGTTGAATGGGCGATGCGGAATGCGTGCCGAGATATTTTTGTTTGACTGGCAGCAAGTTAATTATGATGATGCTGCTAGGCAAACAAAATATAAACGTTGCTTAGGTCTGTTTGCCCGCAAACAGACAAGATGATCCAAATTACACTCCTATGAGCAGGCGGTCGAGCGTGCTCCTTGAGCGTTTTTGCGACAAAATCTTATCTCTAGAATGAATCAAGTATCAAGAAAGTTGCGTTTTGTCCGCCCGTTAATATTTATTGAATCACGAATTTAACCTTGGGTGTTATCAAAGCAACGTAAATAATTATTCTATGTATGTTATACCGATCAATGCAGGCTAATTATCTGTAGCGTCAGTTGTCATGTGCGCGCGACATGCCTGTGACAAGTCCATTAATTTTCCATAATGATAGTGGTTAGTGGTTATAAGCATTATAGCGTTGTTTCATTAAGCAAATTAATTCAACATCAAACATGATTTAAATCATCGTTGCAAAAAACATTATTAAAAAAAAATCATAAAAAAATTAGTAGAAAATTGTTGTTTAAAATTTTAGGAAGGTATCCCATTCAGCGACAGATCAACGTGGGACGTTCTCCGCTTTGTGTATTACGCTGGCGGCCTGCGCCTGGTGAGGGACACCCTTGCGCTGATCCGAGCGCGCCGGACCCCCGAGCCTGCCCCTGATTATGACCTGACTACCTCAGAAGCCACCTCCAGCTCAACAACAACCGACAGCACGCCTTCCTCAAGAAGAAGGCATAACTGGAGCAGTCAAGAGGAGCAGGAGCAGCAGGTTGTTGAACGGGTCTCGCTGAGACAGCAGGCGATCAGGAGCAGCGTCATCAGGAGAGCAAAAGAAACACCTTCATCACCGGAACAACAAAGACATGTGAACCACAATGACGCTAGTAAGAAATCATTCAGCGTCAAGCACAATCTGATTTAGAATCTCGAAGGAATAATAAAACACAGCCTATTTTGTTACAGAAGATAATGATATTTTAATTTGAAAAATATAATTCAGAAACCTCGACGAGTTCCCTTTTGAAAATTTCACTCTCTGCCGCTTTTAACTTTCTTCTTTTACTTTGAATAAAAAATCTGCAGGCTAATAAGTTTACTTTCAATTATAATTGTTCATTATTTCTTGATTTTTAGTGTCAGAGGGTGGTGACGACTGGCGTAGTGCGCGCTCCTCTGTGCAAGAAATTACTATTCAATGGGTGTCCCCAGACGACCAGCCCACAGAATTCGTTCGACCGGCTTCGAAAGTCTGGAAACGGCCTATGTCCCCCGAGGTGCACGCTGACCTTGTCAGAGCATTGAAGGCGCGAGAAAGCCACGAATTACGTGAATTTGAAGAAGTTGAGACAAGAAGAACTCACACAATTTTAATCACTGACCCTGACATGAATGGTTAATAATAATAACAAGCATTTCAAGTTTAGATGGCATTTTAAAAGAATATAAACAATTAAATTTTCTTTCTTCACGTGTTTTTACAAAAGATAAAAATTAATATCCATTTTATACACCGTTCATTGCAACTAAAATCTTTAACAAAAAAAATCAATGTTTATGTGATGAAAGTCTATAAAGATTTTTTTATAGAATTTAGAGTTGATTAAATTTTGACGCATAATTTAATTGTAAGTTGTTTATTTAACTCATGATGTATGGCACTACTTCTGCAAGCAATACTTTGACTCCAACAAACATTCTTTCAATTATTCAACTTTTACCCATTCCCATTCCTCTTATTCAAATCTGCCACTTTAGAAAATAAGGAAAATACATCGCACAAAAACGTCGATAAAACGCAGAAACTGTTTATATTTTCTTGTATGCTTTGAGCAAAATCATAATGTAGAAAAAAACAATATTTTCAGCGCTAGGTCTAGAAGGCAATATAATTTAAAATGGTTAAATTTTATTTTTAGAATCACAAAGAAATTTGCTTGGTTGAGAATAATATTTTTTAAGAAATAAAAAACGAAAAATTTAAATTTTTTATGCCCACGTGTTGAGTTTGATCTGATGATTACACCTAAGCATTTTTAATACTTACTGGGTTTAGATGAAGTGAAATGCTTCACATTCCATACAAAATTAATTTTCTTGCGAGAAATCTTCATAATATTTATTCTGATAACCCAGACGGCCACTTTGATAATTAAATGGCTAGGTGTACGCGGGTGCCTCTCCCGCGTACACTACACATTTTCAGCAAAGTGCACAAAGCGCTTTTCGCTTAAAATAGCATCGATCGGCCGATAATGGAGATGAGAGAAAAGCAAAAGCAAGCTGGGCAGGCAACCCACACTATGCGCACACCGATAGCAGACCGTCTCCCTCTTTGCGGAGAGAAGCGATCGGCATTTGTAATTATCAGCGTTTTGGCATCAAGTTTCCCTAATTTTATTGATCGCAGTAGGCCGCCGCGTGTGCAGCTGGACAAATTTGCGATTTCACCGCGTTCAGTTAATTAGCCTTCCCTCTATTCATCCTATATGCAGGTGCAGATTTTTCTCAATTCTTGCTTAGTAAACTTTCAACATTAGATATATATTCCTCAAACAAGAATTCAGAGTCTGGTATCAAATATGAATTCTGAATTCACCATGCGTTTTTATTTGGAAAGAGCCAGATTTTCTTTGAATTTTTTTTTCGAAATAACACTGGGAAATCCAAATTTCCTTTTTAAAATTTTTTACTTTGCTTCTAAAATTCTGCTTCTTCCAAAAGACAAAAGATAACGTTAAATTGGAGCCTATCTAGAGATCTGGCCTTTTTTTACAATAATGCTGCTGCTAATTTCAAGGAAAAGCAAATTTGCTCTGTTAATTAATCTTTCGGCAGAGAAAACACAGACGGTTTTTTTCAACACGCGGATCTCCAGAGGAGATGGAGAAGCTTCTCGCAGTAGACTTGCGCAAACACGGTGGAATAAAAATCAAAAGCATATCGAGCACGAGCCATCAGAATTTTAATAAGATAAAAGTTTCTGCAAACGCAATTTCCTGGCGGAAAAGACAGATATGCGCAATACAAGCGTTTTTCTCTGCTGCAATATAAAACTTAAGAAGCTTTCGGTAGAACACCGATTTAAAAATAAAACACGTTGCAGCAACCCTGGAACGCCAGAAAGCAATTTTATTTTTTATTTTATCTGCTAAACTTTTTAATAGGCAAAAGCGGAGAGCCAATTTTTCTCGTTCCACGCGCATATATATTTCAGGATTCGCAGAACTGCACGATGGCTCTTGACAGGTCCGAAAGGCCCTTTGATGATTGCCAAAAGATAAATAGGCCGGCAGCATCAAAGGTGAATATTATTGAGCGTGCGCGGGTTTCGAGTTTTGAAGAAAGTCGAGAGCAGCTAATTCCAGCCGTGCGGCTCATATTTTACCAATGCCGAGGCTGAAAAGGGCGCATCAAAGGCACCGTGTTGCTGACGTCACCGCTAGAACTCCTTTTGCAGCAGGTGAAAGGAGCAGAATCTACTAACAGATGGACAATCTCATTTTACAGATGTACTGCAATTTTCAGAAGCGCTCCAGGCTGTTATTTTATTTTTTATTTAAAAATGTTATTTTTAAGCACAACGTAGGAAATAATTGACTACAGGTAAATGTTTTTGTTTTTCAAGATGATTTATTTTAAGCATTCGTGGAAGAATAAATCTGACTTTGTGCCTCAATTCTAAGAATCATCTTCATTTTTTGACAGACGCTTCAGCTGAAAATAATAAATGGATTTTAATATTGGTTCCTATAAGAAGCTACGCGCTTCACAATGAAAAAAAATTATATCGATTATAATTAAAAAAAAAAAAATACCCACAAGATTATAATTTAATTACAACAAATGAAAAGCTCTAAACCCTTTTATGCTGATGTATAAGTGGATTCTAGATTAAATGAAAACTGACCATTCCATCTTGAGAATTTCAAAGAAGTCTCGCTGCCTCAAAGAGAAAAGCCAAAAAAGCTGCCGCCAATCCGATTATCCAGAGCAAAAAGGCCCCGGCAAGGTGGCTCATGGTGACCCGAATTTTAAGTTCGTGGATCTGTGTGCTCTTTGGTGAGGGCAAAACGTCTCTTCTCCACTTTACCACCAGTCCGGCCATATTCATCTGACCAATGACCTTGTTAATCTCGCTCACCAACGGGTCCCCTTTGCGGGTTATAAATCCCACATGTAGGAAACTCTCTATATCTCTCTGGATCAAAACGTGTTGATGCAATTTGGGCGACTTGCGGCGCATGTATTGCATAACGAGCTGGGGACCGAGGAGAGCAGCCTTACCTTTCGCTACTTTCTCCAGGTCGGCCAGCATATTCGGCCGAGTAGTCATGTGAGTCCGAAGATCAAGCATTGGTTTCATTGGGTCATCGTCGTCGACAAGAAAGTGTTCATGGTAACACAGCCTGTAGAGTTGCAGGTTTGTCGCAGTTATCAACTAAAATTTAAAAAAAAACAATTTTTTTATTGTTTAGTAAGTACAATAGGTTGAATAGGTTTTTAATTAGACTGATGGTATTTGAGCGATACATTATAATGATTGTTATATTAAAAATTAAAAAAAATCGGCTAGGTAAATTTAAAATTTGAAATTATTTATTAATAAAAAGTTGTTTAAAAAAAAGAAAAGAAGGAAAATAAATTAAGTAAATATCTGAAGTAAATTTTTAATAAATGGACAAACAATTTTGGTTTTCAAATTTGAAAGCAATTGCCCTTGAATAAGTAAAGTCAACTAGAATTTGCGGTTTTCAACACCCATATCATGCAGTCGACTGCTCTTCACAGACTCGCAGATCGAATGTCGCGTTCAGTGAAGTTATGCAACAAGTGCGACCGGAAAGCGCAAACGGTTGCATAACCGACGCTTTCACAGGCGCTCGCAAAGGTCATCATCAGCAGCATAGCATTGATACTCTATTGACACAATCAACGCGACAGCGCGCTCAAAACGTTACATTAAAAGTGACGAGAACTCCTCAGCCTCCTTTAGCAAAATTGAAATTATTAATGCAGAGCAATTTCATTTCTATGGCATTTAAATTTTCATTAGGAGGGCTGAAATTAATTTATGAAATTTATATAACTTTTGGAAATTAAAAACTCAACTAGATATTTTGTAAAAATATCCTTTCTGGGTGAGAGTATCGTCTCACCTGTCTAGGTGATACAATCTGCGGCTCAAATACGGGCACTGTAAGGATGCTGGAGAGCTTGGACTGATACGAGGCGACGAGAATGAAGCATCCGACGCGGATTCCGATTACGGCCAGCCGAGGTGCCGTTTTCAAAGAGCCACTCGATGCGCCGAGCATTGTTGAAATGGCGTCGACGAAAGCGTGCGTGCTGGACAGACCAGCCAAAAAGCGGCCCACCAGCCAGATAGCGCAAACCGTGGCAAAAACAGAAATCCAGGCCCCAGCATGGAAGGGTAGCACCAGATTTAGCATTGACTTGATAGGTTTCGCGCGCGGTACTGCCCAGACCGAGTTTGACGCGATGAGGACATTACTCAAAGAGAACATAAAAGGGTTGACTCTGAAACATGGGTATATTTTACTACAAAAAATCATAAAATATTCTATTTTCATCAAAACAGGAGGCTACAAAAGGAAAACTACCCAATAATCTATGAACAAAAATATTTTAATATGAATGTATTTTTTTAATGTGGTTTTAATAGTTTCCTTTAAATCAGCCTGTGAGTATGTATTGTTTATCCTTTTACCATTAAATAGTTTTAAAATTTTCGTAAACATATTTGACTACAATTAATTAACAAATGACACAGTGTTGGATATTTATAAAAAAAAAACTTCACAGAACGAGTTAACCTATTTTGAATACAGGAATTTAAATTACCAACTAATTTTGTCTTACTCTGCAGTAAAAGGTATACAGATGAAGTCCAAACTTCCATTAATCAATTTCTCTATGGGGATTATTTTCTCCTCAGTGCAATCTTTTTCTTCTAGCAACTCAAGCGTAATATTAATGTGTAGTTTTTCTTCAACAGTTTTGTAAATGTTGCCAAAAAGTCCTCTTGCATCCTCCAGAGGCCGAATTTCTCCAATGCGGAAAGGAGGCCGAATGCTAAGCATGGGTGGCCAGTGAATTCCCGGTATGCGGACCTGTCTCCCAGGAGTTCGGTCGCACACCAGAGGCCTGCATTCAGTCTGATCCGTTAATTCCAAGAAGAGAAAACAACCGCTAAAGTTGGATTTGGCCAAAAGCTCTTTGGCAGAAGTCTCGTCTACAGGAAAAGTCTGCAGGACGACGAGTGCCTCGGCGAACCGTTGCGGCCTCAGCACCGAGAACAGCAGCCGCAGATGCTCAAGCGAAGTTCCCGCGACCACAAAGAGAACGGAGTTGCGTTCGGCAGGTGGAAAAAGAGGTGCTTTTCGCGACGGATCGAGGACGAGGATGGGTTTTGAAAAAGTCGGCACGACAATGTTGCTGCTGGTGGGTACGAAAATAGTCGTATGAGATGAACTGTCCTCGAAACCTCGCAGACAGAGTTGTAGGTACAAAGGAAGGACCCACGTCGCGTTAAAAATCAACATTTTTATATCTGAAATAAATATAATAAACATGTTGAAATTATTTTGTTAAAAAACTATTAAAATAAATAATTTAAAATCAACAAAGCTGTTAAATTTTTTGAGCAAATCAGTTATAAATAAATAAAATATTTAATTATTTTTTCCCATGTATTCTATTCTTCAAAGTAATCTAATATATTCCATCAATAAATAAACCAAGAATTGGGATTAGAACAAATTTAATAAACAGCGTTTTTGCTTCATATAAAAGAAGTAATGATAATGGTGCATAGTAATTTTTTTTAATATAAACCAAACCAAAAACCTTAAAAAGATCCGCGGTGTGCGACAGACTGGAAATGTGCATAGGCGACAACCAATGACAAGGCGTAAATTTGATCCGTTTGTAAAAAATTCAAAATAATACTAGTTTGTCGTAAATTATGTTACTTACGCACAATTAAAGTTCCTTCCTTAAGTGTGGATCTTTAAGGTCCACAATTAGAATGGGGTTGATTTATATCTTTTTTATTTCGAAGCAAATGAGATTAAATTATTTTAAAATAACAGAAGAGTCAAGAACAGTGTTTAATTACTGAAAGCATTTTAGTTAACAGTTTGAATTCATTCTAATCCTTTGAACTAAAAAGCAAAGAGGAAAAGAAACAGAGGTGCAGAAGTCAAAGGAGAGTGTTGCTAAAAAATTCCATTACGTTTCCACGTCTCATCTAAAACAGCACTATCTCGTTTCGCAGGCTGAAACCCGCGGCAACTTGACCTGGATCCGCAGCTCGGCTTCTTTGACTTGATGGTTAACAACAAGTTGTTTGCGTGCAAAGTCGGATAGAAAGCGTTTTTGTTTGCTTTTGGGGCAGCAACGATCCGCGCGGAGTACCTCTTTGTCGTTCAGAGCGCCGAATGCAAAAAAAGCAGAGAGAAGCTGCGGTCGGGTACTTATTGAATATTAACATTGAGAGCGATTTATTGATTCTCAACTTCTCAAGAGAGCTAAACAAAAACAGTTTTCCCGTGTTTGGTGCAAACTTTTGCGCCACAAAATGTCGCATTATAAAGCAAACTGCGTATAAGTTTGACGTTTTTTCCATCAGCTGTCAAACGTGACGGGGTGAAGCTCACCTGCAGCGGGATTACGCTCTGTCCACTACCAGCGTTTTCAATAAAATGCGAGTGGACAGCAGAATAAAAATGATGGCACAAACAACAAAACTCGGATATATAAAAGCACAGCCGCCAACAACAACAAACGGCAAAACGATTTATTGATATGCTGCGTGTGCAGCAAAGCAAAGCTTTTTCCTTCTCTGCTGTGAGCGATTATTATTTTCCGACCGACGGGGACTTTGTTGACGGCGCTCATTTTTCCGTTTCAATGAAAAAAAAAATAATAATATGAAACTTTATGCTTCATGTATCCTTTTTTAATGTTATAAAAAAAACGCATTCCTGCATTTAAAAGTAGATCTCTTTTTTCTTTTTACTTGTAAATACAGCAGAACTGGCGCTAACATTGTGCAGACGAAATAGAGAAAAATAAATAAAGCAGAAATGACAGGCATTACAAAAAAAAAAAAAAAAAAAAAAAAAAATGAAAATAACAAATTTAGTCTCGTAGAAGATATAAATTTTTAATTTTAATCGCATTCCTCGATTATATAAATATTAGCTACCGTAAAGGAAAGCCTACTATATATTGTTTATTTTAAAAATGAATTTTGGAAACTTTGCAATTAATTGATTAAATAATACTTTGAAATATTTTTTAATGAATGTAAATCTCTCAGCGGGCGGGAGAAAAATAAGATTTAAAAAATTTGATGTTTGGATAGTAGCTTCTGCCACCTGTTTGATGTTTTTTTAAATTTGTTTGTTGTAAACCATTGGTGTTTAAATTTTTTTGAACAAAAGAGACAAACAAAAGCTCATGATTCGATTCTAAGCCTTACACAATCAAACAAAGCCAAGGTATTTTAACGATTTTAGCAGCGTCAGGCCTCTTTTGTCATGAAGCCCTCCATCTTCGTCCGCTTCGCCGCCACAGCTCAAACAAGTCTCTGATTTTAATTGCCCGGCGTGTTTGTTCAGCTCCTTAATTCGCCTGACGTGCAACCACATTTCGCCGCGGCTCAAATTAGCCACGCTGTATAATGAGGCGACGATTAACGCTCTAATTGTCCTGCTCGGGTGCAAAATTAAATTGACTCGCGTAATGTTGTGTGAGATCGCACGCCGCGGTGGCAGCGGCTAATTGCGATGCAAAATCTCTGTCGCGTATGATAAGCAAATTCAATTTGTCGCTCGCATCAACACACTCTCAGGCACATTGGTGATCCTGTCACAACCCTACACTCTACCGTCCTACCAAATACACTTCATACAAAGAAATCCAGCGACTTTATTATTTAGAAGTTTGAATTTATTTCAATTATGAATATTTTTTGTTGCATTGATTTACATAGTGCTTTTTATTACACCAATCGATGAATTAAATTTATAGCAATTTAAAAATTTTATTTTTTAAATTATCATGTATAACAGCGCAAGCAGATTTTAATTTCACATTGAACGTTTTTTATTGTAAAGTCTTTAAAATTATTTTAAATAAATAAAGAAACCCATGCATGCAAATGTCTCACGGCCCCACCTATTCCGCATTACATGGAAAGCTGGGCTTAATAAAGAGGAGAAAGGAAATTTCTCAGACAGAAATCTACTTCAATGGAGGGGCCACTTAACATCCAACAGAATTTATTGAGCGTCTCAAGTGGCAGGGCCCCTTTGCTAATTGATTAAAATTTGGTATGCTCATTATTTTTGCAACAGGGAAGTTGGCAAAGCAATTATTTGCTTTTCTTTGACGTAGGATTCAATTAATAATAAATTTTGTAATATAATTAACATGCTGCAATATTAATTCATAAATAATTGTTTACAAATTTGTGACAGATTTTTAATTTTATTACTTTCATACAGTTTAAGGAATATTAAATTAAGGATTATTAAATAGTGTCCGAAATATTCCACTGGTTTAGTGCATTTTTTAAAAAGAAATTTATTGTAAAATTGTGTGGATTTTAGGTAAAAAGTTTAATAACAAATAATTTGGAAGGAAGAAATCTGTGAATGTGCGTTATTCTATTTGCTTACAAAATTTCCCCAAATCCTAAGCCAGAAATAATGACATTACTTTTTATCCGTCAGTCACTTATCCTTATTCAAAAATCTATCATTTTTACTTATAATTTAGAATGTAAGTTTTCAAATCGCATTATTATTTTGCTAAAAAAATTAAATATATCATTTAACCAAAAAAGTGAGTATTCTGTTAAATATAATAATAATTTAATAATTTTCAATCAGTACTTGTGCATCAGAAAATTATGTTGGAACACTGCTGTCATTGTGGCCTTGGAACAGTAAAAATATTATTTTTACTTCTACATAAAATCACCATATTTTTTTAAATTAACTATTTCATAGAATTCGGTACTTTTCTTTTGCCAGAAAATCATCTTTTTTCCGGATCATTATGCTAAAAAAGAAGATAAAAGCAAAAATTATTTCACGCAATAGACCCCATCTTAAAAAAGTGCTAATCAAAAAAAAAAAAAAAAAAAAATAGTTGAAATCCATTAGTGCCGAGAGAACAGCAGCTGCCGTCAGCCTAATATTCATAACAGCCGCAACGCAAAAAATATCGTGTCCGCAGCCCAAGAGCAGCCAGCATCCAGGCCGAGAGGGTGCCCTAGCAGGTAGCAAGGTGGGGTTGCAACCAACGGGCGGGCCAATGAGCAGCGAGGGCAGCGCTCAGGCGCGTTCGCGGCGTCGAGGCAGCTCGGCCGCGCTGAACTCGTTCATTCTCGCTCAGAGCAACGGCAGGAGCAGCGTCGACATCGGCAGCAGCAGCAGCGGCGGCGGCGGCGGAGGCCACGACGGGCAACTTTGGCGAGGCGCGACCTGTTGCCTCCTCAGACATGTTGAGCCCCAAGATGCAGCGCACCGTGCGCGTCAACGACAGCCAGCTGGTCATGCTGTCCGAACGCGCACACTACGACCACAACATGACCGGCTACCTGTACAAGAAAACGGCCGACAGCACCAAGTGGCAGCAGCGCTGGTTCGTCCTATACCAGGTAGGAAGATTTCAACGCAGGGGCTTACCTGTGACCTCGGTCATGTCACATCACTTTTGCTCAACATACAACTTTCCTCTGCATTAATTTTCTTTTCTAATTAATTAAATTTCCAAACCTCTAATTTTACCTTTTTTTATATAAAACTAAATTTTTGAAGTAAGTTATTTACATAATAAAAACGAAACATAATTAATTATGAATGCGAGGGTTGTTGTTGTTAACGTATTTTGTGGCTTTGGAGATCAATAGCCAGATTTATAAAAAGATGTCGAAATCTTAATTAAAACATTTAGGAAGATTGCTTTGCAAAGATCTTGCGAAGCTATAGATATATTTTTGCGAGGGAAGAAATGAATACAATTTTTGAAATCTAAATTTTGCGCGCCATTTTTAATATACTTTTCAGGTGTTAATGTTTATATTTAATTAATGAAGTCCATGGTAAAAGATTTTTGGACTTTTACGACATTTTTTAGTCTTGATTCCAGCCTCTTAAGTGATAAAATTCTCTTATCTGCTGCATATTATATAATAGCGTCCAGACCAGCATCCGATGAGGAAAACCGCTTATCGTGGTTTTGCACCACTGAACGATAACATTGATACATTGGTTTATTAAACTGTGATTTTTTAACATTAACTTGAGATTAAATAAGTCTTACAATGGTTTTTAGTTTTTGAAAACGTCGTTATTGATTTTAGTGAGGCCATCAAATTTTAAAATAATTCTTCTCCATTAAATTGTAATTAACTAAAATAATTACAATTATATGAAAATTTTCAAAATGCACAATATACGAGACTTTAAAATTTACCAAACTTAATTCTCTTGCAAACATGGGGTCAAGACTAGGTAAATTTTTACTCGAGTATTACATAAATATATTGTTTTATAAATAGCACTTACTTTGCATAATTATTGCATACTAAAGTCACTTGTTATAAATCAAAGAAGTAAAAATATAAATTTTTAGTTATTTTGGAGATCATAATAATTTTTGGGTGTGGTCCTTCCGTCATTAGCTGAAAGAAAACTCTTAATTTGAGTGGTTTTCAACTTCATTGCTCACAATCAGTTATTTTACCATTTTATATAACATTTTTTTCATCTCTTTTAACCTACATAATAGACTGATTCATCTACCGATAAAAACGACGGACCAAAAATTACTCGTTGTGGAAAAAATTTATTGAAGTTGGTACTTCTTTGTTTGAGTCTTCTGATGCAATCTAACCAGTAATCGCACACTCTTGTGCGAAGATTGCAATCTTTCCGCACAGAGCAAGACAGAGTGCTTTTTGAAAAGGGCGATTTTTCACCGTCTCCAGTGAAAACGTAGCTGGTCATAAATAACAGAGTTGCATGAAATCGAAAAACGTCACCTCGGTATTAATTCCCTGCAGGCGGTGTCGCACCTGAGTCGCCGTTGGAAAGGTGCAAAGCGAACGAGCCGGGTAATTGGATTCGTGACCTGAGTACTCGAGTCTCGTCTTTTGTGGTCCGAATTCACTGCCTGCTTTTCTTTGTTGCTCCGATAACGAACGCGGCCGAGATACGATCTGACGGCAGTTGCTTTTCTGCTTTTCCAAGCTTGGCGAGGCGACGAGCGGAAAAATTCACCAGAGATTCTACGGCGTGCCGTAATTCTGGCAATAATGGGCCGTAAAGGCGGCGGGTCCGCTGTAAAATTAGCCTCTCCAGTTTATATGTTTCGTCGCACCGGGTGGCTCTTTTTTCCTCGTGTGGCTTGCAAATTGATCGCAGCTAAATATTGCTCTATCACCATCATTCCACTGCGTTGCTTCTGCCGCAGGGCTGTAAATTATTCATTTACAAAGTTGTCCCTGTCACGGAATTAATTTTGTAGCAATTCAATCTTCGCGGAAATTTAGTTTCCATATTCAAAGTATTAAATTTAAATTATATGTTAAAAAGCAAACAAGAAAAATAATAGTAAATGCAAGTGTATAAAGATGATAAAAATTACGGGGCTGAATAAATGTTTTTTTTTTACGTCTTATGCAATGCGTTTGGTTCTACATCTGAATTTAAAAAATATCTCATTACGTAAATTTTTTTTGGAACTTTTTAGGCCCTGTTCCTAAAATTTCTTCATTCATCACTCATTTCTAAATAACTTATCATTCAGATAATTCCATAATACAATAACATAATTTAAATTAACAAATCTCATCAATTTTTTAATAATGTAAGTTAAAAATGCTCAAGGCCATAATATTCTATAGGTTTTAAACATAAAAGCCAATTTCTATTATTAAAAGAACAAAAAGAAAAACTAAAATATCAAAATAACAAATTCATAAACAAAAACAAAGTATCTATAATGATCAAAATTTACTCTTAATTTTCATTCAGCAATCATTACTGATGAGTGAGGAGCAAACGAAGGTCATTCAATTATAATTTATATTTTGTAAACCTCTGCCAAATAATACATCTGTTACTACTCAAATCAAGTGTCATCAAAATGCCATTGTGATTGTGACATTGGGGCAGTCAAAGAGAAAAACAAAACTCAATCATTGGAATTCAGCATAGATAACGTTCACAGTGCAGTTAATTTTCCACCAACAAAACAATAGCTGGAGCTAGCGATTGCCAATTATTCCAGTCGGGTACAAGCTAATAAAAATCGAAAGAGACTCTTCTCTCTCTAATTACGCGCGACAAAGGGTGCCGTCCAACGATGCGTGCATGGCAGGCCAAGTGGATCGGAATAAGTGATCTCTGAAGCAGAGTTTGATGGCGCCACTTTTAAAAACACGTAATTTCGCTCCGGCTTTTATGGCAAAATGAGGATAAATCGAGCGGCTCTTCTTAAAAGTTCAGCTCTGCAGCCATAACTCATCATCAGCCAAGCCATTATCCCAAATCTGAGCCAACACGCCGCTGGACATGCACACGCGGATCCAATTAATTTGGAGCACATGCGAAAGGAGGTGGAAAAATGAGCAACAAAGCAGCTCGTCCCGCGCCCTAATTATGAATTAATACGGATGTTGCGGAAAAGAGCAGCTTCTGCCTGGGGAAGAGAAGTTAATTAGCTTCCTTTACATTAGCCGGCGTTAATTTTGGTTATGTCTAATTAAACTTTCTCTCTGTCTTTGATTTTCCATTTTGCATTACGGAAATGGTTTTAAAGTCGTGAGGGGACAAGCTGCATCAGAAATATTAAAAGCATTCTCAGTTAATGGAATTCCAGGAAACAAAGGGTGTGGTTTGTTTCTGGCCGTGTTGCGTACATGCCTGGGCAAACTCTGTATAATATATCGGGCGGTTGTTTATGTGCAACAGTTTTTGGTTTATTTGCTGCGGTCTGATTGGAATAACAATCACATGTGAGCTGCGGTTTATCAATTGAAAAAGCAAAAAGTGCATTATGTAAAACTATTTTGTAAGTTAATGATGGTAGGGAAAAGAGTTGTAATTTTACATCATTTTAGATAATAAATTTTTCTGTGCAGTTAAATTTGCTTTAAATAACTACAAATTTTGAAAAATCTAATATTACTTTCTATGAAGATTGCAAAGCTGTTTTTACGGAAAAATATTAAATTTTGTTAATTTTTTTTTAAGATTAAGAGGATTAAGTGCTTCACTCAGAACAAGCAGATTCATTTATATTAATTTTTACTTTTTTTCAATAGACTAAAATTATTTGAGACGGGAGTAGAGCTATTTGGTATTCGAAAGCGAAATTCAAGGGCCATTAAAATTCCTTCAGCCTGTTATTCGGAACGCGGGGCCAACATTTATAAATATGCAAATAAATTTACACCCCGCCGAGGCAAATGCAAATTTGCTCCGCCCGCGCAGACACAGAGCCAAGTGCCACTATAAAAGAGAACAAAAGAGAGAAGGCGCTCGAGTAAAAAAAGAGTGCCGGTGTCGTTTCAAAATAAATCCACTTTGCCGAGAGTATAACACTGCTCGCCATCGATCGCGAAAAAGAAGCTCGTCCAATAAAAATATTTATTTCCAATATTTTCCTCGACTCTCTCGTTCTCTCACTCTTGCGAGAATGGATCCACAGAGTGTGCTGCAGATGCGTATTAACATTCCCGTCGCCAGCCAGCAGTTTCGCTGTTTGCATAAGTTCAGGGGCGGCTTTGCGGGTTGCTTATCGCACGGCCTTTCGCTTGACTGGGCAAAAGTGTCTTTTGCCACTTTGTGTGTGCCGACTCAACTTTTCATTTATTAGCTCGCTATGGGAAAACGTACACATGTGACGGCACCGAGTACAGCCCAAGTTTGCCTGCACAAAGTTGGCTTGTGTGTGTATCATACCCTTCTTTGGCAGGGGGGACGCGTGTACATATTGGATTTCGACTTTGTGTAAGTGGAGCTCGTGATTAGAAATTGAAATCGGTATGCTCGGGGGTTGGCAAGAACGCTGGAATTCTTTCAACGCGCATTTTGTGCGGAAGGGGAATTTTCTGATACAAGCTTTTTTATTAATGCACAATGAAATTTTTCCTACGAAACTTTTTATTTCTTTATTACAATATAAAGAATTTCTCTCCCTTTTTGTAAGATCAACAAAACAAGTTGGAAGCGCAATTTTCGTAAAAGCGTATTTTTTATTTTTACATCATCAAAAGAAACCCACTCATGAAAGAGCAAAGACGTTGACTCACGAAAGACGAGAGTCAACTTTGTTTGTTTAGCGCGATTTTTGTTTCTGTTGGCGAAATCGAAAAGCGACGCAACTCTGTTCTCTGCGAATGGAAAAAGCAAAAAGGGCAAACAAAGCAGGCCGGATTGAAAGAAGGAAATTTGCGTGTTGCTGTTGCCGAGGTTCACAATATGACTAAATTACACGCGCCCATAACGCACACACACAATATTAATGATCACGCCTGCAGCGTTCTGGCAAAACAGCCGCGAGGCAACAGGCTGAATCCGACCCGCGCCCCAAATCGATGCAGAGAGAGATGCTGGCGGGCGAACCAGCAAAATTCTCGTCTTGTTTTGC